ATGGATCAACAGTTGGAATCCCTCCGACAGGAAATTGAGCAAGATATGAGTCGAATGTAGGTACTCCTGTAAAGTTATAATTTCCCGCTGACTTTGTACACAGCGAATGAACTTACGCATTTAGCTTGTAAGTAGCTAGAGGGTGAAAGCCTTAAGTTAGTTTCAGATACTATCATTCCTTGGAATTTTGATGTGAGATATGCTTACTGATCTATTAAAGGATCTTGGAAACAAAAGCCAATCCTAACCGTTCAAGATATAAATCAAGAAATTCTCGGGCGTCTACAAAAATTGAAATACTAGGAATAAGTGTCTAATCCAGTGTTGCGAATGCAACCGAGACCCAAGGGTTCTTTCCAAGTGTAATCATAGAGGTGCATTATGAACACACGGTTTGCTAGTAGATCCGATAGTATACACCATTTCCTTTCTTCCCCCCTCCCCGGAGCACGAGAGCAGGATTTAGACAACCACAACTTAAATAAAAGTTATGAAAGTGGGAATAACTTTCCTAAGAACGCTCTAGCATCATTATAATGGTATAGGAAGTTTGGTTTGTCTAATTAAATAAAACCCACCAGCAAATGAAACAAGAAGAACGAACACCAACGCCCCCAAAATACCCACAATTTCTAGTCTATATTGGTTAGGTGTAATGTAACCCGCTGGACCATTAACTATGTCACTCTATTCAGTCTAGCTCTATTAAAGGGAGAGCCTATCATATATTGAATCCTCGTTAGATCCAGCATGGTTTATTTTAGTAGATGGAAGTTTTGTAGTGTTTTGGCAACATAGTTTCTACTAATATTCCTTTGCTCCCAGCTTGAATCTTCTTTTCCTTTCTTTTCTTCTCTTACCTCTTCTCTTTATCATACACACTCACTTTATATCTATTCCATATTTTTCGTTTCAATAGTTCGTGGTCGTACGTTTAAATAGTACTTCGGATTTTATATTGTTCAAAATCACGCAAGCAGAAAGATGGACCCAACTTTGAGTTACCCTGTGACCTATACTAATGAAAACCAGTGCCTTCAACTACAATCATCTGGCTCCTTCGATCCAAATCTCCTTGACACCCATACAATGGGCCTTACATTCAGAGAAATCACCATGAAAAATATACAAAATTTGAAACAGGATACCTGCAGCTCGCTTGCAAAGTTTCTAATCAATATCATTGAACCAAGCAAGAGAAGCCAGCATCCATACAAGGGCGGATACTCTACAAAGCCAAGTTGGTGGCCGACTTGGGTTCCTCATAGAGCACCAGACAATTTAATTAAAAAGGTGAGAGTGATGCACTGGAATGCCCCTCCCTCCACTGCCCCCTTTTTTTTTTTTTCATCAAATAAACGAGGGGGGGAAGGAAGAACCAGAGTAAAAGACATCAGCTAATATTAACAGAACGGGTTGAGTTATTGGCCCATATCTTTGTAGAACCCTACCTATGGCAATTAATAAAAAAAGTGCCGCTCAAGGAGGAAATATTTGATTGCAAACGACAGACAGGTTTCGAACTAAAGAGCGTGATTTTGGAAGATATATTCAACGTCACTTCCCAGTATCATGGAAATGGCATAGTTATAAATAAATTGTACGTGGAAGTGTATGCTTCATCCACTTTATAAACTGCTGACTGATATAAAAAGATGAGACCGTCGAACCTTCATCTATTCCTGTCTCACTAGGTATGGCTAACCCTGCTTGCGAGTTAGCCTTGTTGAGGGAGAAGGAAGGAGCTCCAAATGGTATAGATTCTCTGGAACAAAGGAGGTATTTAACCTACGATGAAGGTATGTTGTATCAATAGCTTGTGTGTAGTGGCTAATCGATTACCAATAATTTAGGACCCATCAACTTGGAGCAAGTGTCTACTCCTCATTTCTTCACCGACACATTGAGAGAGCAATTCTTTCTGCAATCCCAGCCTGAATTTCTATGCTCTTCTTGCTGTGATAACTTTCGCTCTTTCCTCTTTAATGGTCAGCACATAGTTTATGGGAACTTTCCTTTGTTATCATGCTGCTGCTGTGAAAATACAAGCGGTCTTGGGTTAATTGTGAGTGACCAAGTCTAAGTAGAATATATAACTAACAAGCCTCAAGATACCCGCTCCACAGGCAGCCAAGGTCATAGAGATTCGTGACCAGGGCAAGGAATTGATGCAGCCGTCGCAACGAAAAGACATGTTGGAAATCGCCACAGCTCTGGACATTTCACAAGAGAATAAGGGCCGCTCACTCTTTAACAGAGCTTATCATACGAATATCTATCATAAGTTATTATTCACACTTCTGCCAGCCGATACTTGTGGCACGCTTGCTAGGCACCTGATTAGCTGCTTTTTTTATAATGTAAGTCTGGAAGCGTCGTTGTTGGAAAGGATTACTTGTTCAGATGAGCCATTAAAGGCCGGTAAGAGCTCTTTATTAATATAATAATCGTGGACACTTTCTTATATTTTGACAGACTCTGTGGCAATATTGAAGTCGATATTTAATCAGGTCCCTTTTAGGGACTTGCATGCGTCGATACAAACTATCCGCCAATTATTCAAGGAGAAAGACTACATATTAATATGTATCATAATTGATTCGTGGAAATTAGCATTTGAAGGACCAAGAAAAGGTATACATTAATGTTGCAATATTGTCTCTGCAGTTAGCTGATTAAGTGCAATATAGCAAATATAGCTATTAAAAACAGAAAAAAAGCGAGAGGATGGATGTGCTCACTGTCATACACAAGTATCGCCAGAATGGAGGATGGGCCCCAGCGGGAAACGAAACTACTGCAATGCATGTGGATTGAGTTGGTCCAAAAAAGACAAGCTTCCTCCAAGAATTTGGTATGAGTATCTGTGCCTGTTTATTAATGAAACGGGGCAGCCCTTCCACTACTGTTCCCTCCCGTCCAAAGAGTTGCTACATTTTGTTGTCGTATGTTGTGGCTTGCCTGTTTTTCGCAATCAAACAATAAGGTCGAAGATATTGCGACTATTTTAGTTTCTGAACTTTATTGTAATTAACCTTGCCTTCGTAATCGACCGCACTCCCCTTTATTCCTATAGGATTAAAATACTGCTTATCTGTATCACGGAGCCTTGAAAAATCCTGTACAATATGCATTAAACAAAAACTCGTAAGGATTCACTCCGCAACGTAGTGGTTCTTTGTGCCTTTGGATGCTCTGAAGAGTAATCTACATAGTGCACGTAATGAATTAATTATACAAGAATAATTAACAGCAACAGAAGAGGAGGGAGGACAATAGCAGTGCAAACAAGCCAGAGGCCCATATGGTTGTCTGTACCAATTTGCATCCCCGCAATATTAGGTGCGATGTGGGGTGGTGCAATTATTCCAAAAGAACCTTCCATAGGTTGGTCATCAGCGTCATGCTGTAAGATTCCATGTGCCATACCTGGAACTGCAGGCTGATTTGAATCCTTGACATTAAATCTCTCCTGGATTAGGTCTTCAGCCATTGTCTTCTGATGCTCCGTTATATGCTGCAGCATGGACTGCAGCAACAGGGCTGTTTTCTCTAAATCTTGGAGGTGGTCATTGTAAACATCGGTTTCAGACTGCTGACGAAGCTTATCCATTGGTATACAGGCCATCTTAGCGTCATCAAACAAATATTCTGCACTCTCCTATCAGTGACTATGAATAGGTATCAGTCTTAGAGACGGAATTTACCAGATTTTCTGCCACCCTGTCCTTGATAGCTTCCAAGGCTTGTGAAACATCACCAAGCAAAGTAAAAAGAAGTTGTGCCCGAAGCGGTTATCATTGTATATTAATTATATCTGTAAAGTGTGAATCATCTGCTCACTGTTCTGGTCTTCGTCTAGCAAGGCTTGGCGCTTGCGGAACCAGAGGGGTTTGCAGTATTAGTTCTACAAATCTAATACCTAATTGTCCTAATAGTGATCTCTCTCAAGTTACTTGAATAAATAAGCCACCCACCAGCAAAATAAAACTAGAAAATTAAGCACTACCTTCCAATATCCACACTTCCTAGCCTAGGAGTAGCGTTGTCCATCTCGGACCTTTGAAAACGTAATCACTTAATCAAACACACCACGTTGCAGCCAGATAGTCACCACCCCTCGTTTCCGTAGTTATACCGAAAAGGGAGGTGGGTGTGCTAGTATCTATTCTCCGGGTCCCTGTCCCGGTCTGGGCCTCTCCAGTCTTGGCACTTGCGGAACCAAAGGGGTTCGCAGAATTAATCTGCAAATCATGCCAGTCACAACCTGCACAGCAACGGAATATGAAGGTCCAGGAATGCTTACTAAATTCTAGAAAATTTTTGACATCATATTCTCCAATCGCAAGAACCCCCTGTACACCGACTAGAACCACCCTACCAATTATATTTTATTTTGTTTCATATGTACGGTTTACTTGGTTTGTAGTCATCCTGTCTCTGACAATTTTCACTTATGCGTATTACTTATATCTGCAAAGTGCGAAGTCACTTCATCTGTACACTGTCACCTAGTAAGGCTTGGCGTTTGCGGAACTAGAGGTTCGCAGAATTAATTCTACAAATCTAAAAATTGCCCAAGAATGATCGACCTCCTTAAGTTTCAGCTAGCGATGCCATTAATAAGTATTAGTAGCCACCACACTTAATGCAAGTTTGCCTAATTTGTAGTCATACTGCCCCTGATAATTCTCACTCAAAGCATTAGTGTTATATTTGTGTACCGCAGATACAGTAACACTGGCAATGATCCCGTCATGCTGGAAGCTAGATCGAATATCCTTACCTTATTAGTGGATTTATTTCCTTGCTTCCTTCCATTTCCCGTCCCGAGCTTCTTGATGATCCTAACCGATTATGTAGGCCGTTCTACGTATCTCTTGGTTCCTTCTCTCCTTTATTATTATTAGTATCACCTATTTTCCCTTCCATTGGTTTTGGCCTTTTTATTCTGTAGTCCTACTTTCTTCTTAATTTATCCACATGCCTCTCCCGCGGCTATGGCACCTGGCAATAGACGCAATTTTAGCTGTCCATGGGAGTACTGTGACAAGGTACTTTGCTCTACGTTTATTTGAAAGTGGGCTATCTAATTATATCCGAACAGTCTTTCAACCGCAAATCGGGCCTCTGCAGGCACTATCGAATACACATAAATGAAAGACCGCATCACTGCCCAGTCAAGGACTGCAGCAAGAGCTTTATTCAAAGCAGCGCTTTGACTGTCCATATCCGAACCCACACTGGGGAAAAGCCTCACATCTGTGAACACGAAGGGTGTCGCAAGGGATTCTCTGACGTATGAGACCGTCAGCGTTCGATCCCTGCAATTGCTGATAGCTCTCTCCAGTTGTCGAGTCTAGCCCGCCATCGCCGGATTCACACAAGGAAACAGCTACACATCTGCCAGGAACCTACATGCGAACGAAGGTGAGATTAGAATGTACACATAGAGACCTGGCGTTGCTAACGTCGTCACGTAGCTTTTGTCGCAAAGAGACTCTGACCAAATATCAACACCGCTCGCACCCCCCGCGCACGGCGACTCGACCACCTTCGGAAGATGCAATATCCAAGCATTCGTACAAGACCCCTATTAATACTTCCGTAGGGAATGGCCAGTATCTCCTCGCCCAGCAACCCTATTACCCTTACTCGTCCATGCCGATGAACCAGCTCTACCCTCCAGAAAAATGGCTATGACACCAGCTGCCGTGTCAGGAGGCGCCGTCAATCATTGCTCATAATGTGCCCGCGACGTCCCCCATTGATATGTGGCATGTTCGGCAACAATTAATGCAGCAACTCATGCAACGGCGATACGTCCTATGCCGTTCAGGCCAGGTATCACCGGGGTTCCAGCATCCCTTTGTGGACGTGCCAACGGCGGAAAGACACAGCCTTATGGTTACGTATCCTGAATTTCTAGCACTCTTTACAACCCTGATCGAATGAAGACGGCGGTGGCTCCTCTTCCTCCGCCGTAATCTGGACATTTATTTCATCATCATCTTCGGCTTTAAATACGCTGATTAATCATTAATATTAGAGATATCCGTCATGGGCTGTTAGGGGCTTGTTGTGAATCTGCAGTAGGTCAGAGGAATTGGCATTGAATAGAGAGAACTAAGCCATTGAATTGGATGTGCGAACTTAGTTAGTATACAGGAATTTCGTCTGTGGGAAGACATATAAAAGGGAGGACTTCGCCGATCCTTCGGGTAATCCTTCGGGCCGATCCCATATTCATAACAGGGCTGAACCTGTAGAACGTATAAGATAGGCTATGTATAAAACGGAATCGTTGAGGAAAGGAAGTGGAAAAGGACAGGTAAACGAACATGACCGTTGCCCCTCGGCTCTTGGCGAACTTACCATCGGCTCTGCCACACATACCTTGGAACCTGGGGAAGATGTCCAAGGAATTGCTGCTTCATATCTTTCTGATGAAAGTGGTCACCGGATTCATCGTATTGAGCTTTTGGTAGGTGGTCGTTCAATCTGTTTCGATCTTCATATCCCACGTTGCTTTCTGGTCCGAACGCAGCGGAAGGTATGTCATACTACATGCGAAATGGAACTGAAAATATAAATGATCTGACGCAGGACGCAAACTTTCGTCGCTGGACCTTCTCAGACCGTGCAAGTTTTCTCGCGCTTTCACCGACTGCTGTCTGAGGCAATGCACCCGGGATCTGGGGAAAGATGGAGCAAATATTTGCTACCCATTTAAAAAGTCTTCAATAAACAAATATATAAATATACAAACTTGGGAGGCGCAATACTCAGAGCATACAATCCTGCGGCCCCCTTTATTCCCCAACAAGAAAAGATAATAACAGTTAGCCAAAGAAGAAAAAAGAAACATATGTTAACTGTGTGCGCTTTAGACTCAAGACATTTAGGCAGGAATATAATGCTATTCATGGCCACACACATGTCTATCCCATCGATCAACGTATGTATTATCCTAGGAGTCAATCAAGTGGGAGTAACCCAAGTCACGACTGTTGTTGTGGACAACGCTGGCGTAGTAGTCGACACGTAGACATATTTATCATGCACGATGCTAGAAAATTCTTCCCAGTGATTGCTTGGGTTTAACGCAAAGTGGCTTGGCGGGAAACATTTATACCACTCTTGATCCGATGACCGAGAAACCACACTGGCTCGGTCGTATTGACTAAATATGCCACGTAGGTGTCCTCGTTCTTGCCGAATCTTGTTAGGCCTGTACATGTCTCTTCCAGTGTGGTATTGTAGAGGAAGAAAGACCCATTTGAAGAATAAAACCAGACAGTGTCACCAATAGAGGCATTGAGCGACTGTGGGTGGAACTTCGTAACATCATCTGGTATTACTCTAACGGCCCAGTTAGACCCTCTGCTTGCCGGACTGGCCCGCGCGGGAACAGTCTGTGAAGAAGTGGCTATGTCTGTCACACACTTTGACGATGGGGCATGTGATGACGCACTGATTTTCGATTCTGGAGTTGGTGTACAAATTGAAGATGGTGAAATGGCTGAAGTCGACCGGTTATACCAAGGCGTCAACCATGATTTTGACCTCCAAGTAGTTTCAGACTTCTGAGGTGTTTGAAGAGAACCAGATTGACTTTGCCTGGAGGTTTTACTCCAGGGATACTTGGGAAATCCGGGCAAAAATGAACTGAAAGCCGGTGGAGATGATGGTTCCTCTGGTTCCTGTGAGGCGAGGGCCGAAGAAGGCGTAATACCAGTCGGCGTAGCCGTAGGTGCCATAACACCTGGTCGTTGGGTAGATGGAGTGGAAGGCGTTGGCAAGCTTGGGAGCGATCCTAAAATACTAGCGTCTGTAGGGTGTACAATATCGATATCCATACATGAAGTAGATATCTTTCCTTGTTTAGCCTATACTTTTGTCTAAGTACGAGGTGCACATACCAGCCATTGGTGATTCACAGATACTGTTGTGTTCCATAGCCAGTATACTGTGTACAAACTACCAGCTTGTAGCCCTTCTGGCAGTTTAAACAGAGGGACGCTGGCACCTGAGTCTCCACAGTAAGGATAGGAAACTAGAACTACATATTGTAAGCAACAACATCTGCTCTTAATCAGGTTTGTATGCATACAGTCTCCTCCGACACCACTTTGGAATTCCAAAACTTCGGACAGTGTTCTTGTATCTGGTGACCTCGGCTCCTGGGTACCGTACCAGCTCATGATACCCTTCTCTTTTAGTGCGTTAGATTCTCTCCTGAATATCGTGGCTTGATTATAGATCCCGGTAAGCTTTGAGGCGTGGCCAGCCCTCTGCTTGAGATGAGTCCTGCTGATTAATTGGGCAAAACGTCATTGAAAGGGAATGATCCACGCCCAGGTTCTGCTCGACTTAGAATTGTCCGCACCTATTAAGGCATTAAAAGACACGTGAATCCTAACAGCTGTTCCAAAACTTACTGAAGTTGCGGACGTATCCATGATGAAAGACATTGTTGTTCGTGTTGATAGCCTCAACTCCTTCAACCTATAAGTTTCGCTAGAATCATAAGCAATCACTATTGTATATGAAACTCGACGTACCCATACTTCAGCCCAACTTGGGCCGACACAGGTAGTTAAAAGATAGGCAGTGTAGAGAAAAGGTCGCATCACGAAGTACTTGAGAATAGTTATTTCAAAACGATAGGCAGACAAGGACACATTCAGGGTCATATATATATAGATTCCCTTAGCCTCGGTTTGAATCCGCCTGGTCCATGCGGCTTGCGGGCCTTTTTGGGGTCGCGGATTAGTGGCAAAACTATTTGTCTTAGTGTGCAATACATAAACTATATGTTCTTGCATTACAAAGCCTGGCACGGGCTGAACAACCATTGACCATATGACGCTCACAAAATAGACGTCTGCACAACTATTCCCTTACAGTAAAGTTACACCGGCTCTGTCGAAAACTGTGTCCAAAAAGTCTCTTTGGACTCAAAAGTTCTCTGCGAACAAGAGAAGTAGAGATATCTTTTACTGTGAGCGGTGGCAATTACAAACCAAGTGAAATACCAATTTTTGTCACTAACTGGGGAAGGAGTGAGTAGAAGTAAGTGAATCTGGTCTAATTATTAGATGGTAAACACGAAAACAAGCAGTTGACGAGGTATAGAGGCCGGGCTACGTGTACACAGTGATGTACTATTTCACTTCTCATCTGCTTTAGATCTCACAAGCAATTAAAGAAACTCAATTTATTGTAATTTGTCACATAAGCATATAAGCAGTGTATTTAGAGTATAAAACACGAAATTGGATTTCTGTCGTTGTTTCAGCTCTAGCGTTTGAGCAACATTAGATCATGCCCCCGTCATTGCCACCGTTGGCTTCAAATCCCAAGAGTTCAAAGTAGCGCTGCTCAGAATTATGGAGCCTTGCTGTCACTTGGACCAGCATGTCCTCAATCATATGGAAGATTCGGAACATGTCCTCCTGGAATTGCAGCAGAGCTTGTTTGGACTCCTTCTGCCACTGGAGTTCGGCTCTCAGGTAACTGACATCATAAACAAGGTCCTCTAACTGTTGCTGAACGTCCATGGATGCTCGTTTCGATCGCTGCAGACGGGAAGGGAGCCTCTCAATGTTGGATGAGGTGCCGCCATGACGGAGGATTTCATGATCCACGGGAGTGATTTCTTCGGCAATCGGATCAAGAGAGCGACGAGGGAATTGATTCATTGTTCATAGAGTCAGAAGAAGCTAGAAATAAAGCTCGCTAGTTATTGTTGACTATTCCAGGGTATATTAGTTGGGGAATTGGTGTACTTTTGAAGACCTTCAGGGCGGGTATTTTCCGCTTGCGATCTGGTTTGGGCTCGCAAGTCTAAGACGTCGTGGAATTAGCCTGCTTCATTCCTGCAGAAGCTGCCGAGTAATTCCATGTTAGGACTTTGAGTCACACCACCGACTATGTATAGAGAGTAAGGCTTTGCATGACACTAGGTCAAGAGTATATGCGGTCTAGTTAATCCTGCAAGTGGCGCACGCGTCAACGTATTGCATCTCACTGAAGCTCGATACTATACTGGCTATTAACTCCAACAATCACTATGTTTTATGATAGGGCAGTGTCTAATATACAGTAGCCTATAAACCGACTACTTCACGTAGATCATGTACAGAGAAAGATTTCTTACTGTTACTATGTGATTGACCGACATAAACCGGCTGTAACTTTCTATACCTAGCCACCAAGAAGTACAAAGACGATAGGATGCTGTGCCAAAGCTGTGTATGCCTTCACCTTTTAATACCAGTCAGACCCCGGATTTTTGTGAGTTTGCCGGTGGTGTGGTTGAGCCATCGCGGCTATTACGGCTCTCATGTGACAAAGACGTGCCAGACTCGCTTAGGAAGCTTTCGGTGTCGGAACCCCAGCTGCAGTCCGAACAACGATCCTGAGATGTCTCGTGGAAGGCCATCTGCAGGTACCGTACCGTGGCTTCCCGCGCGTTTAACGTAGACTGAAGCGTGGAGATCAGCTCGCGTTGCCGCTCATTCTCAAGGAGAATTTGCTGAAGGTTCAACGGGCTGAAATCGTTGCTTTCAGTTTGAGTTATAGCCCGCAGCAAAGCCTCATTGACTGAGTATTGGCTCTCAACACGACCCTCCAATTCTTTAACCTTTGTTCTTTCCTGTATCAGGTCTTGATGCAGTACCCATTGTTGTTCATTGAGATGGTTCAGGCTAGACTCGTGTTGCAGCCTCTTTTTCTCCAATTCCGTGACAACTGTTTCGAGGTAGGCGCAATGGTCGAGTGCTCGCTTGTTCGCTGCTTGATCCTCCCTGATCCTGAATTCCAGGTCTTCTTGCCTTCTTCTTGAGTTCTCCTCCCGCTCAAGGAGCTTCCCTGTCGAAATCCAGACGTCTTGGATCCATTGTCGGATGTGAGAATCCTTCTGTCATTAGATATGGTGAACCATCTTCTGGGAATAACTGACCTTACCTGATCTTGAGTCATCTTGTGTACGTGGATCTACCCACAGAATCGTGGTCCAAAAGGCTTTTAATGAGCTGTAAAGGACAAGGAGCGAAGCAGTGTGTAGTTTAAAAAAAAAAAAAAAAAAAAAAAAAAACTTGGTAAGATGATTTATTGAAGTGCGTGCTAATTTGCCTAAGTGTTAATAGGCGGATACAGGCCTAGAGTCAGTATTCAAGTGGATTGTAGCCGTGAGAGGCCCGTGTGTCATGCATGCGGACCGAATTGGGTATGTGCGGGATCAAAAAGGCTCGCACAGATCTCCATTGCCGTAGTTAACTAAATCATGTTATGCCAACGGGCGACTCCGAGCTGGGTTTGATTATTTCCAATTCGACCAGCATCGCGACCCCGTTTGGGTACGACGCACAAGCTCATATTAGCAAAGGAGTTCACTGCTCTAAGTTCGAATTCAAAGCGTCTATAGTCCCAAAACATCCCAAGTGTACATCAGTTCCTCGAGCTAGGAGAGTTATTTCTCCACTCTTGTTAATTAGAGGCCTTGACGTAGCATCCATCCTGAGTCGAAGAGGTAAGAATGAGAAGATGAAGATCACTCAGAGATACCAGGACAGGTGAGCCGCGGATATTAGATGTTCCTTCTTCCAGCCGCCCATGTGATTATTCAATAATTATTGTATTAGAAATTTTTTTTTTTTTTTTTTTTTTTTTTTTTTTTTGCCCTAAGCGGATGATGGTAGTGACCCATGGCGATCATAAAACACTTGATCTGGATAGGAAAGTTAGTTTAGTTTTAGGGGATTTTGCTAAGTCTGTTTCGTTACGCGAAGATGCGACCCAATGATTGACTAATTAGTTAACCAGATTTAATGGCTGGTTTGCAGGAGTGTCTAACTCTGTAAGCTTTTGGATACTATTGTCTAGACATAAGGCTGTTCTAGCAAACCAAAAAGACAGAAATAATTACCAACTACATCCTTGCCGATTTCACAAAAAAATTAAAAAAAGAGTTGATATTTCTAACAGTACATAAAACAAGCAAAATGATTTGGCTTGGGACAACCTACACTGGACAACAGGTCGCTCCCAACGAATAACCCGCGACGGTCCAACCATGGTACGCGAAATGAGGAATGCCACACAGTATCTAAATGGTGGACTCCACATCCCATTACGCACAACAGCTAAAGCTGCACTAACCATCTTCCCCCTCTTACCCGGAAGAAGTTAGCCAATACGATATTTGGCTCAACGAGGAGGAAAGGGAGGAGATTACAATAGGAATGTCTGTCTCCTCCCCTACCAAAATAGCGGAGTAAATGATATGTACTTCACTTAAATCTACTGTCAGGGGTTGGATGACCGGGCCGACCCGCTAAATGAGGCGGGATTTGGTCAGTTCCTGGAGTTAGAAGCTTAGGAGATTGGGTATGGCTTCGGGAGGAAGAATTAAATCCTTAATTTAAAGCAACAACTAACGATAATAGCTAATGATGCTAAAAGGCAATTGATGTGGTGCAATCAGCTAACAATTAGACACTAGATGGGTAGAACGATTAATTAGTCTGTGGATGGGGAATGACGGAAAAACAGTAGCCCCTCTTACTGAATGTGTTAGGAGCTCGTATTCTTAAGGATATGCTTTCGGAGACTCGGCTGGAACTAAATGCGAAAGGTAGTGTATTCCATATTTTACTGAGGGTTAAACAATTAAGTAATCATAGTGATCGTCCTAGATGTTATTTTTATATCCCTGGTATTACCGGGTTGAAGTTAAATGTAGAGAGTATGTGGGGTTTTCAAGCCTCTTTCTTCCATTAGAAATCAGAATCAAGCGGCTCATATTCTTATCCTTGGTGCCAGATATAGAAGCCTAAACAAAAAAAAAAAAAAAAAAAAAAAAAAAAAAATAAGAAAACTCGACACCTAGGGAGGTACAAGCTTAGGGCATTTGATTCAATGGGGCTGTGTTGTCAGAAATCTAGGTTGCCTGGCTCCGTGAACGAGAAGAGACAGGGCGCTCGATACGTTTTGCCAAATTCCCAAATTTCTCCATGGCAAGCCGTTCACATTTCACGACCTCGTCTAGCATCTCAGCCAGCCCATCAACCCTACTAGACATATTATTAATCTTTTCGTGAAGACCATTAAATGCATCCAAAATGTCCTGAGTTTTTGCTGCAAAACCCTCCACAACGCTTAACCCACGCTCTACTCTTTCAGAAATTGTGCCAACATCTGAAATAATCTTTTGGATGGAAGTTCCAAAATCGTTAACGTGAGAAGTTCGTGCCGTCGGCATGGAAGCCTCTCCAACACTGGTCGTTGAAAAATTGTCAATGTTGAAATGTTTATGGGCTGTTTCATCGAAACAGTCGGAGAGAAAATTTCCCGACACTCGCTAGACGATTTGCCCAGTTAGTATTAAAACATAAATAGGTAATCAACTATTGTCCCTACTTAGGTGTTGTAATGGTATGCGCGCTATCGTGACTGCATTGATTGGTCAACCACGTCCTGGGCACTGGCAATGGAAAAACAGACTTTGTTCCCCAACCCTTAACACTTGCCTCTCCACGGCCTAAACATGCATCTTCACGTCCGATGGCAGTAGCCAACGAAGGGCAGTTAAAATGTGAAGAAAACACAATGTCGCTGCCACTAACAAGGCTATTCAGGTAGACGTTTTCAGAATTGCTAAAAAGTATTGCCAGACTCAATACTGAGGACTCCGTGAGGCGACAATATATCGTGATTTAAGTAGGGGTTCAGATCAAGGTCATCCAATGGTTGGTTTGGTGCGGACATATTCGGGATACGTGGATTCTGACCGAAACCGAAATAACAGAGAAGAGGTGATCAGTCCTTCGCGCAAGTTTTTAGCGTCAAATGGTACTTTAAGGGCGCTTTATATATCCTTCACAAGACATAGTGGCTTATAGATTTCTTAGATTTATTTGACAGGGGTCTTATACTCATTTGACAGGGGTTATTATGGGCTGATAAAGTCAGTGTTACATTCAACAAGATAACTGTTTTTACATGACCTAGAGTGGAGCTACTAGTTAGACCACGGGTGATCGCTTGGTGGTCCGGGCTGACTAACACGTTACTAAACGGATAGACATGGAAGCTCCCGAGACACCGATTTCCACGCTGAGACTAGTCACATTGACACGTTAGCGTGCTGATCGCCAACCCTGCTAATGATCTCCGGCACAAAGGGCCCCCACACCGGGCTTTGCTGGAGATGTCCTCTGCCGACAAGACTCGACCCAGACAAAGATTGCGTTCCCGTAACGGTATTGCAGCTCTCCTTGGAAGAGAGGGAGGGTGAGCCGCCATTTGGCTTAAATTAGCCAACTGACCAATGATAGGTTAATATAGCTCCCTGCTCACCCTGGGTGGTGGTATTGTTCTATGGCTGAAACGCCCAGCAGCATCAAGGGTCAGGAGGCAAGGCGCTAGGAATGGACTCATTCGGAAAACAAAGTGCCTACCTCTCTGCTTCAATTGCATGATGGATTTTAATGTTACGGAAGTATATAGCTGCTTTGTAAAGGGACCTGGATATAAAATTGTATAAAAGCTCCGCCAGGGTTAGCTGGGGATAGGCATCTAGCATTCTCCCAAGATGCAGCGAACGGATGATATTGGCTGGCTTAGTATAGGCCTTAGCGAACGTGGGAGGTTTACTATTTTGGATCATGGCCGCTTAGACCATGTGGTATCCGAATTGGGAGATCCCGCAAACCAGTATCCAGCGTTATGTGTATACATCGGCGCCAAAGCCAAGGATGCTTGTCTTCGACAGCTCTATCAGTACAACAACATAAAACGGCATGTTTCAGCGGCTGAGGTAAAGCTACGGTACGACATGGGTTCATTGGAGACCTCACGACCAGTGTTGTTCGCAGACGGTGGCCTGGAATATAAATCTTCTACGAGCTCCTCTATGATAGGATGCGTTAAGACGGAGCGCTCCATCTCGTGGGATTCTCCCTGTGCAGGGACAGTACTACGTAACATCTGGGCTCGCCTCATTTTCCTCTTCGCAGATGTTATTTGCCTCTTCGCAAGCGACTCTGCTGACCTTGCCGACGTGGCTGATTTTCTGCTTGAATGCCTACGTCTGCAGTCATCTTCATCATTACCGGTGGCGATTCGGCCGCGGATTATAATAGTGACAGAAGCCCCTTGGGCGGGAAGAAGAATATATGGAACAAGTGGAGCAGTTCCATTGCAAACTGGACAAGAACAGTCCCGAGACCTTGTCGGAGTGCTTTTCTGCGATCCATTTTATGCGCCTGGAGCGAAGTCATCTATCAGAGTGTGCTCGCTATGAGCGCCTGCGCGTATTGATTGCAGGGCAGTTGGGATGACATGTACACTGTCCGGAAAGACCATGGAGCTATATTTAATGCGACCCATCTGGTAGCGCTTTTCCGGTTGGCACTTCAGCACACAGCTGAAGATATCTGCCGGTCTTTTGACTTTGTGAAGGCAACTAGAGAACAAAATGAAGTCCCTGTATCCTCGAGCATGGCCATAGCACACTACCTAGACATAGGAACAAAGGCAGGTGTCTACTATGAGGAGCTGGCCCCTTCGATCTCATCGGCCCTTGTCATGGATCACTATGTCCCAGGGATGTTAGGTATGAGTCAACGTCTCCTTGAGTTCGACCGATGGGCTGATGCAACAGCATAGCGCTAGAACCTCGGGCCGTTTTCCAGGCGCTTTATCGCTCTGTTGTCTTCGATGCGCTTCAAATTACCCCCGTGAATCAACCATATAGAACTATCGACGAGCTTGCGGGTATGGTTGAGCGCAACATGGTGGAACAATTCCATAAACTCGAGAGTACCGGTCAATCATCATCTTAGAGTTCCGACGCGAGCATCTAAGGGAATCCAGTGGAAGGCTCTGCCGGATACGATCAAACAAAATATGTCTCGTCTGCCTTCTCAGGGTTGCACAGCATCGCCTAGATTGCGGCCACGCAGTCTGTGACCTATGTGCTCAGTTATTTGGGTCACCTGCCGCAGGCCTGGAATATAGTTTCACAATCACGGCCTGCCTTTGTTGTCTGTACCAGAGGCCTCTAGTAATAGATGTCTTACCTCCAACGATGAACCCTACCATCCTAGCCATTGACGGTGGCGGAGTCCGAGGAGTTATTCCTTTGGAGTTCCTGAATCTTATTCAGGAGAACCTTGGTCTTTGTCCCCTTCAAGATCTTATCGATCTTGCGATTGGGACAAGTTCAGGTATGACTTAGTAAACCGGGAATTTTTTAATCCATCATGCCCCCTTGCAACGAGAATGCAGGAATCGACCGCTGACCCGAACTAGGGGCCTGAGTATCCTCGGCTTGTTTAATATGCAGTGGGATATCAGGAAATGTGGGGCGGTCTTTGATCACATGGCACGTCGTATATTTCATGAAAGGCGAAGTTCGGCATTTGCGCGCGCATCACAGGCTATATTCGGAAGGCGTTCCTTTTTCGGAACCGTCCACAAATGGCTGTTATGGCTCCTTTATGACGGCTGTTATGATGGGAGTGTTTTCGACACGGCTCTAAAGGAAGTTTACACAAACAATCGCCTATTTGACAGCCTTCGCATGGGTGATTCTAGTACCACACACTCCAAGACTAGAGTGGGTGTCGTTGCAACGAGCATTGCCAGAGAGACAAGGTCCTTTGTGTTTGGCAACTTCAACAGCACGGAGAGCGCCGGCCAAGAATGTGGTAAGTCTGGGACCCATACCTGAGCAGCTTAGTAGTTCGTTTGGGCACTAATCGAAACGGAAGGGTATGAGATCGTCCGGCCAGCACATATAGACTCAGAGCCGTTCGTATGGGAAGCGTAAGTAGGTTTGGCCGTTTATTTTAGAACAACCCTAACGTGAATTGTCTTAGCGCGAGAGCTACCGCGGCCGCCCCTTTGTGAGATTAACCTTCTGCCATTCCTAAAGAGTAGTAGACTGACATTTTTATAAGTTTTTTCCCCAATCGATATTCGCGGAATTGGGTCCTTCCAAGACGGGGACTTAGGGATAATCTCGCTGCCGATATCGCACGGCGGTTAAGCCGCCAAATCTGGCCCTCCCGCAAACATCCTGCGCGACTTCTCTCTATGGGTACGGGTATTACGGATAGACCACGCGATAGACCACCACATTTTCGGCATGTCTTCCAGGATGGATTCCTGCGTCGAGGATTCGATGCTTGGATGTCCTCCATGGACACGGAAACAAAATGGCTGGAAATGATGGGCCAGCTTGAGGACACCCACAAGGAAGACTATCTTCGGCTGAATATACCTCTTCGCGACGTACCTAGCGCTATCGATACGGTCGAGGTGATGGAGGAATACCGGAATCTTGTAATTCTTTCCCCGGCAGTGCTCGGATGGCGCGGGAGGCGGCGACTGCGTTGCTTGTGTCACGGTTCTATTTTGTTCTTGAAATTTTGCCGGAAGATACTATGGCTCCGTTTTGGTGCTATGGGACCATACGCTGTAAGGGTCATGCTAAGCAGGTGGTCGATGCACTGGTGCAGCTGCATCCCCATGATTTGCATTACACAACCGACTCTGAAACCATAGGTCCACTTAAGGGACTAAGCGAACTCTGTTCAGATTGCGGAAGGTACTGCCGCCCGGTGTCTTTCCTCGTCGCCCATTCAGAGAAGGTGGTCAATATTTATCTACAGACAAAGTCTAAAAAGAGGTGGAAATTAAGCGGATTCCCCGGCACGATGGTATCGTTCGCTGCACGCCAGCACTTGATGCACCATTTGGAAGCCCTGATCATGGTTCTTTGACCATGCTCCCATGTAACAGCTGCGATGGACTTGGAGGACCCACTCATGGCACGAGGCGGAAACGATCTTCGGGGAGTCCCGGGCAGTCGGTACAAGAAAATCCGCTGCTGTGAGGATCAGGAGCTAGCTGGAGCTAGTCCGTAGCTGCATTAGACGGAAATCAGTCAGGGCTAGCGTTGGGGATGCATTTCTTTGTAAGATCGCGTGACCACAGAATACCACAGCTGGTCTTATAAAGGTTCCTAGTGGTACAAATTGCAGTAACTCTCTCCCCATTCTTCTGCAAATCCCAAGTCGTATCTCAATTAAACTCCCCAGCCTTATATATTTTCCCTTCTCTCTCACAGACGTCAACAATGGGTGGTCCCGATCCTGATGGAGCTGAGCGTCGATCGTTCCAAAAAGGAGTCGCACTTTGCTAGGCAAAGCACATGACCTTGCAGCTCTTCGCCAAGCGAGGGTCTACGTTGTAATCGATCATCCGCGCGCTACGGTAGTCTACAATTCCGTCGAAGGAATACAATGGCCCCCGTCTGATGAAAACTTCGTAAGTGTACCTCCTTACTGTTTGGTTATTTCAGCTGACAAGTTGTCAGGAGAGCAGATACCCGGACGTCCACCGGCTATCATTCACCGACATGGAGCGGGCAAGGGAGATTCCTGACACGGAAGAGTTAATGTGCCTGCTGGAGTACTGCAAATTCAGGTCCAAATTGCTGAAAGGGATCAACAGACGGGTGAAGAAACGGCAAAACCCCTCTGCCCCCGATACATTTAGCCATATCCATGACCACAGCAACGATTAGTTGAGCGAAGTATTACTTAGTCTGCGAACCCACTTTGGACCGCAGCTTAGTCACGCTTCCAGACTTGCAGGGAGGAAAACAGGCGGCTCGGTTGATACCTAGGATTGCATGTAATGGGTGGTAGCCAACTGAGACACTTGGCCTCTCTTTTTAGTGCGCAACCGATTGGATTGAGTCCGTTGAAACTATATGCTGTGTACACAGTATTTCCTTATCACTTCCATCTACAGGCCCATATAGGATGCCTTTTGGGTCTCAAGCTACTCTAATCTCAGGAGGCTTTTGACAGTATTATCACCTGGCATCTTCTTACTCGTAATGATCTTGCATGTAGAACATTAATTGCTATGGAATCATTCAACTCCGCAGAAGCATCTGATATTCATGTAAATAGAGCAGTTGGCCAATAATAGCCAGATAACTGGCATTGCAAGCCAGTCCCAAATGAGCTCGCAAAAATAAGAGGTATAAGACGCAGAAGGCTGCTAAACAGTATATCCGATATTGCCCAAAGGAGACCAATATGGACGACCAACCCTCCAGGATAAGCAATCTAAACCGTGCGTCATGGAGGTCACAATGTCGTAATCGTCTTGCGCAGCACATCTGTAAGGTCACATCATTGTATACTCTGGGCTTAACTCATTGTCATTGACAGGGGAGAAGCTCGGACTGCGGCTGAAGCCCTCAGAGGTACGATTAAAGTCGACTGAAGAGTTGCAATACGCATGGGAGATAGATGATCCGGAGCTTGAACCCCTGTTCGATAAGCATTTAAGCAAACATTCCGCCGGGGTATACATGCAATTATGCCGCGAGGTCGGTCAATCCTTCCATGCAGTCCGATGCAATAATATTGATCAGGTATAAACTGTCTTCCATTTGCTACTCTGTTATACTTTAATAACTAATTGGTTAGCGCCCGCCGCCAGCTCCCCTATCTGTCCAATATGAACAAGTCATGGCTGAAAAGTTTCAGCTTATTCAGAAATTAGAGCAGGTAGAGAAGGACAAAGCAGCACTAGAATTAGCGAAGGCCGAGGCCGAGGATGAAATCCAGGTTCAGAAGTCTATTATTCGAGAAGCACAGATGACCATACATCTACATCAACAAGATATCCAGCACTGGATGACGGTGGCTGAATACTATCAATCAAGCTGCATGCAATGCTCTGAGGCACTAGGGCAATTGATTGCTTTTGCGCAGGGCATTAGCACTGAACTTCCATCTCAACTCACACAATAGGAAGCTGTTTTTTTTTTTTTTTTTTTTCTGTCTATCATTATAGTAATGGAATGTTATTTAAAAGAAAACAGGAACATGGAGACGGTAGAGCGGAAATGTACTCCAGATATGTAGGACTAGCCGAGAACGGGACATTATTACCAAAGTAGGTACATTGTCGAGGAAATCTTATACATCCAACCTGCCTAACTAAAGAAGAGATATGTGGCAATTATTGGGATCGATTTTTTCAACAAGCCTCTTTACTGCAGCCACTGGGACGTAGTAACTTTCCATCTCCGCTAGTTCAAACTTCCAAGGCCCAAAGGTGGGGGCTGCAATACCGGCCGCTGTGTACTTGGTAACAGTGACGGGTTGCCATACCGTGCACGTACCCGGTACGAATAGTTAGAGCTTGCTGGACACCTGTCAAGGTGTATGCGAAGTGAAGCAAATCCAGTATAGTGGTGAGAATAATTTTAGTCGCCCGCATGGTCCTCTGCTAGGTACAAGCGTAGAGTGAAAGTACGTCACACCCTCGCCGTAGTTCAGCTGCAGCTACCTCTGTTGGGCACATAATGCCCCGAATGACTTTACATCTGCGGCCCCATTCGTGTTGCGTGCCTAAATAGTGCCAGCGGGTTGTTATTTCTGGTGTGCGATATCGTTTGGTGTTGCGTGCCGAACTGGTGACGCGCCACTATCTGTTGACAGCTGATGAGATATGCAGGACTGTGCGAATTGACATGATCCAGCAAATGCCAGATGATGAAATATTTTTAATATTCCCCAGAATGAAATGGTATCCGTTCCTCGCTCTCCAGTACAACATATAAAGGCCGAGTCACAGCCGCAGTTTCCTCCTGTATACCAAAAACATCAGGTCAATAAACGACAGACAAGAAAAGAGATAGGTACGTTGCCAGTTATATATTGCCTATTATATACTGATGGACCTCCTTTATTAGCAATAGAATTGTAATCTGTGTTTGACTTCACACTGACATGCCCAAAAGCAAGAGGCGTACCCGGGCTACTCGCCGGAGAAATACCCGGCAAGAGCCTCAACATGAAGAGGCTGCAGAGAACGAAGAGCAGCCCACAGGCACCAATAACGATGAGGACGTCGATATGGACCGGGAATTGAAAGATTTGGATTCAGACTTTGAAAAATTATCCGACGATGAAGCCCCAACCGCACAAAAACGTCGTCACAAGAAGGCCAGAATCGATGGTTGGGCACAGGAGATCATACAGGACCTCGTTAAAAAAGAGGGGCGGACATTAAAAGGATACTTCAATCTGAAACGCCAGACTTTTCCAAAATTGAGCAGCTCTTCCAAAAACCAACCAGAGGATCAAAAAGGCCAATATTGAACACAATGTTTCCCCGGAACGAAATCTTCTACCTGAGAAGATCTATCGAATTACGTATGACTCATGGTCAGCCTACATGGACTCGGGTATGGTGGAGGATGACCCCGAGAGTGGATGGAAAGCATATGATAAGCTGTATAAATCTTTCTACCTGATCAACCGTGGCAATTCTCTACCTGAAGACTGGAATATTCCCCAGACGTTACCATACAGCGATTTGGGGAACGACCGGAAAGCCTGGGGCAGCTTCCTGCTATGGATGATACAGACTCTGCAGTTGAATACTCGGATGACTCCGAATCTGACGAGTCAGACTCTGATGATCTGTCTGGAATAAATGCACTGGAATCCAGGATGAGGAAGGAGTATACTGCGCTGGCGCGTGGAAGGGTACTTTACTGGTGGCCAGTCGGCACAGGGACCCAGATTTTCGTCCGGTATGGCTCAAAAGGAACCCTATATACCGAGTACGCGCGGGATCGTCTGAGCCCTACGACCCGCAAACGGCAGAACTAGTCCTGTCCAACACTCGTGGGAACTCGAAGTCTACTCTTACCACGGATGGTATACTCCAAGAGGTATGGAAGTATTCCCGCGATGACGTTTCCGATATTACAGGCGTAGGTTGGAAGGTCGAGGACGACGACGAAGCCAATACCAATGCCCTGGCATTAATTCGACCGCAGCGATACGCAACCTACCCCCACACTAGGGTTCTGGTGAAATGGAAAGACGGGAATACTACGCTGGAGCGTCGAGGATTTGTTCGACGTATTGCCAACGGAAATAGCTTCAACGGAGATCGGATGATCTATCTAAAGGCAAAAGAGCTTGAAAACGCTTACTGGGGATACAATGTCGAGGAACATTGGGATCATGACTCAGACGACAGTCATGATAAATCATCAGATGAATCATCGAGTCGCACTTATAGTTCCCGCCCTAGGAAAGCTCCCTCCAAATCCAGAAGAGGCGTTCGTAATGTGGAGTCCGAATATGAAGAAAATGACACGGATTCAGACACTTCCCTATCCAGTCTTGAGCAGGCACGGAAAACACGCAGGTCTAGCCGACGCACTAGGACCAGGAAGTCCAAGCCTCCAAATAAGAACGCGGCTATTGATGCTGAGATTCGCCTCCTGACGAAGGAGCTCAACCGGCTCCAAGTTAAACGTCAACGAGGTAGCCGTGACGACAAGACTGTCTCCCGGAGTCGACGCCGGAAAAACCTTGGTTAGCAGTGCTATAGCTAGATATCGACCCAAACAAGCGACATATAATCGGGAGGGCTACTATTTTATTCACTGTCATGCTTCACATGTTCATTGTCGGTTTGCTTTACTACGCACAGAAGCAAGGAAGAAGCGAGCGCTGATGCCAGCCATCTTAGTGCAAACTTGACCGAGGTGGAGGGAAACACCGTTATATTTATTTTAGTTTTTGTTTATTTTATTTTTGGGGATTTCTTGCCTTTATTTTGCAGTAATAGGTACTTCTTTTTTTTTTTTTTTTTTTTGCGTCGCTCAACTTTGATACATTTAAAATGGAGGAAAAAACAAGATAAAGGCTTTCAAGGAAGCAATTGTTTTAGGCAGGAGACAGTTTCAATTTCAATTCCGCATTTTATTTTTTGCACACAAGTACGTTCAATACATTGCAATCTTTCCACTTCCCTTGCTTCTCGATGTTGTCTGTGTACGATGCCGCTATGGCCCCGAATGAGAACGAGGCTTGGCAACGAGGTCGGTAGATTCGGTTAAGTTTGCGGGCGGTTCACGTGGGGGAGTGGCGCTGAAAATACTTCTCCCCTTCCTTCCCTTTCTCTCACTTCGTTTCAGGGCAAAAGAAGACAGACTTCTCACTTAACGTCTCCCAGTTGGACCAAACTTGATATCGGAAATATATTCCGGCAAGCTGAAATGTCGGGCACAGGTCTTAGAGACTCTAAGTTGAATCCCACACTTTTATCAACGCAAGACCGACCTCGGAAGACGAGAAACGCATGATTGATCGACATGTCCGTGTTCATGTTGGGAGATGGATTTCTAAACAGAGTAGACACGGCTCATCCACGAGAGACTTGCCAACGTCCTTGTCCAAATATTCCGCAGAGGCTTCCCAAGCTATGCCTTCCGACCAATACGATAAAGGTGTAGACAGGAGTCCCCAAATACCTATCATACAACATCAGCCGATCCGTCTACCGCCATGTTCAGCATTGCTATCAAATGTCCGCATTTTTCAAAACTCAGGACAACAGCATTCGTCATGTCCTTGTCCTCCTGATCCAATTTCCTCTTTGATTTGCAGTCCACCTAGCAGTCGCAATCCTCCACCCTCATTCCACCGAAAGTATCCTTCTAGCCCAGCGCCTTTAGCTGAGTCAACATTTGCTTTGTCATCTCACCTTAGTCCATCAGATTCTGTCTATGTTGGAAGATCAGTTGCTTCGCCTCTGCATTACACCCATCAATGCAGCCTATGAAATACCGTTCCCCAAGAGGACCTCAATAAGGGACCATACAAAGGCCAAAGTTTTAAAATTGATAGTGGTGAAAAGATAGTGACACTTTATAATTATGTAAATAGAATCTCAATAAGATGCAATAACTAACTACAGCATTAGTAGACTTCCCCTAGTGCCTGTAGCGCATGTGGTCATGGAACTCTAAAGATCACAGTCGGAAGCCTTAGATACTATATTAGAGCTTACGATAGCTATTGCTTCTTGAGTTGCAGTGCATGACATACTGGAATTATTGATTTAAATCTTGGGCCTGGGCTGTTGGGAGTGGAATTGTAACAGTCCCAGAAGTGACCTTTCCACTTAAAGGGCCAGGTCTCTCCAGCTTACCGGGGCACCCCAAAGATAGAGTCTTCCTTCACCTAGCACAATACAGTGGGGTGACCTTCTTGGCCTTTTATCTATATTAGTTTTTGGTATTCGACAAGTGAATTTCTCCGTCTAAAGTTCTACCTAATCTTGTCTGAGAATACGACCAGGACAAGGTAGCACATGACGGCGATAGCTTCCATAAAACATAAATGAAAGTTGTTAACATCCGACCAATATCCGTTCGTCTGGAAAAGACCCTTCTAACATGATGCCATTGGCTGCCTTCCCTTTCTCTTTGTCCGCCACCGATGAGAACACAAGAAAAGAAACGTAAAACGAAAACAAATACAAATGCACTTTGGAAACCCAAACTTTACGGTCCCTTCAACACCTCCAGCCCGGGCGGCTTTTTCCGCTGAACGAAATAGTGGTCGACGGTTCCATGGTTCAGCTATACAAGGCCCACCAGTGCTATGTGATTGGCGAAATTCTATGTCTGACCAAGTATGCCCATGATTGCAAGATCCATACTTGCTTGATTAGGTAGGAGATCATTTGAGCAACACACATAGTGGCACGCTACCCCTCAACAAATGATTTTTCAGCTACTGAGGTATCGAACTCGACCTTCTACGAGCCCCTCATTGGGTTTTCTTTTTTTGTTTTCGGCATGTGAATGTCTCCACAAAACAGTCTACTTAGTATTATCATCCGTGAGTATAAGGATGGCCTGTAAACTATTCTAATACTCTCTATAAGGAGAAATTTACTGGACACCTATTCTAGCTAATACCCCATCTTCAAGTAAAAGGCATTTCGAGTATAATGCTGATTGACCATTCCTTTCTGTTTTATTGCTCTATATTCGTGGTTTATATACTCCACGATGTCGCCTATGTTATAAGTACTTACCAAACTCACTTTCTATTAACTAGTTAAGGCAAAGGAGATCTTCTCCGGTATCTAGTGGGTCAGAAAAGTTTTAACCTTCCCAACGCCTAGTGCGAAAAATATATTGCCGATCAATAAAACAGGCCCGCTCCCGAGCGAGATCCATCCATCCCCACAAAACGACGGCCATTGCTTGATGATGTGCCTCATTTAGTCGATAAGTATCCGATAGCTCACGGACAATTTTTTTTGCAGGCCTCAGCCAAACAAGTCAAATTCCGCGTCAATTCATTTATACTTTTTTTTTTTTTTTTTTTTTTTTACCCTTCACCCAATCTCAAAGTGGAGAAGGTGGACCGGGCCGTCGATTCCTAATAAAGCCGTCTTCAGTGGTTGAAACTTGCCGCCTGGAAGTACGGAGTGAAATATATTCCCTCCTTCATGCAAAATCACAAAATAGGACTTATTAAATTTATTCCAAATGATATGGTTGTTTTCGCCTTTAGTATGCATATCCGATCGCTTCTTGTAAAGCTAGTCTTCCAGCATACAGGGATAGCCCCCAGCAACAGATGCATCATGCATTAGTCCCACCAAGGGGTGAGCTAGTGTAACTAGGCCAAACTTATTTTAACCCCTAATTTACTCGACCCATGGGTCGTTATGGATGCTTCACGTTCAACTCTAATTCATTTCTGGGAAATGGCTTTTATTCGGCAGCTTTTTGTCAGCTTCTAACACCCGTAAGCAGCAAACAAATGTCGATCCGTATGACTAGAGACAGCCTAATTGGCTCGTAACGTCTCATAAAGGTAGCCGACAATTATCTAGGGGTTTCGCTCCTCAGTAAATCGGGACTCTGTATTCTAATACGCATAGCGTTGGAAATATGTTCCGATAGCGAAGTAGTTCAACCAATGTGTAATTTTCAGGGTGGCAATGGTGGAGCCAGTTGAATATTGTTATTTGCCATTAAGTGCCGTCGCATCCGGAGACGGCATTGTTGAACTCAGAAATATCCTCCCATCCCCGGGGATTAGAACTGTCATGGCTTGTTTCTTCTGTTCACACTGACAAGTCCTTCACTGAATCCGTCTCCCTGTTTGGGCCTTTGCACATCGGTATTTTAGTGAGTTATAGAACCTGTCCTTTGCTGCGGTTCTTTCGCTTTTTACTGCCTCGATGTTGTTGTACATTTCCGTCGCACTGGGCTCCACTTTTCTGTTTTGGTCACCCTGCCATATGTCTGCTACGGTCGAAATATTTGTATGTTGTCTACACTCAGCGCAAGTCCGATATTTTCCATTGTACTTATCGCTCTTTTGCTCATAGGGTCGTTTGCATGATGCTGATCTAGAAACCGACCGTACCGGACGGACCGTTCCGCTTGGTCTGCAGCAACAACTTCCATGAGTCTAAGAACATTTTCCGGGGCTCAGAGTCCAATAATGACCAACTTGATCGATTGTTGCTTTCGGCTTCCTGATAACTCGACGTCCGGATAGGAGTGGAATATGTGATTGGCTTTGACTCAGTTTGGCTCCTTTGTCGGGGTGGACCCAATTCTAGAAGTGGCTACTTTAACTGATTAATGGGAAAGTGCTGCTGCACGTACTACCTACCTGAAGGGTCATTATGTGTCTTATAAATAATGTCTGACGTATTCAGAAATTCGCTGGGATGTTTGGCTCTCTTTTCCTCTTCACTTCTTTGGTGCTGTAGACTAGAGAAATGTTGACCGATATTATTCTCATCTTAGAATTTATCCTTTATATACAAAAATAGTAGAATGTCTTCTCCAGAGAGAAATATTCCATATATATACTAATGAATGATGTACATGTATCAATGGCTCCTGTTGTGAATCAGGAGTCGATTAATAACATTTAATGGTGTTCTCTCCGCGGTAAGTAGAAGGCGATAATTAATACCCTATCCCAGGCGTGGTTAAAACAAGCCGTGTAAAAGCTTCTCTTGCCCTCTTATAACTGTATACTACCTCGGACATATCACGTATGACTGACTACTGTTATATCTTATGCCTCCAGGAATTCAGGCTAGCAGGACATGTAGTTAATCATTGAATAATTGCATAAACTCAGATAATTACTTGATGACCTAAAACCCTTAATCACGTAATTGTCTTCTTTCATAATATCTTCACTCTATGCGAAGCTTAAGAAAGACAATGGATTTCCCCTACAATAGGCCTAAAAAATTCTCCTGTCTCTGCAGATTCTCCTGCTTTCTGTTCTGCTGGACTATCAGGCTCCAGAGTGCAGGGACTGAGAATAGCATGGCTAAGCGGAGACTCGCTATAACCGTCCTCACCAGAAGAGGTGCAGCATGGAAAGTCCACTGGTAGAATTTTTTCAGGCGATATTGTTGTCCGAAGGTGTGTGTCGATCTGCTCAATAACCGAATCCAGATCAGTGGCAGTGTTTACTGTCTCTTGATTTAATAAGCACGTTGTCGTCCAGTTAAGGTGGCGGAATGTCTCAACTACTGCGGGGAAATCATTAGCAATAGTTGTAGCTAGAGCCACCAGTTGTCCTTCATTAACCCTGCTATTATTGCTGCAAGACAGATTAGTCTCAAGGCATTCACGTCGAGATAGCTTGCTGAGATACATAAATACATACACTTCTCTCTCGACTGTTTTGGAACAAACCAGAAGAACCCCAAATGAAAGCCTAGATGCTACCAATAGCCACCTCCTAGCCTGCCTATTTTCCTTTCGAAAGCGAAGTTTCCTCAGATTCCGAGTGTTGTCATCAGTTCTTTCCCAGTCACAGTACAACTCCGCTAAAACAAAGTTGATTGCAAGTGTGTCAACCCGTTGGCTTCGTTTCTGTGGCGTCTTTTGGCCCCTTATTCGCTCAACCTTTAACAGGTGCACGCGTCTGATAACATGAAGATATTGAATAATCTGGAAAAGCCGTAGTCCAACTTCCTGGGCCATATTCAAAAGAGCCAGTGGAAATAGGGCGTGATGGCCATTTGGGGAACTACTCTCAGCTCCGCAATTCCCGGCCATATGGGAAAATAGTCCGTATTTTTCCCATGTCGGAAGAAAAACTCGAAGGAAACCAGACGCGCGGTCATCGATAAGGTCTTTAGGTTGCTGAATAGTATTACTACCAACGATGGGTGTAACATTGGTTGGACTCAATAAGTAGGCATTAGGACACTGGAACCGGAATATCTCTAATAATGATGGTTCCGGCAAGACGGGTTGACTCGCAGCCATTGTCAAAGATCTTGAAGCTTGAGCAGTTGTGATGGATTCATAAAGTTGTCTTTCGATACGAGTTAACAGGGAGTATAGTACGACTAAATACTGCTTAAGCGCCCGGTCTACGACTACATAAATTCGCACCATTTACAACATGCATTGGGAGTCTGAGCCTTCAGAACACAAGCCAAAACAAAATGCGAGGGGCACCAAAATTAGGGCTTAAGCCTTATGGAGCTATCGGAGCCTTGTTGACGACCCAGAACCAAGAAAATCTAGACATTGATCGCCGCGTTCCAGTTTCGGTCCGCAAGGAGAAGCCATCATGGTATGCGTACGAGGATTCGCTGCGAGCGCGACGCTAACCGTAGCTCTCCAAGAGAGATGCAGGTGCAGGACGGCAAAGGCTGGGCATCTGCGGCACCGTTTGGGGTCGCAGATGGCCAGAAACGGTGCCGCAGTCCCCATCTCTACGTTCTCGGATTCGAATAGAATAAAACACGCCCAATATTTGCTTTATAGGACCGAATTAATTGTTCCCGAATTGTCCTCAACTTCCATCTAATTACATCGTCATCTTAAGCTTTGGATTTCACATTGCGTTCTACATAGTTAGACGTCGCCAACAATGTCCATCGAAAAATTGCCCACGGAGCTGTTATGGATGATTATAGAGTACAGCCAGGCGGGCGGGAGCTTAGTGAACATCTCGCAAGCTAATCGGAGAATTCGAGCTCATTGTGCTCCTTACCTATTCCGCACACTCAAGATTTCCTTCTCATTGGCTGGATTTGAATGCTTACGTCAAGCATCCAAATCCTGCGTTGCCCAGTATGTGAAAGTGATCCGCTACGAGGTGCCGGAGCTCATAGACCCTTGTCAGTCGCCAAATACCCACAAATTTTAGAAATACTGATAGATAGGCAGACATTAAAGAATGGGATTATTTTTGCTCCTGTGTGTACACGCCATCTGAATACGACCGAGACCAGAGAGAGCTTTGCTGGAACTTCCGTGGCGGAAAAGTCTCATATAGCATGATATACCGCTATTTTGCTGGACTATCCTGTGAGCAACAGCTGATACTTGGGGAGCGTATCGATACTAAAACATTTTGTGAATGCATTCCTCGCTTTCTGCACTTGCAGAGTATCGAGATTCCCTTTGTTAATAATACTATAAAGCCGTTTCGCTGGCTTGCGGGGCGTTTATTTGTCGACTGGAGAGATTCGTTTCCTGCACACTTCGAAACCATTATCGACACTATGGTAGCAGCTAAGCGCAACGGAATCCTTATACGGAATTTCAAAATATCCGGATTCTACTCTAAGATGTCTGCCACAGACCCTGACCTATTTGCGAAGGCGGCGGAAGCACTAAATGAAGTTGAATATCTCCAACTCATTGATAGTTCTAGCCTTTTGAATTTTATGAGAAAAATCAATTTGCCTTCTCTCCGCCACCTGGAGCTGCAAAACTGTTGGCTTTCGGTCAGAGACCTCGAGGAATTTTTCTGTGCACACGCAGGAACACTCCAGTCTCTCCATCTTCAAGAGACGTGGTTACCAACAGAGACAATCTATGATTGGGGTATTAGTTTGTGCTCGGGTACTGTAGGGACGATTGTGGAGGGATTATCCACTATTCGGGAGTCAGGGATTTTGAATAAGCTAACCATTAACAAGAAAAAAATGTGGCCAGTACGAATACATGGAGTTGTTTGACGGAGTATTGGCTACACGTACTGTAAGTCAAGGTGTGGAATTAGAAAGGTGGTATTATTATTGATGTAAAGCAGACCCTGGGAAGTGTTGGTCCAACTGTAATTAATGGAGCAGTGCCTGCAATGTACGGATAAGCATTGGACTTGTGGCATGGAAAGTAGGCCCAAAGTGTGAGGGCGCTATACAACCTGAATATATAAAGCGAGAACAGTTCAAGGACGCTGTCCTTGAATGCTACCTGACACAATGCATGATGAGCTAGACCCGACTTCCTCTCGACATCCGGACTAGGATTATAATAGAACAGACAAGGTAGCTTAATCTCTATATAGGTTTACTTAATAGCCACTTAGCAATAGTTATATTGCACGGAGGAAATAATTACTTGTTAAATATTTTATTAATAAGCAGCTTCCCACTAAATATATATATAACAGGCAGATATACGGTACATATTCCTTAAAATCATAGAGATCGTCCTATATATTTAGCACCATGCCTCCATATATTATGTTATATGGGGTAGTTTATCTTTGACGAATATGGAAATTTAGATTGGTATCTCCACATTGTGCCGTTGCGTCGATATTTCACAATCTTCACCTCCACAAGTACCAACCCCGACTTTCACGCGATATAGGACAGAAGCTTAAGCATTACGGCTTGATGAAACAATGTTAAAAATAGTAGATGGAGCACTGATTGTTGCCTTGCACGCTGTAGATCTAGGTACAGTACACTGGATAGAAGGGGAATCCCCTTTTTGGAGCCAGCTATTCAGCATTGCTTAGACAATAGAAACAGACCCAGATCCATTTTATTGAAAGCTAAGGTCCGCTAGTTAGTTATTTTAGGGCGACCCCGATCTAGACCGGTGAGAGGCACACATACAGCGGCTGCGCTCGCTAATGGGGGCGGGAACTGCAGAACCCCCATTCAGCCAATGCTTCACGATATCCACCAGCCCGACAGTGATGGGCTCGCGGAATTCTAGGCTCCACTATTTTGCGAACCTCTTAGGGGTCGCGCCTTAGTCATATTGCATGCCCCGGTGAAGGTAAAGCAGCAGGTGGATAACAGCATGAGCATGGCTTGTATATAATCCCTGAGACCCTCCCCGTCGTACAGCCATCCTGTATATATTATACCAAGTCACAAGATGGCCATCAATCAATTTAACATAGCTACTAAATCTGTCGAGAAGATTTACACGGCCGTAGTTGGTGGTGTAATCAGTATTCTCGTATTCTACAACATCTTTAGCCGCATGCACACTAGGTTTTCTGGATCACATCGCCTGGCCACGTTCATGTACCCAGTACCATTCAGAAGTATGTTCCGGATACCATCACCTCTTCATCTAATCCTCTCGATAGCCTATTTAGTGGGAAACGGCGCCTGCAACTTTATCGGCGTCCAGTCTCTTTCAGAAGCAGGGTCACGGGCCGCTCGCCTATCTTTGATTAACCTCATTCCCATGTTCATCTCTGGGGGCTATGAGTTCGGCGCTCGTCTTCTCGGCGTGTCTCTTCAGACATACGGAGCCTTCCATCGAATGGTTGGCCTTGTCGCAGTTATTGAGGCCACCATACATGTTTTGATTATTGCACAAACAAGATCAATTTCAACATCTAATACCATGCAAGTCTATGGTGTCTTGGTATGATATCCCTATTCCTAGTATCTATCTCAGTATGACTGACTGACTGTAACAACATGCTGCGAGTATATTTCTTTTTCCCTCATAGTCTTGCCGTTGGTGAAGAAAAAGAATATATGAAGTCTTTCTGAGGATGCACCAAGGTTGTGCCCTTGTTGTGCTCTACGCGATTTGGCAACACACTCGTCCCATACAGAATAGCAGCGCTTGGGCCTATCTTCTTGGATCTGCTATCATTTTTGTTCTGTCACTTGGTACGCAATTCATCCGTGTACTCTTCCGTAACATTGTTGTTGGGAGGAGATGCACAACACTTTCATTGAAAGCCTATGGGGAAAGTATCGCTTGTTTAACTCTGACTCTTCCTCGGCCCTGGGCTGTGCGAGCGGGGAGCGCGTTGGATTTGGCGCCCCATCAATCGGCCTATTCTATTTGGCGCAGTCTCACCCTTTTACTATTAGCTGGTGGGAGGACAACGACATCGGCAAGGCGACTTCTGTCTCCCTCCTTCTACGGTCACGCTCCGGCTTCACCAGAAAGCTACTCGATCGCCTTGGGCAAGAACGAGAATACACGGTTTGGATCGATGGTCCGTTTGGTCCCGCATCAATCGGCCCATGCGGCTTTGGTGGGCAGATGGGAGACTACGGTCATGTTTTCATGGTAGCGACAGGAATCGGGATTGCTACACAGCTGCCCTACATCAAGGAGCTGCTAGGAGAATATCGCAAAGCGCGCATCCGGACTCAGAGGATCTCCCTCATTTGGCAGCTAGATGAGGAAGGTGACTGGGAGAGTGCTCACGACTGGTTACAAATGCTGGTCAAGCAGGATGAGGGATGCGTGAGTATGTTTATCGATAAGGGGCACCTTGCTGATTTTGTTATAGTTACTCAACGTCACAGTCTACGACACATTGGAGCCAGCATCAAAGGGAGACCCGCAACGCTTTGGGTATCATGACTTGATCAAAGTCCATAGCGGAAGGCCGAACTGGGAACTGCAACTGTCATCTGAGGTAGAAAAGCAGAAAGGCAGGATGCTCGTGGCAGGTAAATTTTGTCAGCTACCAAGTCAAAGAATCCAACGCTAACCACATTGGCAGTATCTGCTTGTCGCCCTGTGCGAGATCAGATGCTACGTCTGGTAAGAGCGAATGGGGAACATGGTATAGATCTCTTCGAGCAGGAATTCCAACCGTGGACCGGGAAAAGTAGGTGGTGGTCATATCTTACTCCATAGTTGGAACATCAGACGGAAACCTTGTATACCACATGCTCGTATCCATTTTCCTTGTCACAGGCACGTGCGCGGAGAAGCAGTAATGGTGGAGTTAGCAAAGTTCTGAAGAACTTTCCATTATTATATTGTAGCGTTTCAGTAGAGACTAATACAAATTATTTGCTCAGCGTCACCGCTCATCCCATCTCAAGCTCATTTAACCTCAACCATTACCACCAGTTATCCCATGGTAATATAGATAAGCATATTACGGCTGAGCTAATGTATCAAGTAATTGCACCGTGCAGGTCTCAATGCCGCAAACATCTCGTACAAACTATATGGTCACATAAACGGATATATCAGTTGCTGCTTAACGGGACATTCCCGAGAAGCTAGGAGTCTATGTGAACCGTTGAAACAAACTGGTTTATTCTTAGAGAGTATGAAGTAGACTACTAAATATGAGGACTATTAAACTCTTGCTTTACTAATGCATATCTCCTACCCTGTAACTCCTAACGACGAGAGGCAACTTCTTGACCGATAATCAGCATTGGTAAGTTGATTTCTCTATTCGAAAATCACCGCCGTTCCGCTGCCTGCTCCGAAGTATGTTCTATCTTTAATATGCACCTGCGCGATAATGGTGTCTTGGTTCTTCTTTTCTCCATATGGCTTGAACTTGCCCTCTGTGGAGGGCTGCTAGACCTTTCCCCATATGTGGTGGCGCTTCTTTTCTTCGCCTGCGGAAAGGGTGATCTTCATTTGAGACATAATATTGCGCAAGTCCTATGTTGTGCGCGGAACTATTGTTACAACTCATCCTTTCAGAAATAAACACTAAGCATAAGTCTTCCAAAAATGCTTGTGGGAATAATTGCTTTTGAAGCAAAAACTGCTGACGTGAGGCTGTCGAAGACCATATATCCACAATCAGCCGACGAAGCGGACTACCCAATGTCGTGTTCGTGTAGACATAATCGACAACAGTCTCGGTTATCAAATCCCCATCCTCGGTGAAATTTTTCCCGCAGCGCTGAACCACAAGATTCTGCAGTTCAGGTACTTCAAGGTCGCTACCCAAAACCTAAAGACGAACTAACTCTAACCATTTTACGCTAGGGCTTGTTTCAAAGATCTTTCTTCGATAGAGCCAGTTGACAAACTCAGCGAAGACGTCAGGTTCAATAGACTGGAGGTGGACAGTTCCTGAAGTTCTTTCAGTGTAACGGTCCTTGAAGTACTCATTGAAATATATTGAGCATTCACACAACAGCTCTATGTGTACATCGAAAGGAATGAGTTCATCTCCCACGTCAATATGGGCTATTCCTCCAGTCAAGGTTCTGTTGCGGTTTAGTTGAAGGCATCTATGTGTTTAAATTATTTGTACATACTTTCTGTCTAGCGATTCCGACATGCTCGTGGAGCAACTGCATCCAGGAAAAAAAAAAAAAAAAAAAAAAAAAGCCCGCAAAGACGTGCTTGAAAGGGGGATCCGCTACTCCAGTACGCATAATAAACTACAACGAAACTTTCTACCCCATTTAGATTTTTTTATGAGGAAACACTGCTTCACTATCTGCGAGCCTGTTTTGGCCCCTTTGTGTAGTGGATACTTTGGAGGTTGGCTTCTGCGGCCCGAAATGGTGACGGCGTCTAGGATAAGTAGCTTATCTCCACAAATGGAAAACTAGAACCTACAATTTTGTATTGGCACTTGCAAAACAGAGCAAAAATAGTTCCCAACAGACCCTTGAACAGCATTTCTATGCATTCTGAGGGCTACTATTGAAGCCACTGTAGAGGCCAGGAACCAACGGACTCTTCGTCTAGGCCTTTAAAATCGTCGAATAAAATAAATAAAGTTCGACCAATGGTTGTGCTACGGAATATACCAAGCACTTGGAGTGCTGTGAATATTTGTTCGTAAAGGACAAGAATGCTGTACCAAGATGGGGCTGCACCAAATAACCCACCGAGAATAATGGGAGCTAGTAGGGTCTGAAGTGGTGCGCACCTTGTTTGTTCCGCACCCCACTACTTGGAACGACATACTACCAGGACCGATTTTCTGTAGTAACGGAAGAAGGAACGTAATCCGCCCGATAAATATATGACGGGGAATATGTGGCCATAGCTAGAGCCGAAGCCTAGTCTTGCACCCTGGAAGCCTTACTGCCTCTTGTACATAAACTTGTCGCGAGCCAACAGGTTATCAACGCTGCTGACCTGCAGACCATAAATTCGAATTATATCAATGGCTAATAACACAAAACGATCCACTACACTGCCTACATCCAGGAAAGATTTACACGCGTTGCAGCCTCTCAAATGCATTATAGAACGAGGACACTGGTAGCCTAAGCCATCTGTCTATCAGGTGACAATATCCAAATCAGCAGTGGCAGCGCCATCCCCTAATTCTGGCTACGTCTCGCAAACGACAGCACCTCACACCAAGTACTCCCACTTAATGTGAACCAGTCTCCCTCGCCAGAAGCGAAACCTGTCAATAGAGGTCGATTTCCGGTGAAGGTGGATAGTTGTACAGCGTGGTGTGGATGGGAATACTTGGCGCAAATACCAACCATTCTGGAGTCTACCAAGCTGGCCTGTCCATCATTGCACATGACCATTCGTTATCATAATATTGTAGCGATAAAGAAGGCAAAGCAGCAAGCCAACAAGAAGCAGCATAGTCAGCTGTGTAGCGTAAGCATGACAATATTGTCCAGCTCCTGGATGTGTTTTAGCTGACTCCTCGCTTTATTTGGTATACGAGTCACTTGAAACCTCCTTACACAATGTCCAGGCGGCTTGTCGGGGAGAGCTTGATGAGGTAGAGATGGCAATTATTAGCAAAGAGGTAAGCATGTCGCAAAGAAGGATAATAAGCAATTAAGAAATCTAATTTAGACAGGTATTGGGGGGACTCAATTACATTCATAATAACTCGGCCTCGCCCACGAACATGTGGATTCCAAGAACATCCTCCTCTCCTACACCACATGCCGCGTAAAGCTAGGTATGTAACGCGAATAGATTGATTACTACTTGGGAATAAATTTAACTTTAAATATATTAGCAAACATTGGCAACTGTATTTTGGGAGGGCAAAAAGGAAAGAAATCTAACGATGTTAGGGCTGTAGGGGCTTTACTGGTCGATTTGAAAGAGCCTGGAACGAGCGGCCGCAATCCGGGAACCCTGCAGCTCGCAAGACCCCAGGACGTCAGTGATTTGTGCAATGAATTTATCCAACAGTCCGCAACATTAAGTGCAGAGGCACTCCTGAAAGTAAGCAAGCCTAGTGTCCTACCAAGCGCTGCTAACAAAATTAGCACGACTTTCTTCTCAAGTTCCCAGGAGTTGGCCGCATGAGGATTTTCATATATCGAGCATTGGACTGCGCAACGAGAACCCGCATAAAGGATTTGCAAGTTAGCGTTTAACTAGTTAATGATTGATTACTCAGTTGTAATGTACATAAGGCATTATAAGGCACAAAATGTATGCGTAGCACAGAAAAAGTGAGTAGCCAGGGAAAACACAGAGGACGGCAATAAGGGGACTGCTAACTAGTGGTCTCCAAGGTTTTAGTGAGGTAATCAATCACGCATCTTTACCGCTAAGATAAAGATCTGACATATTCCCTTGGAGATCAGCTTGGGATAGGCTCTATGATATAGCACCAGGCACGCTACACCTAGCGAGGGGTAATTGCCGGTCTTGTAAGGAGGGGCTGCTTGTGTTGACAGTCTCATAATAGTCATTTAGATATGGCAGCATTCTTAGGTCCATTGTAGTTTCAAGCCTTTGCTAGTAATAGAACAGTTGAGTCATGACAGCATTTGTCTCAAGACAAAAAGCATGAGACAATAGAAGGTCAGAGGGCTGCAGGCGATAGAAGGCGGCCGGTCATAGAGGGCCGTGGGTGAGCGAGGGCTGCTGGCCATAGAGGGCGGCCGGTCACGGAGGGTGGTCGGTCACAGAGGGCTGCAGCTGATAGAAGGCGGCCGGTCATAGAGGGCCTTGGGTGAGCGAGGGCTGCCGGTCACAGAGGGCTGACGGTCATAGATGGCTGCCGGTCATAGAAGGCAGCGGGCCATTGAGGGCCGAGGGTGAGCGAGGGCTGCTGGTCATGGAGGGCAGCCGGTCAGAGGGCTGCAGGCGATAGAAGGCGGCCGGTCATAGAGGGCCGTGGGTGAGCGAGGGCTGCTGGCCATAGAGGGCGGCCGGTCACGGAGGGTGGTCGGTCACAGAGGGCTGCAGCTGATAGAAGGCGGCCGGTCATAGAGGGCCTTGGGTGAGCGAGGGCTGCCGGTCACAGAGGGCTGACGGTCATAGAAGGCAGCCGGTCATAGAGGGCCTTGGGTGAGCGAGGGCTGCCGGTCACAGAGGGCTGACGGTCATAGATGGCTGCCGGTCATAGAAGGCAGCCGGTCATAGAGGGCCTTGGGTGAGCGAGGGCTGCAGGTCACAGTGGGCGGCCGGTCATAGAGGGCTGCAGGTCATAGAAGGCGGCGGGCCATTGAGGGCCGTGGGTGAACGAGGACGGCGGGTCATAGAGGGCTGCGGGCGGTCGAATATTCATAGACGGTTTCGCCAATAGCACTTGGTCACCAAAATGGTCCGCAGTAAACTGGGGCATAATAAAAGTTTCAGAGCTCCCTAGAACCTGATGTTTTCTTTTTCTTTTCCTTCATTATTTGAAAAGCCCTCTTTTGCAGCCTAGCTCCTGGGTTCCTTAGAAGGGCGAAGAAATTGTTTCAGAATGAGTATCCATGGCGATAACCCACAAGAGCAATACATGAGAGAACGCTATGAGTATTTCAGGGGTCACGCAAAGATTGGACTTGAGCACCTAGAGTTTGAAACACCATTGTACGGCTCAAGGGTTTTTGATCCGAAGAACGTCAACAGGCTAGTAAGGGTATTCGAGCTCGAACAATGTTTGCGGCTGGAACCCGCCCATCACATTGCGGCTATCATTGACGAAGAGGCTCTACAGCAAGCTGTGACTTTGAGTGATGTCACCCAGGAACAGCTAACGGACGCATCTAATCTACCGTGGCTCTTCCTGCCGGAAGGCTATCGACTTTCCTGTTTGTACGGTAAGCACCGTATAGCGGCAGCTAAGAAATTTTTACTTCCAGGAGATCGGTGGTGGCCTGTCACTCTGTACGGAAGTAGGTTTCTCATAGAAAATAATGTACAGCATACACTATACTACTTGCTGACAGATAGCAAGGTCTCCCGGAGCATGTGAAGCAAAGATTAATAAGTGAGGCTCCCAACGCGAAGGAATACGAGTTTGGGGATATCTTCCGTAACCTCCGATACAGCCAGCTCGCTCATGACGACGGAACCATAGGGGTTTGGAAATCAAGATTGTCAAAACGCAGAAGTGAAGATCTCGAACGTCTATCACGCAGATATCCGATGATAATCAGGTACTTGGATCGGCTGCTGCCGTTTGCTGGTCTCTGGGCAGATATCTGCTTCACAGCATTACGGCGGCTGGACCGTGTGAAATGCCCAAATGTAGGTGTCCAGCTAGGTTCCAGACCGGATAATGAATTTACTAAGCGCAGGTTGTAGGAAATCATCCACTATTTGGACCGCATTTATCAGATCTGGTCGTCTCTGTTTCCAGAGGGTTTAACCCACCACGTCGATTCCGCGTCGGTCCGACATGTGCAAAACCTAATGCCACAGCAATCGAGCGCAGATGGCAGATTCGTCACTCATCTTATGGCCGAAGGCTGTTTGTTTCCCTCGCTAAAAGAGCCCGAGCATCGGGATGACTTGCTGCGGAAACTCGTTGCCGTCCCAGGCCGAATATTGTCCTTACATTCACTAGCTCAAGACACACTCCTTTTGGAGTCCTGCGCCACTAGTCTTCAATGCCTCGTTCCTGGGGGATTCAAGGACTTGAGATATGCCCTGCTAAGTAGGTTTAGCGGGGGCGGGAACAGTTGGCCTGTTCAAGTCGCAGAAAATGCTACTGAGCAAGTGACAGTGGGCTATAGTGGTAGTCCAGCTTTGTATCAGGCGCTACGAGCGTCTTCAGCTTACGTGCAACTATGGTTGTTTGCAGTACGATATATAGAGAGCCTAGCCGACACAAAGCTGGCCGGGCCTCTGGACGAGAAGAAAATCGATTTACAAATATCTCAGCCGGCTAAAATAGAGGCAAGGCGTCGGCTAGCCTTTTTGGCTTGTGGGCTGGGATTTGATTCCGATGAAATTCAATCTATCCGCTTGCAGAATACAATGAAAACTGTCACAAGGAAGTTTCTAGTAGCGAACCGACCCAGGGAGCTGTATAATTATCCTCGAGGATGGGAAGAAAACGGTACGAAGCGGGTCGTTGACATACTGAATCTTCCACGCGTGAGAAGCGACTACGAGACCATTATCCCTCCATTCACCGTGGATAGGTATAGCGAGGCACCAAAAATTGGACAACGATGCGGGCTGCCTTCCCAAAGGGAGCACCGGGAAAACTGCCAATTCTTGTACGTCCCCCAGGTATACAGTCCAGATCAAGCCTCGGGGACCTATCCGTCTGCGTTCGCTATTATGCGCGATATATTCTTCAGTTTCTTTGGGGCCAGAATATTTCCATCTGAGTTTGTCTCCCCTTGGTGGAGTACGTCTCCATCGTTGTCTGAACCGAATCTTTCAGAGAATGATCACACACAGGTGGAAGAGGCAAACAACGCATCACCTACATCTTCAATCGGCTTGGAGTCCCATCCACCAGGGACGCCAACACAACTAGTTGAAGATCAAGGGCAACTATCTGTGGAGAATCAGAGTATGCTGCCAGATGTAGACATGAGCCAGGCCTTGATCCTACGGCCCCCGATGGCCCCGGGGTTCGAAGATGAAGATGGAGTTGCTCCGTTGAATTTAAGAGTATACATGCCTCATCATAGGGGGGCAAAAGAGATCTTGAGCGTGTGGAACCAGTCCCACGATGGAAACCTAGCGGTGTTTTACTTTTTCAAGACACGGGAATACTGCAAGTTTGATGTTCAGGACATCGAACTACGTTCACATCTCGAGTCCTTCGTATTCTCTATCGCTAACGACCACCACTTTGTCGCCATTGAGGACGGTGCACTCATAGCAGTGAGCCCAGTACAAGCTGTGGAGGATATAGGACCAGGCCAAGTAGTCCTTGTTTCGACGGATCTCGAGCACACAGAGCCACCAATGGTACACTTCTGGGATTATATGTGTTCTTTTGACCCAAAAACAGGGAAAAGGCCTGCAGAAGAAGAAGGCTCAAGGCCTGAAAAAATGCGCAATCGTTCGACACAGCACAGTGAATAGCCGTATTCTGTGCGAAGGGCACATAAAATGGCTCCGCTCATTTGCTGTTAAGATCTTGAATCTCATGATGTAGCGCTAATCTCAATTTCATCTACCATTATCAAGTACGATTTGTATGTTTTACAACAGCATGCTTAACTAGGCATTCCAAGCCCAGCTAAGCGGGTCCAGTAAAGGAAGCTTGGCTCTTGTTGTATAATTCCGTTGTTAGAAAAATTCTAACCGTCAATATTTGGCCTACACTACCAATAATCTTATTGTTCCGAGCGTAAAATATTTGTTGGCTCTTCCAGGGCCTAGCCGTTTACACTCCTGTATACCCTGATCAAAGCAGCCCATTTCTACGCGCGTGTATTGCCAAATCCATGGATAAAAATTCGAAACGCAGCACGGGTCCTTTCGATAATGCACCCTCGCCGCAGGCCGCAGACATTTCCAGGGTCGTACTATCCATGCAGGCCTGTTTGTCCAATTTTGCTAAGACCAGGTGTAAAATAAAATCAGTCAGTAATATGAAATACAGTTCGCTACTGCCTTGTTACGAGACTCCGTCAACCGCTCCAAAATCAATGACGCTTTCCGGAGAATCTCTTAGCCTATGACAACATATTTTCTCTTCCGAGATTGTCTAATTAAGTTACAAGTAGCTCTAACAGGAAAGTCAGAAAAGTTTATATTTACACATAGTCATTTGGATTTGAAACGTGCGTCATTCTCCACCCTGCGTCATTTGCCGTGCTGCCTCTGGAGTGCAAACTAGCTTTATCTGTGATATACATAATATGTTCATCAACCATTTATACAATATGCAGAAGCTATGCTGTTAAGAATATATTTTTCCCCTCAAAGAGCCCCCAAGTCAACAATATTTGGACGATGCAACCACACAGATATATAAATTAGCGGAATCCTTCTTTTGACAGACGATACTTCGGACGGGTATGTGTCCTAGGGCCGGCCAATTTTCCTGCAATGAAGAGTGGGCTTGCCAGACCTAAACGGGCTCGCAGTATCGCATCTGTTTTCAGGAAAGTTTCTGGTGGGAAAAATGGGGGGAAGAATTACGTTAAATGTGGTTCTCCAATCAGGACCCGAGGTCATTATGGCTCGTTGCTTCTTTCTACTGCTTGCCATTGCACTATTGTGTCGCGCTCTGATCCAACAATCCTACTTGGGATACCAACACTGGGGTATAAATAGCCTGGACTTTCTGCGCTAATTTCCATCTACTAATCCAGAAGTCTAGTCCTCCTGTTAGTACTGTGTACTTACTAGACTTCCCACTCACCCCTCCTAAAAGAAAGCTTTTGGGTGGCTCCTTATCGCCAGCGGAAAAATGCCCCGTCCTTATCATAGTACGCTCCATATATCTTGAAAAAGCTACACTTTAGACTTACAAGTGCCTAGAATTTTGCAATCGGAGTTCTGTTTCTTCCATGTAAGCGAGAAGAACAGACTCTTCACCGTTCATGCCGCATTGCTCCCGCTTTTTCCAAAATCGATATCCGAGTACGAATAGTCCTCACAGGAAAGTCAAGAAGATCGAAAATGTGGATGAAACTACATTCGGTTGTTGTTGTGAGTTCGTATACACCGGCGACTACTCGCTTCCCGCCCCATTTCCACGGCCAGTGAGGACGCCGAATATAAATCCGACAACGATGAAGAACCATCTCGGAAGGCAGCAGAACAATGGACCCCAACTTATCTTACCGGAAATTTGTTTCATCCATCAAAGTTTCCTGCTTTCTGTCGTCTTGCATTAGAGAGGCTTGATGTAATCATTGTTCGCGAGGCTTGCCCGAATACAGATCCTGCGGAGGACTACACTAACCTCTTCCTGGCCACGCTCACGTTTACCGCTTTGCCTATAGGTCGGATTGGGTCTCATTATGTGCACTGTCACTCTACCGAATTGCAAACATACTGGCCAATTTTACTCTTTTCGAAGAGCGGACAGGAGATGTTGTGAGATTGCTGAGTTTTGTATTTGAGGAGAGCGAATATATGGACAATCTTCGACATTTGCTACGAGACTATGCAGTGTGGAATGTAGGAATACTTATGAGGGATGTTTGTTTTCTTCAACTTCTCGACAGGGTGCCATGCTTGGAGCGAGATATATTTCGCTCCATGTGGAAATAATACTAGATGGGACTAGCACTCTAAACGATTAGACAGCTACAGTATATCCAGTCTTCAGCCTCATTAAATTTAAACTTGGCAACCAATCTATTCCAACAGGCGCTCCAGAGCAATGTGGATCTGCGGGAAAACAGACGGTCCTCTCGAGGCCATTACGCCCTTCACGCCGGCCGCAGACCTTTTTGGGGTCGCACTATCCATATTTACCTTACCGAACGATCAGTATATTGTCTCGCAGCAGCAAAGTAATTTCCTCACTGCCATCTCGAGTCATGAAATCTATCGCGAGTACAGCATATCGGTCAGCTATCTTACAACCGAGGGATGTTCCATGAGAGCTGCAGCGACACATTCATGTCACAAACTCCTTCGTACATTACTGTAGTGGAGCGGAGTGGAGTCTCGGGCTCGTGCGAGACGCCATCCGCGGCCCTGTTAAGGTCTGCAGCTGGCGACCTGTGGTACTGCGGAACAGTTCATGTACGCTTTGCTGCGCATATATATTGACGTTAGAATCAGTACAGTGCAAAATCCTACCCCCAAACAACGCAGACTTCCTCCATTTCTACATTATTCTGTCTCCACACAAATGGCTCCCGCAAAAAAGCTAGGTTCTCCAGTCGAATTACCAGACTGTAGGCGGACAGTTCTCCCCAAGAAGCTCTTGCCATCCGTGTCTTTCCATGATGATCCCGCACGGCCCGAGTTCGTTAAACATGGGTCCCCATATGACCAGGTGGATAGAGTCTTTTTTGGGCTGAACCCTCCTTGGAATAACGTCCATGCCATTGAATTCAAGGATGGGTTTCCTGTTGGCTTCCTCATTCACCAAAAGGTTGAATCAAAGAACATCCCCCTGGATCGCATCAGACAGGTTTCACATAAAAATGTGTTGAGCCTCGAGGAAGTATATTTTCTAAAAGGAAATATTTACTTTCTCTATAACCAGTGGGGAATCACTCTAAACGAGATCGGACAGCTATCTCCAGTCTTTAACCTCAGCGAGGTTGAGGTTGCTGTTATCTGCAAAGCTGTAAGGTCTCTTAGTGGATCTTATTCCTTACTCTTAAGCTAAACATTTGCAGATACTTCAAGGGTTGATCTATATCCACGAGGATTTGGACACCTGTTATGGAGACCTTACATTGTCCAATGTTCTTATTACTGATCAGGGTGACGTGAAGATCGGTATGTAACCTTCACTTATCAGTACTGACTGAGGGCTAACACTTGTAGCGGGTATTGGCAATAGCCTACTTCAGAAACCCAATCCTCTGGGTAAAGCTAGAGACGTTCAGGCGGTCTGTCGTATGGCTCAGAATCTTCTTACGCCGAGAAAGACGTCAACGTACGCGGCACAACAGGACTTCTTGCTCAAGATTTCGCTGGTGCTCCACCAACAGCAACGGCAAAGGGCCTTCTTCAGGTAAGATTGAGTAAAAAACAAATTTGACTTTGCTGCTTATCAGTTCTCAAGCATCCATTCCTAGAAGTTAACGCGACACAATGGTGCCTCCGACCGCTTCATATCCTCTGTAGGATAGGGAAAGAGCGAAAGCATGAATTGGAGAGTAATGAGCCAGATACTTTTTCAGATAATTAGAACGTCTTTCCTTATCTCAATGTTAAATTTATACCAGGCAACCAATCTCTTATGTTAGAATAAATTTACATGATGAATGTGGTTTCCATAACTTTATCTTATGATCCAAATCTAGCGTATACACTAAATTGCAAAACCGCCGCAAGGGTCTTACACTCTCCGATTGTATTTCAAACCCTCATGCCAAGGCGGACTAAACCATATTAGGAATATTTAAGGAAAAGCTATTTTCCGGAAGTATAACATGTATTGTACTAAACTGTTAGATGACAGTAAATTACAGTAGTTGTGTATGGTGCTTGTATTGGGAAACCATGGTATCTAGAAGCTTCTTTAATGCAAACTAGCCAAACCCCCATAGGTGCCTCGAGGATCTGGCAATTTGTTAATATAACCTCTCTGTCTCCTACAGAATCTGTCACGGTCGACGTGGCAATTTGGAGCTTTTGTCCCAGGTTACTTGATACGGATAGTGCTCTGCAATACCTGTTTTAGTGGTGCAATATCCATAACCCTGCTTATTATTTTACTCGGCCTGTCAGCTGCAGCTTCCCCTCCCCTAGACTCCTTGGTAGACACCACGTGGTGCCGGCTAACATCCGATGTCTCACATACTAGACTCCTCTGTGGCATCGATTGCCTTGGGGATGACGTTCCGATTTTACAACAATAATAATAACTCTTAAATTAACCCGCCCGATTTATAGACTCAAACTCCATCGTATGCCCCCACCCCTGGCAACTTCGGCCCTGAATATACGCCATCCGTATTTTGCCCATCTCCTGAGCATGTACTTGATGAACCTTATACCCCTTGCATTAATCCCAGCCCGACCAGCCCGGCTTCTTCCAGGAGCCTGAAGAAAGAAATCCGGGACCACATAGAGAACAGCCATATATTTATTATATGATTGAGTGGAAGGTAACTCTAAACAACCGAACTGTGTCAAAGGACACAGAACAAGACCTGGTTGTAGCTCCCAGTTCGAAATGGGAGCAGATACAGGAAGATGCAGATAATGTTCTGCGTCGGAAAATACGCCGCAACCAACAGGTGAGATCAGATAATACTGCGGTCAAAGTATCTGTAAATGACCGTTCGCAATCTGACTTAAATAAGCGCTATAACGGCACTAACGTTGATTGGAAACCTATAGAAAAGCAGCTTTTGATGTGGGGAAATCTGTTTCGTCTTGGGAAGAAGCTCAGGCTCTATATATCCATAAATTATATTGAGGACACGGACCCCCTCTTTTTCGCGGAAGGGAGATAAGAGAGGAAAATCATTAGTGACCAAGAGAATGCTCACAGAACAAGATGTTCGGGTTAATGCTAAGCATGTTTCTAGGGTATCCTTAGTTTGGCGAGATGTGTATAAGACAATGCGTTGCCCTGGGCCACCATGTTGCCACAATGGACAGTGGTATTGGCAGGACCCTTTGGGGAAAAAGCACTACAGACTTACAACACTTTATATGAGGAGACTTGTCCAATATGTTAAAGAAGGAGGTATTTTAGAGACCCACGATAATCTTCCGGACGATGTCCGTGAAGATCTATATGCAGAGGAGGCACAGCGATAAAAAAAAGAAATAAAAAACAACAATCAACTAAGTGGATCTATGGGTCAACTAATTAATATTAATGTTCTCCCGGCACAGCCATCCCAATCTGTTACGCCTGTAACAGCGAGCACAGCAGCGCTTGTTTTAAGTACGACGTCCACCGAGTTTATTAATATTTCCGGACTCCTCGATGTAGCAGTGGATGAATATACTAACTGGCAACTGTCGCGGGTGAGCAGAGAGACCTACAGGGACAATATTATAAAGCACGTGATGTGGCTGAAAACTGTCTCGACCTTAAACAAATTCTGAGGGATTAAGACCCAGATTTCTTTATTAAGCAGGGTGTGACGATTGGTGTCGCGCGCCGGTTTATTAGCGATATTATTAACTGGGTTAAGTGGTGTGGACAGAACAAATAATAATAAGGCGCATCGAATTGTTGGCTAGGCTTTATACTGTTTATTAGATACTGTAAACTGCTCCATCAGAAATACATCATCATTCTAAGTATCGCTGAAAAGACGGTACACTATCTTGCAAAAGCGGCGTCACCCTCATATACTATTTAATTGTTTCTCAAACCCTGATGCCAAGATACGCTAAACTATATTAGGAATGATCAAGGAATAACTATATTCCGAGTAATTTACCTGTTACTGCTAGAACAGTAAAATAGTATGATGTCGTGTAAAATTTGCGTACAGGCTTGTACAGGTGATCTATGGGTGACTGGAAGCTTCTACTCTGACACGGCCCTAACCTGGAAAGAATGAAACGAGATCTATTCAGAATGGTATGACGACTCATATTCGGAACAACTAACTTAAGGGAAGAACTACCTACAGAGGTGGTGGCCGGGTTGAAGGTGTCAGATATTCGGCTAGTACCGAATAGGAAAGTAGATACTATTCTTAAAAATGCGCTTAACCGATTATTTCAGATTATATTAATCAATGTACTAGTCAATATGGTCATTCTTGTGATTGTTGCTATTGATTATTCTTCTTTTCTTTTCGCTTAGGTGTTGGGAGCCCTTTTTAACCCCTCTTCATCACCTGACTCTTGTCATCATTATTTGGTCACCATTTTATCTGACAGAAGGTGGTGTGCGGTCACGTGCTACAACATGACGAAGGGTTGGGGCTGGAAGGTCTGGTGACCGAGCCATGACATATGCAATTACCTTTCTTGACCTGTGACTGCCACTGCAACCCCGAAGAGATGTGGGAGCTTTCTAAATGGTCATTTTTCTCCCAGACATCGTAGTCAGCGTTAGGGTAGGTGGAGTTGCATTCCTTGGCCTTTTATTAGGAGGCCGTTCGGTAAGAATGTAATTCTGCTGCGACGCTTTGGCATTTAAGTCAATAATTACCTTATTTTATGGAAACGTCATCATAGGCATCGCATAGCGGAATTGTTCTGTAACAGGCCAGGTCCTGTGCTGTACTCTACGTCCTTAGCCGTATCTTTCATCTGATCTTGCGCTTACTCAGCGCCCCTGTTAAATAGCCATCTAGCCGGCCTGTCCTTCCGTACTCTAGCTAATCCACTCTGTTCTATGGGCCATGTACTGTTGTAGACGTGTAGACAGTGATTTCCTGTTGACCCCATACACGTTCGGTAGAAGATCTGTTAGCGGTAGGCGGAAGGGCGGTTGGTTAGTGTTTTAACTTGCAAGGATCTGGAATATCACACTCTGATTGGTCAAAGTATTTAGTGATAATCCACTCTTGATTTCTGTGTGCTATCATGCATGCGCGAATGCCCAACCTCTATGATATCATCACAATTAATCCCTATTTAAAGGGATAAATACGCTCGCTTCTTTATAGATTGGCCATCTTGTCTGCCTGTTTTCTGTTTTGACCGTGCCAGCAGGATTTTATTCACCAAACCACAAAAAGTGTATTTTACGTATCATATTCGCCATGTCAGCCAAAGTCTATGTCGGGTAAGTCCTCTTACCAATTAATATGGAATAACCTCTAGCTTATTTAATTTAAATACGAAGGAATCTCTCTTGGAATACAACCGATGAAACCTTACGGCAGGCATTTTCTGAATTTGGTCAAGTTCTTGACTCAGTAAGCTGAGTTCACTGATACACCCTGTGCTCTTTTATAAGGAACGCTGGGCGCTGAGTCAAGTTAGATAGTTATGCGTGATCGCGACACCGGTCGAAGTAAAGGATTTGGCTTCGTTACCTTTAGCAGTGGGAATGAGGCAGATGCAGCAATAGTTGGGCTCCATGAACAGGAGTAAGTATTTAATCCAATATTTAGAAATTAAGGCAGCTAATAGGGTCGTAATATCATAGGCTTGATGGTCGCCGTATTAGAGTTAACCTGGAGAAAGCCAGTGGTGGCTCCAGTGGTGGTTACGGTGGTGGTGGTGGTGGTTACGGTGGTGGTGGTGGTGGTTACGGTGGTGGTGGTGGTGGTTACGGTGGTGGTTACGGTGGTAATTACAGTGGTGACAGTGGTGGTGGTTACGGTGGTGGTTACGGTGGTAATTACAGTGGTGACAGTGGTGGTGGTTACAATGTTGGTGGTTACGGTGGTTACCGTGGTTACAGTGGTGGTGGTGGCTACTAGTACCTGCGACGGTTGCTTCCAGTGATGTGGAAGTTTTTAACATCTTGTAGTCCCTGGGAACAGCCAATTCATAAATAATACTCTCGAACAACTCGCTAAAGTAAACTCTCCTTCTGCTCCTACTGTAGACCAGCTGGTTCTAATAAGCAGAGCTGGGAGAATTGGACCAGTGAGCACGAAGCGGATAATATTTATTGGGGCGACCTAACGGAGTGTTCTGCCCGACAGCAACCTGACAATATATTAGTAAGCTCTTTGAGCACGTGACATTCAGAATTGTACCAAACTTAGTGGAGTCTCTGTCAAGTCTACCTTACACTATCGTCCATGATGCCTTTACGTCAACCCAGCATCAACATCGACATCAGTCGTCTTTGGAGGAGGTGTTAAACTTCTCGCAACCTTTCTTTTTACAGCATCAACAAAGCGAGACGGCAGCAACCCTCCTCAATACCCTTGTCAAGCATTATGGTCTGGAACAAACCACACAGAAAGGTTACAAACCTGCGGCGCTTATCCAGGCCACATTTGAACACGTTGCATCCAGGGATGCATTTTTAATGTTCTTTTTTACATACATCTACGGTCATCTATGTCCAGAAGCAGAATATCCAGATGGCACCGATCTCAGAGTCGCTTATCCTACTTCGATAATTTCCCTTGTTGGAGTTCAGATCAAAAGACTAAGTCAAGGTCGCATCGAAGAATTTGAGAGTATATTGTTAGAACTTCCTTCTTCCACGTATTCAGCAGTTTAATTTTAACACTAGAAAGACTGACTAACTGTAACGCTTTAGTTAGAGCTTGTCTGTAAGACACCCCAACCCACGCCCGCGGTTGTCCGGATACAAACATCTACACCTACCGGTACACCACAACGCCTATCTATTCTACGACGAAGTTGCCTTTTGCGTGATCGACATCGGTGTGTAGTTTCTGAAAATTATAGAAAAAAGCCAGAAAGCGTTTCGAGCAGGAAGGCGAGAATTCAAGGATGATATGAATGCTACTAAAGAACAATAAAAGGTTTAATTCCTGGAAGTTGCCCACATTCTGCCGCACAGTCTAACAACAGTTGCCTCTGGAGATGCGGACTGGTGCGTTGGCTTGGGATATTCTTTTTCTTTACTACATAATCCCTAGAGTGACTCAAAGAAGAATATACTCCGGATATTGGATATATTTAACCCTGGTGTTATTTATCTAATTAATGGACCAAAGATTAATAGCCCACTTAATGCCGTGACATTGACTCTTGACTATCATCGCTTGTTTGGTGAATTCCAGATATATTTCGAACCAACAGGCGTACCGTATCAGTATAGAATCGATTCGACGGAAAGAAGTCCTTTTCTGCGTGATCTGTTATTTCCAGTTACTCGCACACTGACCCTTAGCCCGAGCCGTACTATTATCCTCCTTATTCTCGACTTCTCGGTGTCCATCGTGCCATCGCAGTATATACATCTTAGCGGTGCAGGCGAATATATAGAGACTATTATTAGACATGGAGGAGGTTGACGTGAGACAGACGGTCAACGAATTTAGGACATTTAATAGCTTACATTCGGCGGATGGTTAAACACTTTAGCTGTATTCTAATTCTAATCTTATGTGCTTATTATTATGGTTCTTCTGTTCTTCTATTTATATCACGGATTCAGTGGGCTGTAGTTTGAACTCCAGCTTTTACTTCCCATCCCAAGTCGAAACTTCGGCTAGCAGTAATTGTAGAGTTGCTATATTTAAGTACTGCACCTACGCGCAGGGCATCTCTTTAACAGTCAGGCTGGTGTTTCGGAAATGCCCTCTTGCACTTTTCTCCCTTGCGCCCACAGTTTCGATACACCACTCAAGAAAGGAATCAAATCCTTGGTCAGGTTTGTCTTCATAAAATTGCCAATGCCGTCGAACAAAGGCCTTCAGCTCAGCAAAAACTCCTCGATCGGGTTCAAATCCGGTGAGTACGGAGGCAAATAAACCAATTTAACCCTTGATTCTGAGCATAATTGTTTTATTCTCTCGGAGTGGTGAAAGGAGGCATTGTCCATAACAAGGACAGATTTTGGCTCAGGCATTTTCCACAATGCTAAGAAGCTCCTGATAAAATCTTCAAAGACAAAGCATCGGTCGGTCCTTGGAAGATGCGAAGAGAATAATTCCATCTAAGTATATGCTGGGAGTATCTAATACTGCTAATCGCGATGGAACTTTGTCACCTGGGAGGGTGCTATGCCAAGAGGAGACCAGCCTGTTCTCCTGAATCCTATCCTTTTATCACATCCAGATTCATCCACATAGACAAGGTGGTATAAGCTAAAATCTGAAATAAAATAAAGATATTTATCACGCAAATCTGCATTCCGCTCTTTTGCTTTTTGCTTGGCTGTCTTTTTCGACCAACCATTATATTTAAGGGCACGGCTAATGCTGCAGGTTGTGACTTGTTCCTGGAACTATCCCATAGAAATATTGCCATTTCGTCAAGATATAAATGAGGTTTTTCAAGTAGGTGATCACAAAGAGCTTGAATCATAAGTGGCGTGAGACGTCGCGGTCTTCCGCCTTTATTTGAAGGCGCCTTGATACAACCAAACAAGCGCAAGTTTAAGCGATGCCTACCAATAGTACTCGGATGGCAGCCAGCAGCTTCAGCAATCTGTGAATTTGTAAGCTCATTGCTCATTAGCATATCCTGGATAAATTCCAGGGTTGACTGTGCTAGATTAGGTGCCATTGCGCAGTTATGATCGACAGGATCCGGGAGGATCTCCCGGCAGGGTGACAGGAATACATGGCGGGGTAAAAAATGTAGCGGCTGTATATCCGGTACAAGTAATATAAAACAGCTAGAAGTATGACAGTCATGTACAATATAATACCGGATCCACGAATCAGGAATATCTTAATGTAGTTTAGCTCATCTTGGCATTAGGGTTCGAAATACAATCGGAGAGTATAAGACTCTTGCGGCGGTTTTGCAATTTAGTGTATATTTATTCACTTGTTCAGCCCTGGCACGTAGTTTTCTACCGCATTCGTGAAAATTATAGGTACCTAAGCCTGTACCGTATTATTGTATACTGAAACCAAGGGGAAATGCTCACGGAGAAGCAAATAACTATCTCGGCGTTTCAGTTTACTTGGGAATATGGCTGCCATACATTGGGCCAACTTCACGTCGATCACTTGGGTGATGGAGACAGTGCTCACCCATGGCTCACCCGTAATATCCCTTGCGAATATAAAGATTGAAACGGTCGACTTCTAAGTCCTAAGTCCAGACTCCTTCGGTGATTATTGAATGCTAATAGAAAAATGGAACTCTCTCAGGCCTCAGATAAGGTAGAAAAAGTCACGTCTCTCCACCGAAGCGATACAACCTATACAATTGAAACACGCTATACACACATGCTTCTTGAGGATATTCCATGGTTCTACAATGTACTCGCTGGTGCTGCGCATTGGGCATTACTCGCTGGATACTTAGTAGTCCCTGGCACTTTTACTTCACTGCAGCGATCTCATTCTTTAAAGGAAGACTTGGAGAAGACAGAAGCTGGTCAGGTCATTCTCAATACCATTCAGAATCCTCCGTTGCTCGCGATTGCGTGCTTTTTCATGGTACTTGGTGCTGTGCTCATGGCCTGGCTTTCATGGGAGCGAAGAAGCAACTATATATGGCTTATTAACAAATTATTCGCGTAAGAGACACACCTTCGCAGAAAATTACAGCAATCACAGCTAATTATGTATTCTAAATAGTCCAACTTTTCTCAATGCGTTAGCTGGATTGATCACAACGCTCGTCAATGTCTATACTGCACGGGAGGGCGAGTGGTCAATCATGGCCGTTCTGACAACCATCGTCACGGGACTTTCTGTCTCCGGCTCCCTGGCGCTTCTCATCATCTACCAATTCGGGAAGCTTGAAAGTGTCAAGAAGGAACATGAAATGGAGATCAAGGCTGGCTTCCAGAGGGTCAGCCCAGGATTCCAAGGAAGCTCCTGACAGTATCCACCAATGTCTCGGCATGTAGGCAGGTGGCATTGGAAAGGACACTAGAGGCCGATGTACTAATAATGGCAGTAAATGCTAAACGCTCGGAAACTTTTTGATTTTTTTAGTGAGGGAAGGGGGTCAGTTCAACCGCTGCTTTCTGTCAGTTGTTTGTATCTTATCATGATTCGAATCACTTTAGTCCATATATGCACATTTTAGAAAGTCTGCACTCAATAGTTTCTATAGGTAGCCAATATAATGTTACACAGCTGAGCCATGTGTAAATCAGACGCAACGTGCCACAGTAGCATATGTCGATCAGGCCGTCATTTTTCCAGACTCTCGATTATTCAATACCGCTATGTCATGAGCAGGCAGCGCATGGGGAAGTTGCAATTTCCTAACTCCGCAGGTGGGCCTGCCGTACCTAAGTGGCACCGCAGCTGTTGTGAAGTAGCCGAGTGCGTTCCCAAATCGTTCCGCACCCTCTTAGTACCCTTAGAAAACAATGACCCTTAACAACTTTTGGAATCCAAAATCACTATTTTTTCGTATGCAAACCAGTTTTCATGTTGCAGCCCGTTTTATTTTACCATAAAGTAAAAGCCGCCAGTCCTTTTTACTTACACTAAGTTGCTCCAGTTCTGCACCCAGAATATTGCCCTATGACAGTGCTACTTTCTTTTTGATTAATAAATTTATACTCCAGTGTTGTCAATATTCTCTTTCTATCAAGATTCTGTCAAATAGCCTCTGGACAAGGCGGGCTCGCAGCAAATCTTAATGCAGTAATGTCCTAGGCATTCCTGAAAGTAGCATTTTACCATATTTCTAGGCTAGTATAATAGCGTGGAGTTTAGGTGAATAAGCACCAGCCCACCACAATGTCCTGAATAATTAAGAACATACATGTCATTTTGAGACTGACGGCTAGTCTTCGAAATTGAACAGTTGAATATTGTTACTTTCAAAATTATGGATACGCGATGTTGTATACCTATAGTTCCTACGATTAGACGAAAGGAAGCGCAAATACGTCGGCTATGCGGTTCTATATAGAAGTGTATGCATGTTTTCGCTACGTGAAAAAAGAGAAAAATAAGGCTTCTATAAAATGTAAAATATATCTTTTGTGGTGAGTAGTAGCTTTAAATCTGTGGAATTTTTGACCTGAGCTCTATACTGCGGAGAAGTATAATTAATTTCCAGCTGTTGATGCAGCATGCTATGTACACTCCGAGTAGTTTGTTCTATTGCTTGCGTCTTCCTTAGGCTTTGCTTCGATATTAGCAAGTTCTGTCTTCAGGAAGTTGTAGACGTCAAGCAACCTGCTTGATGGGACCATCACTTCGAGCCCTTCAACTTGGTACAAGAAGGATGTATCCTGCAAATGTTTATATAGATAATGGACAATGGTCATTCTCCGCCTTAAGTCGCGGCTTTTAAAAGCAGTTAATAGTTGAAGGAATTCAATTGCGTACTAAGGGACGCATAAGTAACTAGAGATTTATATTGTACATATAGGAAGATAGGGTACTCACATTGAGGTCTGGTTTTTGCAGCGGCTCCAACTCATCTCGAAATGAGAATTTCGTGGAATCGTTATTGTCTGTGTCGCTGTCGTAGAATATCTAACTCGGTAATGTTTGGCCCTTATTTAATCTCCCTGGTATGGTAATGGCATAGAAACTGCTTACCTTGACACAAAACTCATAAGTTCGCGCTACCATAATGTGAGCTTAAAGTTCCAGCTGGAAATTCGTGCAATGGAAAAATATTTTGACTAGGCTGGATTTAAAGAAGGATTATTTTTGGCACTGTAGTCTTTCTTTAAGGAAAAACCGATCCAGAGAGGTCTAACTGAGAGCTCAGCAGGTATTTAAGCACTTTGGAAATAGTAGAGTAAATAATTGTTGTGGAACCTTGGATTTGTGCCGGAGATTAACAGGTTTCACCAGCTTAGAACATGGCTTGTGATCATCGTCTTCGGATACAGAGGGTTCCGACCTCGCTAAATGCGGTGGGTAACATATGTACAGTGGGTTAGGCCTGCCGTACCCAGATGGGCCCGCGGCACGTCGTACCGGTCACTAACGTAATTGAGATGGATGCGTCCTCAAATAGCTCCGCAGGCTATTCTTATGAAATCAAGCATGCATTAGAGAGCGATGAATGAAATGACTAAAATCAGACTTACGGATCAGTATTATGTTTAGTCGACTCACTAGTATATAGTTTAACTGGTGACCCGACGTTCAGGCCAAGGCATTCATTTTCATCGTCATGGCCTCTAGCAGTAGGCAATGGAGGAGATAAAAGCTAACTTTTACTGCAGTAGGTTGGCGAATTGGAAGATTGTAGCTAGCTGATATGATGCCCCAGGATACAACTCTGTACAGATTTGCCAAAAGCTTACTCTTCTTGGCTTCAGTTCCCGAGTACCTCATGGAATTTGCCCTACTTTAATGTGTATAGCTATAGATAATTTTTACAAACCGCAACTGGATTAACTATTAGATCGAGCGAACTCCAATGCAAAGTAAATTCCTTAAGCTGCTTTGTCAAGCTAGAGAGTGATCAAGAGCTATAGCCCGGCCGCCTCATTCCACCAGATACTATGTATTAGAAGCGGCCCTATTGCCCTCTGCGTCTTCGTTTGCTTTATTTTCAAATGTCATGGCTTTAAAATATCCCTCCCGTGCCATTACCTCACAAACACTGTAAAATTTATCTGTTGGCTTCTTTACTTCAAATCCCTCTTCTAGACCTTCAATCATCCAGGACGTATTCTGGGTAGGCCCGACCATGTAAACGGCAATGGCTATTCTCTGTGCAAAACGGCGAGTTTTTAAAGCTACTAGTTTCTGTAAGAGTGCTTCTGCCAACTATAGGAAACATAAATCACTAAAAGTACAAGTATTAAAAGGTGAGACACTTACATCCATATCTGCCTGCTTTTCCATAGAATTGTCGGGTAAAGTCCGACAGGAACGTTTGTTTTGTAAATCATCACTGGGATTTGAAATCTGGTTCGAAAGGCGTTTAGTTTATGCTTATTCCTCGTTCATCTCAAATATATGTTCTTACCGGCAAACAAAGTTCGACGGTCCGCGCCATGAGGAGCAGTCACGATTTCTGTAGACAGTCAAAGAGAGGATATGAAATGCTCTTCAAAGCTAGAGGCTTGGCTTTAGTAGCCTTAGTTTTGAACTTAGCGGTGAAGTCTATAAAACCTGGACGCAGTGTTGGCAGGTTGAGGTGTGGACTTAAGTATTTAAGCTCAAGCTATTTAGATTAATTTTCATATTAAGTTATATTGTCTACCGCAGTTGTAAGATCGTGGTGGCTTTAGTTGGCTTGCCGTACCGAAATGGAGTCGCTACTAGCTTACGCTTATAGTGGGGATAGTATAGTGGGGACAGGGCCGGGAAAGTGCGGTCCCAAATGGGCTCGCAGGTAGCTTTTGTACTAAGCTAAATTTCTCCTATCCATCATAGCATCACGGTGAATCATAGATCAATGGGAGTTTGGCTGTGTCCTTAATAGGCTTAGACCATAATAGCAGAGTGAAATAGGTGGTTATCGTCTCCCTGCGTGCAGTTGCCGTACTGAAATGGGGTCGCAACCAGCTCGATCATTTAATGGAGAGGGACAGGGGAGTGCGACCCCAAATCGGCTCGCAGATCAGCGCTTACGCAGCAAAAGGATGCCGTTTTTTTTTTTTTTTTTTTTTTTTTGCACTTTTGAGAAGTTTTCACAAATATGGCTAGATATGGTATTCGGTTTCTTAGACTCGGAAGTTGATATCATTCTATAAGTAGTTGTACAACTCACATTAACTTAAGATCCGCCACATTACAAGTTTTTTATTCTGTCAACGAAATAAGATTTATCAAAATTCATAACAATGTCTCGACACTTTGCGACTCGCTTGACTTATCAGACTGTACGCGGGTATCAGGGGCAAGCACAACCCTACCAAGCTAGCCTCTTATATAACGAAGTAAAAGATATCCCAAAGAGAGTGATCGTATGTTGCCCATCAAAACACAGCCACTTTTAATACTAACAGTGATTTCCTCAACAGAAGCCATCGGTAGAATCCTCACAAGAGCTACTTCGCTCTCTATTGCAAGGCTATAACCCTACCTTCCAACGTCATCCCCTGGGAATGGAAGCAGAGGCTCTTATAAAATTAAGCCCACGGCAGCAGATGTGTTACTACGATGGCAAAATGTTTGGTGGATACCTTGTCTTGCTCTTAGACCGTATTCTTGCAGACTGCTGCCGGCCGGCGTTCACAGCCTACCTCAACACATCCTTCGCACACTCGGTTCCACCAGATGCTCCTATCCGCCTATGTGCAAGACCAGAGAAAGTGGAAGGGCGCAAAATCTACCTTACAGCATCTATCCAGATTCCTGGGAGTAAGGCGGGTGATATGGTTGACGCAATAAAAGCGGATGCGTTATTTGTGCGGCCCCGAAATTAACTACAGTACAAACAACCTGTGACTTCAGGAAAACTTGCCATAATCTGGCACATGCTTGGAGGAGGGATTTCGATTGATTTTGGTTGTCAGACCTTCTAATTAGATTTGTCATGTTACTCATAATTCATGGATACCCTATCACCCTAGGGCACCCTAGCTATTAACATCTACATAACAAAGGCTAGAAACCTGTGAAGAGTACTGTAGTTCGTCTAGAGATTTTTCGGTCAATTGGTATTGGGTAAGGACTCAAACTGAGCCCACAGAGAGATTGGTTCTGCATCTTCTTCCGAGAAATATTAAATCCGCCAGAGATGCTGATCACCTCCGGCAACGCATCCGCAGTTATTTCGATCTGTTGATCCGATTCTATGAGAGGGCTTCGACTTAGGGTTAGTTGGCTGGCAGAATCGTCAGGCGTAATAGGTTCGATGCTGCTCCGAAGCCTATTCAGAAAAGGCTCTTCAATAATACGGTCTTCTGGTGTCACCTCTTCGTCAGTACCATCGTTAAGAAGGCGATAGTTTATTCTCTGAGATCGTTGTGGCCGCTTGCGCGGTGATCCAGAGAAGTTGTCCATAGCTAACCTATGCGGAGACCGTACAGTCATGCTTCATGGCATTCTGGAACTGCTCCTCAAGATCCCATAATCCTTACAAACAAACTATGAGATTATGGACTGAACATCAAACGTTCTACAAAGTATCTGCCGCCATGCTAACCGACTCAAGGTATCAAAATGATTTGACTAATGTGCATACAGAAATGCTGGAACCATCAGAACTATCACCAATATAGTACCGTCGCCCTTTACTCCAAATGGCATTTCGTGTAGATCTATCAACGAAGATTGGGTTCCCTGGTGTGATTTGCAAGCAATGAGAGATAGGCAATTTGGCCACACGTCTTCACCAGGGGACTTCATTAGGGATTCACCACGCGAATTCGCCAGACGACTAAACCACAAGACATTATCACACCAGTTCGCCAGACAAATTCACCAGGCAATTCAACCGTATATCATTTCCACACCACGAAGCTGCTTGCAGAATAATATTCGATATTCGTACTCGCCGTGGAAGAGGCGGCGAATATCGTATCCGCCGCCAATATTCGACCGAATAATATCTGCCGAGGGGGATATTGTCAGCACCCTTACAAATACCACTTAATTCTGGTTTAAAATCGTTCTGCTAAGCACTATCAACATGTGGACTTTACACCAAATTCGTATACGCCATGTCACGACTGAGCAAGAAATCTTATTCTCTTAATCTAACGGTCCTATGTAAATGATTCTCAATCTGGCGGACCAACAACTAAAATAAACATAAAATACAACTGGAACAAACACTGGCTTATAATCGAAAAATACCAAATCCTTGTACCAAGCACTGACTAGCGGTAATCCACGGTTGACACAACGTTAACCCCCCTGACGATCACGCCAGGTACAATTAAACATGAGCCGTCACGGTCCAAGATGAGTGCCAAAGAATTGAGGCCATGTGTTCTCACAAGGATATCCACTTCTCAGCTTACTGCATCACGGCGAACTGGGCACCTTGACTTTGGTAGGTCCCCGTGAGGGGTCCCTTAGACAATTTGCAGTTATTGCTCGGATAAGGCATCTTGACGGCTATCTTGCAATCTTCGCTTTGCATCCTAGCACACAGGTCGATACATTCCGCCAAGGTACTCGTGGTATACTCTCCTATTGGCTGCGTCCCAGAACCCTGTGTAGCTATAACGGTGATGTTAGCTCTATTCATCTCTGCTGATATCGGGTATCCAACCATGGTCACAAAACACCTTCCAGTCCCTAGAACGTTGGCGGTGCGTCCCGCCACCTGTTACGGTCGTCAGTGAAACTATTCTGGTTTGGGGGTAGATAAGGTAGGGAGGGGGCTGATATACACGAAGGGGTTGTATTCTGATCGCCCGGGGGTGGATTCTGGCATTGCTGTAGATCTTCCTCGGCTTGTTCCAATCTGTCCTTGCACGTTTCCAGGTCCAGACCAGGGTAGGGGTCATCAATAATAAGACCGTCGTCAACCTTCTCCATGGCGAGGACCTTTGCCCTGTTGTTCGGCCTCGTACCATCCAATGTCGCGATATAGCATTTACCACTTCTTGTCCAGGAGACAACCTTGTTCACCTGATTTACGATAAGCTGAGCGCAGTCATCCGGATGATTAAAGGTTCCAGGCTCGGCAGACACCGACCCAAAGTGCTGATGTCTGCAGACGTATCTAAACCTTTGCCCATTGATATCTATATCAGCCGGAGGCGAGGTAGCCTCACAAATGTCGGTCCAAGATTGTGCAGGGGTCGCCAGAGTACTAGAAAATAAGGGTAAAAAAGCAAGAAGTAAAGAAACCTTCATTTTAAGAAATTTTAAAGTAGTTCGATAGATAAAATTAGATGTTGTAAGATTAGTCAGGGGCGGCGGGGCAGGGGAGAAAGGGATTTGTTCGCGTTCTTTTCCTGGTGGAAAAGGAAGAAGAGAAGTTACGATTGCTCTTTTATATAGCCGACTAAGGCAAAAAAAAAAAAAAAAATATACAGGGCAGTGAGGTCCGGTGGACTACTTGCCACACGTGAACTCCTAACTCCCCTCTCTCTACCCTGGTTGCAGCTCAAGGCATATTCCGAGTGCATGGTTGTCAACTGCAACATAAACTCCAAATCCACGGATTCTCTCCTTACAGAGACGTCATAGTTAGCCGTCACTAAAAAAACTGTTTTACTAGCTGCCCTCTTCGTCTAACAAGGGCATATTCTGAACGGCGTACACAAGAATTTCGCCAGCGGTTATCACTAAGGGGAGCCGAGGATCCATAATTCCATCCTTGCCGTAATAATAATTGGTTGTATGCACCATGTTGGAGTACCTATAATAGTATCGAGAGTCCGGCGGTAGCTGAATGTGGATATCCGCATCCTCCATGGAAGACGAAACCGTGTACTGAGCCTATTATTGAGTAATTGTGAGGTAATAGAATCCCATCACTGCAACATCTGTAGTTGCTCTTGTCCGGTTTAAGAAAACCCGACTCTTAACGGAGTGTCCAGAACGGGGTGCCCGATAATGCAAATCAAGTTGACGACAACACTCCATGCTGGTCAGTTCAAGGACATAGTGTGTCAGTCACACTGCATTAGGGCGAGACACATCATTTCTGCATTATTGGGGGATATATCACACAGGCAGGATACTCGTCCGCATGCAGCACACAGGCAGGATACTTGTCCACCCGCATGCAGCAAGTAATAGTCTTCCGGTACCCGGACAGACCATGCAGTTCAACTGTACTGGTAAGCGTTATACTAGGCTAATACCTCTGTATATTACTAATTTTCTTTTCTTTTTTTTTTTTTTTTTTTTTTTCCATTTTTGCTTTGTACGGTACCTCTGCTTGGAGGATCACCAAATGTGATGAACTTGGGTTGTACTTTGTCATAGGCGGTGTCGGATGATAATTTTGTGGACTTAATAGCGATAGTATAAGCGATTACCACATAAGATATTAAAAAACAAAAGTAGATAATAAAAAAGCCACAATATTAATAGTTCATCCAGTCGAAAATCCTAGCACAACCTAAGCCATATTCTCCACATAACTTTGTGATGACCTCGTCACTGTTAGGGATCTACCATATTCGGGGGCGCCACTATTTGCACAGGTCAAAATTCTGCCTGCACAGGTCACTAACCCGATTAGGAAACATCTATTTGCACAGGTCAAGACTATACTACATTGGGATGTATCATGTGACCCACAACCTTTGTTCGCGAGGCACAATTCTCTTCAATTCAGGGGCTCGGGCGAGCTGACTATCTAGGTGGGTGACTAAGGGGCGCCACTATTTGCACAGGTCAAAATTCTGCCTGCACAGGTCACTAACCCGATTAGGAAACATATATTTGCACAGGTCAAGACTATACTATATTGGGACGTATCATGTGACCCACAACCTTGAAGGCATTATAGTATTAATGGAAATGCTTTTTATTCGATTCTCTATATAAAAGCGCAACATAGCATGACGCAATTATTAGACATTAATATACCAATTCAGAATACAGTTTGACCAGCCAATCAGAATGCAGATATCAAAATTCCACTAACACCCATGTTAAATCCCCAGATCGTCTGCCCGCTTGCCCCCTCCCTCTACCTGTCCCCGAGGCACCGCTTGGGGCATTGCTTGAGGCAGTGAACAAGGCATCGCCGGAGATATTCCTTGCCTTGATGCTTCATTCAATGCTTCAAGCAGTGCCTTATTTAATGCCTCAACTGGTGCCTTGTTTGCTGCTTCTTCAGGTCTTGCCTCCACAGATATAGCCGCTGCTGCAATTGCTTTGAGTGCCTCACCTTTCTAAGCAATCCGTACCTCCCGGTCCACTCGCTCATATAATGACAATCCTCGCTTGTTTAAACGGCCGCCGATATAAGTGGATCCATTACTAGAAGTCGAGGATCTAGTGGCTCTATTGAATAGCCTGTAATCCACCACTGGCGATGAAAGTGGTCCATATTTAATGGCCTCTGGGCATCGACATATTCCTGAATGATATGAATGCATGGAATTCCAAGTGTTACCTGTACTGATTTAGTACAAGGCTTAATTAGCCTCTTGCCAGGGCCTTTCGGAAGGTAGTCCTTATAGATTTTCTGAACTTTAAAGAGTGCAAATTGGGATATTTTAAACTTAACATCCCGATAAAGAGGCATATCAAGAGATATAGGCCATCTGATCTTGTTCTCTGCAATCTGCCTCTCTATCTCTGCATCTCTATCAAGCACTGTTCGTTCAAGAGACTGTGTCACTGTTAAAAGGTCTCCTATTGAGGTGTTTAGATCCCTTTTAATATTATGATGCGCGCCTTCGTTTCGAGATGTTGCTGTATTTCCAAAATGAGTATAGGAATTGGTATACTGTATTGCCAACAGTTTTGCAAATTACCATTAAGGCTAAGCCTCTAGCCCAAATAATCTAGGTTTATTCACATTAACTAGACAAATCGCCGGCCGGCGCCGCCATAAGCAGTCATAACTTCCATTAAAAGTAAAAAAAAAAGTAAAAGGCTCTCTAAAATCAGAGAATTCGCTTAGTAGCCTTAGCTTTGATTTTATCTCTGACTCTATAAAAAATGGGCACAGTGTTGGCCGGCTGATGGAAATTACCCAGAATAGAGTCCTTTCAGTAATAATGTGACAAGATTAGGGTTCTCGGCTTATGCTACAGCAAAGTCTAACCGTGGACTTACCCTACCCAGATGGGTTCGCAATGTGCCCTAGGCCCATCTGGTAAACGTCTGCGGCAGGTACTTTAGTGCTTCTCCTGTCATCACCAAACGGGCACGCAGATTAAATGCCGTCTTATAACCTGCAATAATGTAAATATCCCTCCCACAACATCATGAAGATAAATGTTCAAACTGTTATCCAGTTCTTTCTTCCTTTTCTTCATTTTTTTTTTTCCCGGATCGATGTTTTTATTTCGCCGCAGTAAATTAAGATTTGCCTCATAACCGGAATGAACTGCAACGCAGGAGAAAGACAGTGGTCCTATAAATTCTTTGATAGTTGTACTGACATCGGGACATGTATGTAGTATATACGGGCTTATACCAAATGCTAATTTAAAATATAGGTGTGTGCGCGAGTTTTCTACCGTGCTGGCTGTTTGGGAAGACCTTATCTCGGCTAAATGACCCCGAAGGAGATGATGATAATTACTGTCATGGATGCAATGGAAACGTATGCCTTTGTTCTATTAATTTTTATATACAGTTAACTAATGCAAGTTTTAGTGCTGTCTACTCGTATGTCTTGGTTCCTGCTGCTTACACTGGGTGCTATTGGCGAGAAAGCGGCGCATAATACGCGAGCGACTTCATATAGTAGGTTCAGAATGCGGAGATTGTCTCGGTTCCTTTTGTTGTCCTTGTTGTGTTTTGATCCAGCAGGAGAGAGAGGTTCAGAAATACCAAGAACAAATAAAGAATGAGGGTTATCAATTCAATGAATACATGATGTACCGATAGTTATGAATGCTGAATATCACCTGAAGTCTGCTGTGTCGACCAAATTATGCAAATAAAATGGGCTGTTATGCTACTAATTTCCGTTAGGAGAAGAGAACGTGGTATGATGCATTGATTCTTCTATATAACTATCCTTAGACGAAGAGATGCAGAGCCCAAAACAACTGTGCAATCTTCCAATTTGAAGTAATATATGGTATGTCATCAAATGTGACTAATGCCTAGCCTAGTAGCCCTAATAAAGGAAAGGCTATTATCCTGCTGTAAGACCGTTATTCCCGACAAGTGTACAACTTGATATTACATAGTTTGAGTGCAAATATTGATCAAACACTACTACTTTTCATCAACCATAGGATCAGCTGGTGGGACATCTTGTAAAGCAGTAGGGTAGGAGATCTTTATCTTCCTCATTCAACAAATGCTTTTTCGGTGCTGGAATCTCCATAGTATTATCCTCACGGATATAGAGATCTAAGATTTAACGGGAAAATCCGGAACTCTTCCCGAAAGATTGCTAGAAGGCCAAGTTTCATGGTGTGTTATGATAAGCCTAACCAACGGCTTGCAGTACCCAAATGGATCTGCAAGATGCCCCAGGCCTAAGTACTAAATACATGGCATAAGCAGGTGCTTCCTCCCACCTTATTACTAAATGGGTTCGCAGGTCATATGTGCAATAGTAGGATAGTGTTAAGTTCAAAATCCCAGAAGGCTAGCATAGAGGAGAACAGAATAAATAGCAGGACAAATGACAAAACTTCTAAACGCTCTTAAAACGATGTAAAGTTCCTGCCAGAAAATAAATTACATTTACCATATATATACAAAGCTCCACTCATATTTATCCACTGCTACCTTCGCGCCTTGCACAATGCATTTTAAGAGCCTAACTTTGAGTGTCCTCCTCCTGTTTACCAGTGTCTGTTCTGCAGACATAACTGCGAGTTTAAGTCGCAAGCGTGGCAGCGCCATGGAAGCCCGTGAGAACTTTGGTTATCGATCTGTTGCTTACTTTGTAAATTGGGTCAGTGTTCTGTTTGCATATGATCACACTCCAGTTTTCACGACTGATTATCATTAAGGCAATTTATGGTCGCAACCATAACCCGCAGGACCTTCCTGTGGACAGGCTCACACACGTTCTATACGCATTTGCCAATATCGACAATGGAACAGGGGAGGTATATCTTTCGGACACCTACGCGGATATAGAAAAGCATTATCCGGACGACTCCTGGTCAGAGCCCGGAAATAATTGTATGGATGTATAAAGCAGCTGTATCTGTTGAAGAAGAAGAACCGTAACCTTAAAGTGCTCCTTTCCATTGGGGATGGACCTATTCATCGAATTTTGCAGCACCAGCAAGTACAGATGCTGGCCGAAAAAATTTGCACAAACAGCTGTGAAGTTACTAGGCGACTTGGGCTTTGATGGGTTAGATATTGATTGGGAGGTATGGAATACCTTCTCCCTGGAAATAGCTTGTGCTAACGAGAATAACCTATAGTATCCGGCAAATGATCAGCAAGCTGCAGATTTTGTTCTCCTCCTAAGGGAAGTGAGGAATGTAATTTTTTTTTTTTTTTTTCTTTTGGTTCTAGAATTTATCCTTAAGCTTACAAACATCTGATCAGGAACTTAATTGTTACAGCTCTACACACGCAGGAGGAAAGAGGTTTCTTCTTACCACGGCATCTCCGGCAGGTACTTTTTCTATTTCTTTTTTTTTTTTCTTTTCCCCCTTAACACTTCATATATCTAACAGGCCCTGACGCATTGATTTTCTAGGCCCAAAGAATATCAACGCCTTGCATATCAAGGATATGGATCAGCAACTGGACTTCTGGAATCTCATGGCGTATGACTACGCAGGGAGTTTCTCAACCATCACAGGTCACCAGTCCAATGTGTATAATAGCATATCCAACCCCGGTCAACCTCTTTTAATACCAACCAAGCAGTTGATAGCTACCTTGCAGCTGGAGTCGCCGCTGATAAGATTGTTCTTGGCATTCCCCTTTATGGCCGGTCATTTACCGGCACTGACGGGATTGGTAGTCCATTTAGCGATGTTGGCCATGGCAGCTGGCAGAATGGAGTGTGGGATTACAAAGCCCTCCCGCAGCCAGGTTCCAAAGAGCATGTGACGACAGATATCATTGCGAGCTACAGCTATGATCCAGCCATGAGGACATTGATCACATATGACAACCCACAGGTGGTACTGATGAAAGGGGAATATGTGAAAGCCAAAGGCCTGGGAGGTGCAATGTGGTGGGAAAGCAGTTCGGATAAGACGGGCAGTAATAGTTTAATTACCACGGTGTGTTTCTCCTGCCTGAGTCTTTTGCAGCGGAATCTTTCTAACAATGGTATTAGTTTGTCAGTGCTGTCGGGGGCGAAAACTTTTGAACAAAATAAGAACCAGTTGGAGTACCCTGCTTCGCAATATGATAATCTGCGTGGAGGAATGCAAGAGAAGGAGTAGTATATTATATGGGTTAAAGAAAGGCACTAGACCATCTAGTGCGGAGATTTGCATACCCATGTTTATATTGATTCCGGGTAGTGATTGTCACAGATATGTCTGTATTGGCCTAAGCCATATAAACGCTAGATAGCTGCCAATATATTTGTGTATTGCTACTACATTAATGCAATAGTTATCTCGAAACTGTCTCGAAAAATTGTTGGCGCTAGCAATAATCCGGCAAATCCATTTAACGCCTACTTCGGCTCGCTATTTATTGGTGTAGATAAGTTGAGCTTCATCCCTGCCCTAATTGCAACAGAGGTAGAGAATTTCCAAAAACTGAGTGGAGAAGCTGTTCCTTAACGGGTCCATGGATAAGTTTGGAATTGTACGATAAGGTGAGTATCAGAAAGAAACCTGATTGCTTTAGATCTTCCGTTATTTTGCACGATGACACTCCCAGAGACGTAGACATAGATCAGTGATATTAGTAAGTATTACTATTACAGTCTATATATAAAATGCGGTTTGCTGTACAGCATTTTTCTGATTTCAGAAATCCGGAGTATTCTGCCCTGTAATGTTCAGCCCAAGCTTTGACAGTCCTCAGCACTGCGGATTTTCCTATCTTTATTAAAATAATCTCCCGCAAGAAGAATCGTTTCAAGCCTTCGTAAGATTAAAAAGAATATTGTCTATCCTGGTCTGTTAAACCCTTCATCTTCAATTCGGTTTCCTGAATAATTAGGGTCTTAAAGTTGTCAAGCAACCCTTTGTAGCATTCCTCTAGAATCTGTAGCCCGTCCCATTCATCAAGGAGATCCCAACTAAGCCAGAGGACATCTCACCGAGGACTGAGGTAGAACGAACCCTTCGCGATTGTCGAGTGCTTAATAAATGCGTATTCTTTCAATGTATGCTCACGAGATTCACGACAAATCCTAAGAGCCAGAGGAGGGGGACACATCTCCAACAGCAGTTTGCCTTCGCTGTTCAAATCTCTCATAGAAAAGTCAGTTCGCAGAAGCGCAGCCTATGAGCTGGCAGGACGTAAATAATATAAGTCTGGGCATAATGTGTCACCAGAATAGCTGAAGTCTATCGCCGCTTCGATTACTCGTGCTTCGGGCCATGTGTATTCCCAAATCATTAAGCGTATCTCTACCGGGAGTACTGGAAAGAACCAAATATGCTGTTGGCCCTTTACTAACTTATCCAGTGGTACATTACCCTGGAGGGATGTCGCACCGCTGTGTGAGTTAAATCTAAAGCCTTCTATATGGTTTTCCAGCCATGGAGACAGATGGTAATCCCGCCCATATTGTTTATTTGGTACCGGTGATTCCCGGTTGTTTCCAGATACTGTTGCTATGTCTATATCAGCCGTGCAAGTTGATCATATAGTTAGCTCCTGTTCCCACAAATAATTGCTTCGTCCACATACAAAGATCCTGCATCGTACTATCGTACAAGCTGTTTGGTTGATAATTATAGAAAAATTGGTGGGTGAATAATTGTAGTTTATCGATATTGCTTGTGGTGCCGCAAAGTCGTGTAATCTTCCGAATAGACGTAATTTATATCGACATTTAGAATTATCCTAATATAGATAGTAAATAGATAGATTAACACAGAGATTATTATATTCCCTATTTCAATGCTGTTGGTGGTTGTAGAGCTTCAAATTCTGTTGATTGCGGCGAAACTGCGTCACTTAGTCGTGTGCGTCACTCCGCCGTGGATTACGTTATAATGACAGGATTCCTTCAAGAGAGTTAACTTTTTGGTGACGCGTGCGCTATGTAATTTTAATATATAATAGGTGAATTTGTTGCTGCATGAGAGTGTAATGTTGCAACTAACTATTAAAAGTAGGTAAATATGACATGGCCGACTGCAAATAGCAAAGCTGCAATGAAGGCAAAGGTATAAGAGGCACCACCTGGAAGCCTTTACAAACCAGCCAGCTATTTCCTAAGTTTAAGCATCGATCGCATTGTTTTTCTATGACACGGGGCTATTTCTTTCACATTTCTGAAGCCAGGTTGGTACCAAGTACCAACAGAGTGAGTTATTACAAATATAGATTTATTAATGAGCTTGCTGCTTACTACAGAGTAGCCACGAAGACGCAAAGATGCCATTCTACAGTTACATCTGCGATCGAGGAAAGGATGGTACTGATCCAATGTCCTATTACCGTTATGTCGCCGCAACCCCAAATCGAGAAATTGCAGACAACTTATACCGGGGTATTTCAGGAGAATTTGTCTTCATCTTCACTCGGGCGAAATTTCGTGTCTTTGAATCGTCTGAGCCCGCAGATGTGGACATATCAATCTGATACACGCGAGAATATCGTGAATCTAATTAGAGATATCAACGAAGGCAAAAATGCTTCACAGAAAGAATATCTAAAGGAAGTACGTGGGAAGATCATTATTACCAAGCTGCCCTGGGACACACAGAGCAACCAATATGCATTGCCACTCGTCCCAGACTGTGGCCTCGCAGATCACATTAGCAAAAGGACCTTTCTTATCCGCAATAAGCATACGCCAAATCAGTTTTGGTTTAATCAATCAAATGCCGTGGTACTATCAAACGACAGACGCTCAAGATTCCGCATTGAGCTAGCGGACACAAAAAACAGCATAAAGAATCCTGTGATGCTAGGGTTAGATTCAGTCAAATTAAGCGTGGTTCGAGGCAATGGTAGTATCGAACCTGTTCGCGTGAAGGAAAATGGAGTACTGGAAATCCACGGTCGGGGAAAAGATACCTTTCTGTTTGGTCTGCTGCACGGGGGTTTCCACGTTGATCATGTGCATAGTATCGTCGACGGGAGTCAGAAGACTGCTAGCGCCCCGATAATGATCGGGAATGGGGATAAGCTTCAAGATTCTGGCGATGTATGGGAGTTAGTCTAAATTCCTTCAATATGTCATTTGTTAGGTCTGGATATATGGTTTTGATTTTCTAAGTTGCCTTGATATAGGTTTTCCCCTACCATGTTAGGTTTTCCCATATCTTTTATGTGAATGCAAAGGTGGACTCGCAAGTAAGAATAATGAGTTATAGTTGCAAAAATACTAAGGGTAGTTAGTGATACTACTGTACTCTGTACACGAAGCGTGGCATTACCTGAATGGCATATAATGGCTGCGGGGACATAGAAACCATATTTATGCATCCGACCAACTTCCTATGCTGTCTATGGACATGCCAGGTCTCCAGTCGATAGTCTCGGGCTTGTATCTATCTATAAACTATATTTGTCTATGGAATGTATCTATCTGCCTCTGGACAGGTATGATGGGTAAGAAGAAATTAGATGCTTTTGTTAGTCCAGTTTACAGTATTAACATATGTTAGCGTAACCCGTAACAAGAACTTCGATGCATGCGTCAGTTCAGGTAACTTTATCTAGATATGCTGGCCTAGAACCCAGAAGAGGTATACAATGTGACACGTTTGCTACTATATCTCGGCATGTCAAAGATGTCATATCAAAGTCATAGACTTGTTATGGAGCCGATACTTCCGTAGTAATCAAACTTCCTTAATAACAGTGTGTCTATAGTTAACCTTCCCTGTACATTGTAAACTCAAAAATAGTGTTTAATTCTTATAGATCTGTTCCCTCCTCAATTTATGCATAAAGCCTACCCCGTCTCAATGGTCCACAGGTTCGGCATTCGGCTACGGGCAATCTTAACGTAATCTAGAACTAACTTGCTGTTTTAAATACACGGAATTCCAAGGATCTTGATATCATGACTGTCGACCAAAGTGGGCTAATATATTACCCTTTATTCAGTATTCGCTCGGTCCGACTTTATTCCGCTTTTTTATCCTTTTTATTCAATTCTCCCAGATAGATTCAGATAGAGACCTTAGAGACCTTATCCTCCTCAATGAAGATCCATATTCTTATATAATCGGTGATACTAGCTTATACGCGTATTTAGCTGACCGACAATAACATATACACATCGCATGTACCTGGTCGAGGGGAAGGCGATGAAAGCCACATTGACTTTCTTAAGCAGTCTTAAGCAGCCCAAGGTAATGAAAGTCCGCAGTTGCCGAACTAGGCCAACTAGCAAAAATCAGTATGTTGTCAATGATTCATTAAATACTACACAAAATTCTACAAGCAGAAAATCGAGAATGCTGAGAACCTTTACAAAATTCTGATTATCTTAGTATAATCTAAAACCTATTAGCATCCACTTATAGTACATTACTGTCATGACCTTAATTAGATTGGCATTTATCGTATCTAGAAGGCTATTTAACAAAGGTTTTAAGCACAGAGAGAAGAAAAAGGAGGAGCGAGAGGGACTTAGGTGTTAACTCAGGTGTTTGTGCGACGAAGTACACAAGTTTTATTGTATAATGCCACTAACCTATTCGGGAAATAGGTTTTGGTACAGGGTTAAGTATATGTCGTCACAGTTACACCCTGAGGATCCTGATGTAAATATGATGCGGGCACATAGCATGCAGATTACTCGGGAGTTAGTAAGGTAAATAAGTGCTTACCCCAGAGAGAAGATAAATATCACTGTCCCCTATTATTCGACCGCTCATTTTCTTCTTCGGCTTTAAACAAAGCCGGTACAAAAATTTTTTAATCCTTACCCTTAGTAACAGTGCCCTTTACTATGCAGTTAATGCACCTTGTTTTAATAGCTGCTGCTCTGGCACCAACTGCTTTCTCTAGAAAATGCACAGATGGCCTTCTGTATTGTGGACATACCCTGAAAACAGTTGGTATTAGACAACCCAGCATAATTTTATATCCCCCAGAACATTTGCTCTAGCTAACACTCCCCTTATTAAGGAAATCAATACCATGATATAATTAAAGAAAGCCTTCTCCGCGAGGGGTATGATCACCATAATCCACATAATATCGCGAACTCCTTCTTCAAGTGCGATCACAGATATCATGATGATATTATGTTTATCGAGCTCTGCGACTATTGTAAGTATACAGGAGTAGGCATAGATGATAAGTGTTATTCCTATTGGTATGTAAGAAACCTATCAAGAGAAATATACTGTCTATGCTAATAATATAAACTAGACTCCAGGGGTTATACAAGTATCACAATGGCTAAGTTATAGGGAGAAGTTGAAATATGTGTCTGTTGTATGCGGGAGACCCTGTTATGGGTTTTTGCCCCAGTGTTCTGGGTTTTTTCCCATTTCCTTCTGCAAATGCAAGGGTAGCTCCATTCTTATTTTATTGCTTTTAACTGGGTTTGTGTACAACGTTATTGCATTAATATTCTAGTTTTTCTTAGTAACGTAGTACTTCTCCATACAGGATGTGCCTCTATGTATGGCTTGATATAGCAATTTCACCTAGGTAATTCGTATTTATTGAATTGATAAATTCACCATTTCCTTCGCTCTAGTTTAATAGCAGAGAACTAGATATACTTTGATAAACGTACCGAATAGTATGTTTACTGTTATATGCATTGCCCTCGTTAAAATAGCATACAACATGATAACCAGAAACAATACTGTATAGATTATCACTCCATGATTTATGTACTGGGGCAACTTATGTATCCGATCTTGGGGATAGTAGGTTATATTATATTAATTTTTAGGTGAACAATCCTTTTATTATCCATAGCGATTACGATATACTGGTATACTCTAGCAAGTTAAAAGCCTATATTCTTTGATCAGCAGAAAGCAACACAGCTAAAATAGCCCACATTATTATAATATGGACAATAAATCATGCTAGGCATGAAGAATTTAAATTTACAAATCTTCCGACCACTCTTTATATAACGGAGGCTCCAGTAAATCAAGGAGTCGTCGAAATTTTACTGCGAAGTCCACGGGAGATTCAACACACTATTTTAAGCTAACATAATCAATATTCTTCTGCAGCTCCTGCGCATATTCTAAGGGAACCTGAAAGCCCTGTCTAGATTGATCGTTCTAGATGTGTCATGCTAAAAGAATTACTAGCTCTATTATTAACTTTACGAAATTTTTCGATATATCCTATTTGCTTGAGGGTTAATTTTCCCTGTTGTACGTTGTTCCAGCAGGAGAAAACGGTTCAGAAATATCAAGAGATAAAGAACAAGGGTTAACAACTCAACGAACACATTATGTACCGATAGTTATAGAATGCCGAATATCTCCCAATTCTCACCAGCTGCCGCCAACTTTGTCCACTAAGTTATGCAAATATAATGGTGGTATACTACCAATTCTTTTAGGAGATACAGAGAATAGCGCATGGCACATTGATTATATATTGGTAATATTTACAGTAGATATGCAAGGCCAAAGCAACTGTTTCATCCTACAGCTGGAAGTAATACATGACATGTCAAAGGCAAATATTGGCTAGTCGCTTTACTAAAGGATCTGTGGGCTGTTAAAGGTATGCTTGAAGTTTTTCCATAACGGATAAACTTTTATATTATCTAGCCGTAGATTAGTTTAAGTGTAAATGCTACTCAAATACTATCTTTTTTATCAACCATAGGCTCTGCCTGTGAGACATCTTGCACAGTAGCAGGGTACAGAAGCTCCTGGTTCGACCGTTCCTTTTTCGGCGCTGGATACTCCATAGTATCGTCCTCATGGACCCATTTTCTTTTCCTTGATACACAGTTGCGACGTGGCTCCTCAATAGAATGAACATTATAAAAGTGGCGTCGAAGGTCCATGGTGGTGCTGTAGACTCTATTCTCACAACAAGGATGAGGGCACTGAATAGGGCCTTTCTTGTCGATCTCCGCCAAATGTTTGTTATCGATATGGTTTATCAGGGTAGCTTTCTCTCTCCATTGTTGGAATCGTTGCTCGGGTTCCTGGCTCTTGTCGCCTAGGCAAAAGGGCAAAACCCAGGAGCTACCAGTGTATAGCGAAACCTTAACAGACCGCAACGCGGTTGAAGTTGGTCTAGATGGAAGCGACAATGCTCCTCCAAGCTTCCTCAGTCTTAAACCATTTGGCACATAAATAGCACCACTCAAGGAAAGGTTTGTTGGCTCGTCGATGTGCTCTTTTGCCATTTTGTACCGCTGCTGGTACGGTGCAGCATTCAGCGACTTTCTTCTGCATTGCAGAATATGCTTAGAACGATTTTGTATATCAACACTATAAGTATTAGCCTATTGGATGTAGCTATTAATTCATGTGACAAACCTGGTAATTTCTTTTGAACACACTGGGCATCGTCCATCCCTTGGTGATTCACCTGGGTAGTATGCAACCCTCTCCTTTGAGGTACAGATTCTTAACATATCGAGCATGCACTGTCGTCCAAGTTCACTGTTGATTGATATTTCAGTAAATAGGTTATCCCGTAAACGTTGTCTCTCTGGCATGTACTTGGAGTAGATGGAAAATCGGCAGGTTGAATCACGCTCTGTGAAATCCCTTCCAGCAATATAGTCATCATAAGAGGATTGCCACCAGTTATTGATGAATTCCTGTTTTTTGTGCGGCGCTTCTTAGCGGCTTTGGTGTACAGCTTTTCCCTTTGAGATACAAGTTCGCTATGCTCTTTTGGCCTTCCGTCTATTGCTTTGGTCAAATTATCGATTCTTTGGTATAAATCAATCATCTCTTTGTCATTTTCGATTTCGGCAAGAGCAGCTGCGTCGAGCTTCTGAGGCGCATTAGGATCGCGGTGGTGGGCCATGCTTTCTTCTATCTCCAGGCATTCGTAGTCGGGATCAAGGTTCCAGTAGGTGGCTTGAATATCGGCGCGTTTGAATTTTGATTGGTATTTAAGGTATGTATCTGGATTCTGATGATCCAACGCCTGGCTTCGGGTTGCCTCAGATGCTTTTGCTGTAAGAGCGTTAATATTGCTAGAATACTGTAGTATTCAGGTAACATACAGTCAATTACACTTGCGACCCTGCCTCTAATCCCATGAATCCTGAGCGGATCTCGGAAGCATTCACGTTGCGCTAGGGACGTGAGGCCATGGTGTAAGGATGAAAATGTCAAGCCACGGACAGGGTCCGGTCCATCAGAAGTCACCATACGAAGTACTGGCAAATTCTTTGCACTATCTTCCCATTCAAGGGTCCATGATTCTCGCCCCTTTGGAGGAACTTTTGATAGTAACTCATCCACGGTGTGGATTCCCTTAAAAGCCCGATCTGCTAAACCCGCAACCATGACATAGAAGACAAAGTTCCTTCCAAGCACCTTTTGCTCTGTAATCCAAGTCTTCGGGCTATTATCTTTAGCTAATTATTGCGAGTCTTGGGGACAAAAACCTACATAACCTTCTCATCGCTATAGCGAAGTCCTTTAACAAACTCTGGATCTATAGTAACCCATCGTTTGATTTTGTTGTCCTTGTATTGGATATTGAAGCGAAGATGCTATAATAAAAGTAAGCATATACCTTCCTTTTTATACTCTAGGCTTTTAGCTCACCTTGTAGTAGAGACATTCGTTGGTATTTCTATAGGAGCTGGACTCGACGATAGCACCAGCTCTGGCTCCAGAGGCCGAAAACAATGAGAGGGCAAAAGCATCTTGAAATCTTGAGCGCTCATGGATGTAGTCATGGTCATCATCTTGGAATAACCGCCTTAAAAGAAGATCAATGTCTTTTGCTGTAACATGGAACTTCTCTCTATGTTTTGTCTGAAGCCCGTATCTTGGTGTCAATTCATTTCGAATATGCTTAAAAAGTCAGCGAGTGCCATTGGTAGACAGGAGTCAATAACAAACATTATAAACATCTTTCTTGACTGCAATTGGGAGCACTCTAGAAGTCTTTTTCCCCATTCAGCAATAAAGCAAGAAAGGTTATAACGGACACTATGTTGAGAAGGCAAGTCTCCTTTGCGTAGACAAATATAACTCTCACAGAAGAGTTTTAGGACTTGAGCAGGAGGGTCCGGCTCTTGCTTTGCAAAGTACCTATCTTCAGGTTCATCTGTGGTCATCATCCATCTAATATAGGATTAATAATTGCTTGTAAGCCTAATCAAGTCACCGATTACCCACAATTTCCAATTCTCAACAGCATGGTTGTAACGTTCATCAGTAGCTGGGGCCCTCTTTTTTTATGGGAAACCTCGTTTTCCTTATTTTTCTTCTCATACTGGTACTCTATAGTGAACCCCGTTCTTCACCGAGTTTTCGGAGCTCCTCAACTTTTCTTTGTCTTTGCTCCTCGAGCGAGATAGACTTGTAATCACGTGACATGATTTTGTATACAATAATATGGTCGATTGCCGAATAAAATCTTCCTGAGTTCTTTGGAAGGGAAAGAAAACAATGGTCAAGAAAGCAGGGTGCCCTCTATTTATTTTACAGTAGCAATTCCCCTCAACCCCTAAATCATTGTGCTCACCCACCTGCTCACCCAGCTCACCCAGCTCACCCGCGCTCCACAGATGGCTCACCCAGCTCACCTGCACTCATCTTCTGAGTTAGCGGCGCTCACCCATAAAGCGGCAACTAGTGCAGGGCTTAAGTATCAATTGACCGCGTTCATTATGCGGTTTGAGTACGGCTGAGCGGACGGGAAGCCCTATTTTCCACACCCTATGGTCGTATGTACTAGGAATATGTTAAAAACAACTTAAGTTATGCAGTAGAAATGTTGCAATGTCCCCGCTACTTCTACTGGCAGTTGATGCAGAGGGAATCTATGCATGTACGTAGCCATTTAGCAATATAGTTGTAATATTTGCAACATTTTCTACATATTCTGTTTAGCTTCGGGAATATAATTCTCCAATGTTATATATAGAAAACTATAGGACCATGGGATCCACATATAGATAACAAATACAGAATGGCCTAGAAAAAGTCCTCTACTACTAACAACAGTATTTGTAGAACTATTGAGCACTCAAGGTCTTACTTGTTAAGGAAATCTTGCACGCTTTGTATAGCTATGGCTAGGCTGCGCTACTGCCCACAAAGTACATACGGCCAATAAAATAAACCAAGTCTTTTCTCTCAGTTCGATCCTCCTCGTCGGATGCTGCAGAGCGCTTGGGCCTTCCTCGGATAGGGCCATCCTCCAGGAAGCCGCAAGAAGATTAAATTATATGCAGATAGAATTCAAATCGAACAAACACTGTATAGATTCAATAGAACGTCACCGCGATGCTTAAACGTATTAAACAAATACAGCCTACCGAAATGGTTCCTAAGCGCAGTCAAGCGCGCCGGAAATGGATTAACTAAGCAGTGAATCTCCTCTGCATTCCTCCATAGATACAACTCATGGTGGAAATTCTGGAGGCAGCGACAGCGGAACGGCAGTTCTCTGGGAAGATGGTGGTTGAAGCGGTGATGGGAGTTTTAGTGCGAGCTGGTTACATGACCCCGCCGCCTATGCTGCTGATCGACAGCGTTCTGCCCATGACAGGTGCCAGTGTTGAAAAGGAATATTAACATCAGATTGCAGCAATCAATGCGGTGGTTGTATTCTATAATGTAGAGGAGTCGCCGTAGCGGTGGCCCTATCCTACCCGGAAGTACTTATAAGATCAAATTCGCGGCGCGAAGGAGGGCTTTCCTGATATCCTGTGTCCTCGATATCCCGCGTCGCACTACTTGCTCCAGTTTGATGCTAACATAGGTATCTCAGGGTCGTTCGGCGGATTCAACTTAGGTTGTCTATGTCGTATTCGACAAGGCAGCACTCTGTTGCCTACCCGGCATTATTAATCGCTCTCTGCTTTGGAAAAAGAGAATGCAAAAAGTAAATATTATTGATGACTGGGGCTGGACACCCCGGCTTTGGAACAGTCCTCTCAACCTCGCAACCGAAAGTGGTCTGGAGAATGCAAAAAGAATCCTGCTTGAGAAGTGTTTGCCACGCCTCAACGCTCGCAGCACAAAACGGCCACGGCCACGTCGTGAAGCCCCTCGTTGTCCACGGGGCCGACACAAACTCCACCCGGAGAGGACACTATCCCCCCAAGGAAGCTGTGTCAAATGGGCATCCAGATGTTGTAAAGTTTCTCATTGATCGACCGGATGTGGACGTGAAAGTCCGAGGCTGGAGAGGCTGCCCAGATGGGTCGCTGTGAAGTTGTCCGTTGGTTTCTGAAATCCGGATGGGCCGACGTCAAGGCCAAACACGATATCGGGGTCACTGCGCTCTAGTTTGTGGTCATCGGCAGAAAAACTCAGGTAACCCGGTTGCTAATACACTAGGGGGCTGAAATCGACATCAAGGGGAAGGCCAGTACTACGCAGCTCAGTTATGCAGTTCTACGAGATCATTTGCCTATTGCTAAGATGTTTCTGTCGATGGGTGCAGAGGTGAATACAATTCACGAGGAGGAGTGGACGCCCCTTCATGTTGCTGTGAGGAGTGGGCAGGAGGAAATAGTGAGTCTTGCTGAAAAGCAGGTTATTAGACTGATCCGGTAGATCTGGAGACTAGAATGGCCCAATTAGACATCGCGCTACTGAAGAAGAACCAAAAGTTGGCCAACTATTGTTGGAATGGGGAGCTAATCGGTCAGGAAATCCTTTGGTAATTAGTTACTGCAAACTACTACCAGACTATAGTTAAGACAGTCCTCGTCTTTAATAGTCTCTCTGGAATAAGAGACGGCGTTTTATGTAGCAGCTTTAAGTAACCAATTACGGATAGCACGAAGACATCTCGATCTAAAGTTTAAGGAGAGATCAAATCCATGACTCCTACTATCAAGACATGCCATATATTTTCATAGCACGTCGAACATCAAGAGAGGTATAAAAAGCAGTTTGTGTCCTTTTTCTCACCCGGATCCATACCGTTACTCCGAACGGGGTCGACCAACTTGCATTCCACAACGTCGCTAAATACATCAAAACTTCGGAGGTTTGTTGGTTCCAATCTCTCATAATTGGGGGGTTATCTACCGAAAAGCCCTGCGTTGACCATGACTCCTGCTGTTTACTTGAAGTACTAGTCATTTATAATCTTTAAATCTTCATTGAGCACGTTTTAGTAGTTGTGTCTGTGGGTCAACCTATCCGAAGTTCATCATGACGGTTTATAAACCCGAAAACCCGGTGTGATCCAGTCCGTTTATAAATACCAGCATATCACGTACAATATTAATTCTACGAGGTAAGCCCACGTTGATATGCCGCTGAATAGATCTAACTTGACCTGATTTTAAAGCTTGAACTCTAGGCATTGTTTTGCCCTCAATTTAAACATAAGATCTCGATGATTTTGTGGCCGTTTTGATGATTGAAATTAATGAAGAAATTGAAATTGGTGAGGTGACGGAGCCGGTTGTAAACTAGGGTCTATTCATTGACTAGTATAGACAACCTGACAGTCATGATACCCGAGAGCAAGAGCTTCACCTTTAAAAGCTAAGCAACTTGGTTGGCGATACGCATATGGGAGCCACAGTACTTTAACACCTCCAAGGGCCACCCAGTCCTCTATTAAGGATATGTTAGGGCAGTACTCATCTTGAATTGGCTGGTAATTACTCCCAAAGGGCTGGATATTAAGGGAACCAGTGTCAGTCTCTAGGTATGGGCCGTGTGTAGAGAAACTGATAGATCTGACTGCTGTGTTTGTAGGTAGAACCATTTGTAGAGCACCAGTTTTGGCATCCCACAGCCGGACAGTTTTGTCACCAGAGCCTGAGGCCAGCATCTGGCCGTCCGGAGAGAAGGCCACGGACATGACCCAATCTGAATGGCCCTCCAAAGTCTGGAGTTGTGTGCTCCATGATTTTCGTGTTTTCGGCAACGCAGCCATTATCCTTAAAGGCTTATCTCTGAATTGTCTTCTAATTGGTGACTCTCCACGGGCAAAAGCAATTCCAGAATAATAAAACTGCAACGGGGCTGAGCAAGCCATATTTCTGAGGATAAATCTCTAGGCATCATTTAAAAATTCGGAGAGTTTCAAATCTGACATCTAGATTCCATTTATTATTAACTGGATAGCAATTTAGCAGGTTTGGCCTCGGCGTTCACCTTTATCAAACTTAATGTATTCAGGATATCCATGGTAGCATATATCACTCCCATTATACTCATTGCTTCTAGCCAATAAGGAAATGCTGTTCCAGAAAACCAATTACTTTATCACTTACAAGCTCATTGCTTTGTTCCAGATGATGTGCCCAATGGCAACATGAGTATTGCAAATCTTTGGGAAGGCACTGATTAACAGTCCGGTCCGTGATATCCTTACGCTCAGTTGCATTGCTTGGCAAGTCACAAATATTCTCTTTCAGGGCACTGTCCATAATGCATAAACATCGGGCGGCTATCTTCTTATGCATTTTGTACTTCTCTACCCGAAGAGTTGTTGTCGTGTTGAGGAGATAATACTTAAAATGTAGATGAAGAAATTGGATAAGAGTATCAGGATCTGTTGGCATTTCAAGGAGTGGGCGAAGTGAATGAAGTGAGTCCAGTTGGTTAACAATATCACCCCGAGATATACCGAGAATGCATGCAAGTGTATTAGTTGAGACAGGAGCCTGAAGAGTGATAATAGCGCCAACTATATCCTGGAATTCTTGAACATGCACTTTTGACTCCAGACATACTTTCTCAAGTAGGAGTCCTAACACCGCTGAGTGTGTATTCTGAGCCGCCCATGAGAGCGGTGTCCGACTATACTGGCTATCCCTGGACTCCACATTGGCACCCTTCCCAAGCAAGACCTTCACCACCGCAACGTGGCCGTTGCTGGAAGCCCATGAGAGTAGTGTTCGACCCTGTTCATTGTCCTTGGACTCCACGTCGACACCTTGCTCAAGCAGCATCCTCACCACTTGTTCATGCCCTTCCTTCACAGCCAAAAGCAGTAGCTTCTTTTGAATATTATCTTTTGACTGCATCTGAGTTCCTCGTTTCGTCAAAAACTTTAATAGTCCACGATGGTCACTTAAGATGGCATAGTCGAGCGGTGTCCCTCCAATGTCATCAGCCAAATTAATGTCAGCTCCAGCTCTAAGTAGCACGCGGGCGGCTTCCCCATAGCCATTCAAGATCGCCCATGAAGTGGAGTCCGATTATGCTTGTCTGCCGAATCTACAAATGTCGTTGTTCTTAAGAACTTTTTCCAGGATCTTTTGGTCAAGAGTTCCACAATAGCACTATGGCCATTTCCTGCCGCCCAAGATAGTGCAGATCTTCCATACACATTATCCTTGGCGTCCAAGTCAATTCCATCCGTTTTAATCCAATGTTTGGTGACAAGTGTCAGTCCAAAATAAGATGTAACCATTAGAGTGGTGAAACCCGTAGGGAACTCTGTGTTTAAAGAAGCCCAATAACAGTGGAGCCAATTTTGACAGCGAATTGCACTTGTATCACAAATCATATTCAGGGCTGCTACCATGTCCGCCAGTTGGAGATTTGACTCCAATAGATGAGTTGTCAATATGTAGGAGAGTAGTCAAAAAAGACAGAATTATCAGTGCGACTGCGTCCACCCTCTCCAAAAAACTGGGTTTTCTCAAAATCAACAAAGAGCAAATGTTGAATGCAGATGTTGGCAAGAATGCAGTGTGAGTCTTGCAACCGAAGAGAATGTCTCCATTTGGATGACTGTTTGACATCATCGGCTATCGTCTCCTGAGCACCTTGGACCAAAAATTCTCTTGCTGTTTGATGGAGGAGATAAATCTTGGAATCCACAATCATAACAAAGAGTCCACATATAGCTTGAATCATTTCGCGAAAACGGTTTTCTGGTTCAAGAGTGAGGTCGGTATAAGAACGCTGATCCTTCTTTAGAGCCAGCACGAGATTCATCTCCTTGAGGCTTAAGGGCCGCAAGGAGATGATATGCCTCATCAACAGACTGTGGGAAGTAGGAAGTAGCCTCAACTATTCCTCTTCTGTCAATGTCATCCTTGTCCTTGAATAAGTCCAAGGTAAGATAGACCCAGAGATATGTTCTGTTGGGGACAGAAGTTAGCCTCCGAAGCAAGATGTTATGCTCATCTTCTGTGAGCTGTAGTCGGTCTTGTACATCCTTGACCTTTGCTTTAATAAAAATATCAATCTCTTGAGAGATCTTATTCATCTCAAAATCGCTTTCACCACTAAGATGTATGACAGGTTGTCCGGGTATTTTGAGAGGCCGAAAGCTCTGTCGGATGTGACTTTCAGGACGACTAGTAACCAGAAATTTGAGATTGAAATTATGTTGGCTCTTATCAGTATAGAACTTGCGCAAAGCATGCATAAATTGGGAACATCCAGGTTGTTCACATTCGTCCAAGGCGTCTAAAAGAAAAACAATTTCTCCGGCATTTTCCTCACTGGCAGCTTTGATAAGAATGTTCCAGAGCTCACTAAATGAGCTGGTAACCCTTTCATTCATTTCAAGTCGGTCAAGTATGGTTTCAGTAAGCAGGTTACGCTTCTGGTCGAAGAGTTGGTAAAGTATGCAGCATAGCGCATTTGTGATACTCTTTTGGTCCTCAAAATCATCTTTGAAAAAGAAATAACCAACTGCTCGAGACACACCATGTGTGAGAACAGAACTGCGAGGTATTTGGCAAGAACAGACTTGCCACATCCAGGATTTGCAGAGACCCAAAGCATTCGTGATGTGTGACTTGATTTCCAGTCTTGAAAGATCGGATGTGAGATAAACCATTCACAAGTTCCATATATTCGATCGGGGTTCCGGTCTTTTGGTCTTGATAGGGTGACACGTAAAGGTTTTTCAGAGCAGCTATCCGTCTTTTCCTCAGTGCTTCATTCTGTTGGGCTAACGTGTGATTTCTCTGGCTAATGTTGTCTTGAGGCGGGACAACTGTCAGAAGGAGCCGAGAATAAATAGCGGCGGCAAGCGCTGCATATCCCTGCCATTCTTTAGTCTTATGGGAGTCACAGTAGTCACAGATGCCACGGATCACCAAGCAAGGGAGCTGATTCATGAGTCCAGCTGCCTCCATTTCAAAACAGAGAATATTTAAGTCTTGGGCAAGAGAGTCTCGTATTTTTGCATCCCTCATAACTTGGTTTGCAGATGCTATCAAACCGTAATGAATCTGAGGCTCTGAAGAGTTTCGGGATGCCCGTTTCACTAACTGGGTCTGGTCACATTCCGAGCAATCAGGATAATTACTTTTATGTATGTAGTCTGCATTAAAAAGCCAGTCTCTATGAGGTCGTGAGAATTGTTGGCTTAGCCTCTCATTTGCGTTCAGTATACGGGAAATAGTCCCATCAATGTCTGTCTCCGTAATCATATAATTGCTGCGCACTTGGGACACGGCGTTGAGCAGTAACTGGGGGGGCTTGTTGAGCGAGCTGGTACGTTGAAAGCGTCCATCGGGCAGTGTCTTCCCAAAATCATATTGCACCACACCTCCTGAAGTACTTGATGGTATGCTAACTACCACATCCCCAAGACAAACATCGGTGCTTTTGCTGGGTACGCCACCTGCAATACCCACCATCAAGGCAAATTTTAGGGAAGGGAATGTTGAATGCATCTTAGCTATAACAGCTGTCGCGGACGTAGTTCCATAAACACCTGAGGGTAGGCAGGCGATAACGACATTGTGTCCCCCAGTATGCCAAGTGTATAGGCGTTAGGATCGGTTGGAGGTTGAGGAAGGGGCTCATGGGTCTCCTTGAGCATGAGTTTCGCAGCTGTCATCTCCAGCGACAACGCGCAAACCCAGGCAACGGTGTAGTCGTGATGAGAAAGCTTTGTGGTCGCCATTTTTTCCAACCGTGGCACCACCAATTATACCCAACAAGGAAGCTTTATACGAGGGTATTTCATAACAGAATACTAGACTTCCAGTGACAAATTGATCACAGAATTTTATTTCTCGGCAATATAAGCACAGAACTTCAAGTCCTTCAAATGCAAGGCGGGGTAGGCAATCAGCTTTTTCGTGAAATGAGCGTGAGGCTGTCTGGGTATGAGCTGGCGCTGCTGACTGACCGGGATATGGCCTGTTCGTGCGACAAATCATATTCTAAATGTGGTCTAAACCTCTGTTCAGTTCAGATTTAAGTAATACTTGTCCACAAGGTCATTTTGAACACAATGAAATTGCATAATTGTTTGTTCTAGGCATAGGGATTGATTTGAAGTATATATCTATCATAACCTCATAAGGCAGCTCTCACAAGGCTCCTTACATGAGGTGAAGGCAAGCATCCTTCTCAAAATATCAGCTGCTGACTACCAACTTGTTGTTACTGGCTTAGCACAGGGAGTGTTTTGGGGGAATCGAGCTCACCAGCCCCTCAGATATACCCCGCTATTTGTCTAGTTTGCATAGTAGCTCCAATAAACTGTTGTGTGCGGTAAGTGGTGAGGTGTACACGCTAGTCTGAGTAATATATAGCTCAATCACAGGTAATATTCCCATCCATATTGCTCAAAACAATCACTAGACCTGGGTCCACAATATGTATGATATGTACCCCCAAAAATACAGATTGCTGCGTGAAATCACGTAGTACTACCTGTTCACTGTGAATGAGGGCAGGTGTTCTTTCACAATTGTTATGAATATGGGATCGGCCCGACGGATTACCCGAACGATCGGCGAAGTCCTCGCTTATATGTCTTCCCCCACAGACGAAATTCCTGTATACTAACTAAGTTCGCTCATCCAATTCAATGGCTTAGTTCACTCTATTCAATGCCAATTCCTCTGACCTACTGTAGATTCACAACATAACAATCAAGGAAACATCCTATCCTGCAATGAAGATGGCGCCAAACCTTCCTGCTTGGAAGCTTAAGCTTGTTTCTGATATGATAACCTACACCTCTTTAAGTAATTCCGCTATCGCTGATGGTGCCGAATGTACCATACCATCAGTGGCTTGTATCCGCTCAAATATGGAATGTCATGGTAGTGCCAGGGCTCCTTTAACAAGGGCGGGCCCCAAACAAACTATTACACCACTAATGTCAAATGCGCTTCATAGTCATCTACAATAACACCCTCATTTGTATCTGGACGAGCTGTCAACCTTCCTGGTTCAGAAATTCAACATCTCCGTCACACCTAGAACCGTCGGCAGGGAACTTGCCTATCACGGGTGGTCGAAAAAGGTAATCCGACGCAGGCTTGGCAGTGATTAATCCGAACACTATCGATTTGATTACAGTGATTTTGGGTAAGATTTGTATTTTAGCCTTACCTTGTGCTTAAATACAGTAAAAGTTTTATATACTATAAATAACTATAAGAATCACATATTTTATAGGTATTATAAAAAAATACTAAGAATTGGCTGAGTAATAAGGGATCAAACCTTGAGATAATTATCCCGGATGTCACGCCGTAAGCATGGTGCAACAGGTGGAACAACTGGATTCTATTTTGACGAAGACATCGCTTGAAGACCTCATAAACAGAGCGACGCGAGGTCGGAGGTATAGAGGCAGGATTTGCTGCGCTCTGCTAAACCCTCCCCACAGAACACAGGACCACCGCAGCCAGTCCAAGTGAATGAACTGATTCAAACAGAAAATTGTCCCCTGACGAAATATTATACGTCATCATTTGTAACCTGAGCCAAGGCGTTGCGTTGATGTGCTGTGCTGCATATTCGGCATGAGCCGGAACGGGCGGTTGGAACGTTCCGTTAAGTGCCGGACCTATCCGCAGTTGTTCATTTCCGCATTCGAGAAAATCAAGACAGAATACATAATACACGTAGAGAAAGTGCATCCTTCCATAGGGTGAGATCGGTGAGTGAATCCAGACACAGTCTTGTACGTCATGACCTTACTGGTGATGCGATGTTGCATTGTGACTTCCTATCGCAACCGGGACCGATGGCAGCTGTATAAGTATGGCATCAACGTTCTCCCGTGAGGTCAATTGGATCCGTTCTGATATTCAACATATTCTATCAATCAGCATAACGCATACTTCCGTATTCGTGTACAAAAAATCATGCCAAGTTACAGCCCGATTGTCCAGAAGCTCCGCGACGAGCTGCTCTGGGAAGTTGACGACCTTGAACAGGCCGTAAAAAGGGCTAGACAATGGGACATCCCCGAGCTGGACAAGTATGGCATTATCTCAGCCAAAGGCTTCCTTGACTTTGCCGATTGGTTGATCCGAGGCTGGGTCCCAACGGAGTCGACCAAAGGCCGCGATATCTACTACATCCTTTGTGTCTTCTATTTTATTTTATCCCAGGAGCCGTTGGGTTCTCGCCAGACAAGTATTGAGCCCAAGAACCTCAACAAGAAGTCCCTCAAGCCGCTATCCGAGTGGGTGGTCGATTTTGCAATGGAGATAGGAAAAAGTATGGACGACGAGAGGTCGATAAATGAGGCGTCTATAACGAGCTTTCGAAACTCTCCGCTGTTCCGTGTCTTTGAATCTGAAAATGATGCACCCAACTGGAAAACTTTTAATCAATTCTTTTATCGGCGTCTGGATAATCCTCGTGAAATTGACAGTCCTGACGATGATCGTGTTGTTACCTTCCCTGCTGACTCCACTTTTGCCGGGGCATACGAGATCAATGACGAGTCTGAAGTGGTCCTCAAGCATATCCCATGGAAGGTGAAAGACCTTCTCGGGAAATATGGCGAGGCTGAGCTTCCTGATGACAGCAATCTCACCTATGGGGAAATTTTCAAGGATGGACTCTGGACCCACGTTTTCCTCAATTCTTTTGACTACCACCGCCAGCATGCTCCTGTCTCAGGAGTGGTGGAAGTCATTGACACGATCAAAGGTGCAGCCTATCTTGAGGTTCAGGTCAAGACAGACGAGCAAGTGGGCCACAACTATCTGGAACCCTGTCGTCGTATCGGCCAACCTGAGAAGAACTCAAAGGGTATCACTACTCTCGATGCTCCAGATACACCAGGCTACCAATTTCTTCAGACTCGAGGAGTGATCATCATCAACAATGAGTGTCTGGGGAGGGTTGCTATCTTGCCCATTGGAATGGCCATGGTCTCTTCTGTCAATGTGAGAAAACAACTGCATGGCAAGAAAATCAAGAAGGGCGACGAGATTTCTAACTTCGCCTTTGGCGGGTCTGACTGCGTAATTATGTTCCAGCGAAAGGCCAGAGTTTCTGGATTCCCCGACTCCGATCCAGCTTCTCGGGAGCATTTCTTTTATGGGGAGAAGCTATGCAGGGCGTATTTCAACAAAAATAAAGAGCAAGAGGAAAACGAAGCAAAAAGCGGGTCCCGTTGGAACCTTGTGGTAGTGTAAATGTTATGTTGATTATCTGTATTTGGTAGTATTTATTTATATTTCGAATTAAAAGTTATTGTCGTCTACTTTGGTCGTGTGATAGCTTCAGATGACGTAGTAACTAGGAGAACGTTTTATGCCTAGGCCATACAGTAAAGAATAATACTGGATGATGGTAGGTATCACTGGACGAAGCAGGTTGAAAAGCCTCATGTCACGCAACTCATACAAAAATGATATAATCCAGCCAAGACTCATAATTAACTAACTACATGCCTATAAATACATCCTTCTGGCACAATCTCCATCTTTACGCTAAGATACGGTATAAATAGACAATAATATATTATCACGGAACTCAGCTCCCCCACAGACACCTACACCACCCACCTATCCACCAAAAAGTGGTACGGCTTGACCTCGTGATGACACTGCACAAATTCCGCAACAATTCGAGCATCGCATCCACCGTATTCCAAACCATCCACCAGGAAAGCGGGGTTAGCATCGATGCCCTTAAAACTACCTATGGAAACTGTTATGACCTTACCTTAGACATCGTGTTCAACTCAACGCAAGTGACATGATGTTTATGTGGTTTGCAGGCAGACCGTATTGGGATGAGAAAGGGCTGAGGGCACAGGGCTAGGGCTGGGAAGCTCCCCACCATATTCTCGCTCAACATGCAACGACATTCTACCTCCCGCTCCTCTCTATCTTTAGTATTCTTGATATAGGACTCAACACGATTTTATATATCTGATCTGCCTGCCATCACAGAGACATCTTGCCCTTACAGCTGTTACATTATCATGCGCTGACGGAAAAACCTCCCACGAGTATCGACGGGATCGATTCTCTCGCCTGCTTCACTGACATAAAATCCGCTCATCAAACGAGAAGGTTAATTCTCTCGTCCGTATCTACCAGACACATCTGAAAGAGGTACTGCGATTAAAACCAGAACGCTTCAGCTCCTCCAGACTATTAAATGGCCAGGAAAATCCGTCTTGGTGATCACTAAGGGCCTCCAGAATTCTTAGGAATGGACCCTGGATGAACTCGGCTTATGGCCTATGTCGATCTTCTGGTAACCTCCAATGGAATGGGGGTGTCCAAGGTGAAGAATTGTTTCCCCTTGCGTTGCGGAAATTTGCCGTTTTCAACCCAATGACCCCAACTAGCCGCCTGGTACCAAAATTTTCGCCAGGATGGGTTTGGCGAGATAAAGAGTCCGTTGCTAGGGGGAATGCAGGATATGAGCGGCCATGGCTGCGCAGGTGTTAGGAAGCCCAGGTGGTCTGTGTTCTAGAAATACTTGTCGGAAACACTTTGAACTGTACGTAAAACATAATGACATGAGACACATGTAAAGTGCCCTGAAACGAACATGGGAAGAGAAAGGGATAATAGTCAACACTGATGAGCGCGCGTCCCCCCCCCCCAAACAAAAAAAAAAAAATTGAATTGAGTGAGAAGAGTACTCTCGTCCACGACCCCTACACGCAAAAAAAAAAGCTGGATATTCACCACCGTTTTTAGAGGTACCCACGCTTATGATTAGTTTCTCAAAATTCCTTTTTTGGGACTGATTTTTGGACCGTATTTAGTTAGTTTTAACAACAACGGTCTTGGCATACATATTTTCTTTCTATCTGGCGCCTGTTATTGGCCATTGCTAGTCTATATATCTCTTTTATCTGCCCAAGCATTCTCGTGACTTCTTTCCACAGGCCGTTCCTGATTTATCCCAGATGATTTCCAAGCTAATATCATATCTTATAAGGTGCTTAATAGGCGCTACTTTACGACACTGACCGCTCCTTTCTTACTACTGCTACCTTTTTAACTTACCGTTCATATATGTGTATCAATAGCTCAGCAATAAGAACTTCACTGATTTATTATTTTTCGTGTCCCTCTTGGGATTACTGTTGGGGCACCAGGTCTATATTGCTTCTATAATGCGCAGAATTTCTTCACATATAATTTATATGTTTTCTTTGCCATTATATTGTGTCGATGGTATTGACACTACTGCCTCCAGTCAACGGTATAGAGACGCTTTCCAAACTCATTGCGGAAGAATTAACTCTTAGGCAAGATAATCCAGAATTCCGGAAAAAAGTTAGCGACGTCCGAAGTAATTCCTGTTCTGGTAGAAATTGGTATTAAATAGCCAAGCGATTTGAGATAGCTAGCCTTGTCCTTATATCATTCAGTGGTAAATTAAATATTTATAACTACTAGTAAATCCAGGCGGCATATAGTTTCCCCCCTTTAGTCTATTTAATAGGCTAACAGGGTTTAAAAAATTTCCGAAAGGCTATTTTGGTGATTTTCTTAACATATTGGACGAGAAGAGAGGTACATTACTGCGCCAGTATACTCGCGTGGTTGGCTCGAGACCCTGTTGAAGCGGACATTGTGTCTCAACAACTTCTTTTAAAGTTCACAAAGTCGGCGATTATAAAAACTACACCATATAATATAAAAGACGCTGAATCTTGTACAATTTAGATAAAATATTTCCCTTCACAGTACTTGATAGGGTAAGAGACATAGTATTAATGGAAGTAACAGCCACTATATTACACAGCTTGGAGTGGCAATGGTCAGTTACTCAAATTTTATGGATATCAGACACTGTCTGCTCATTCACAAGGTGACATTTTTATTTTTTATTTTTTGTTTCTTTGGTCGTGTCTTCGTGCGGAGTAAGGACAAAATTCCCTAAACAATAATTGGATAGATCCCATCGATAAGAATATAATAATGTTTTTCTCGCTGCCGTATATTATATAAAGTTGACCATGTCCACCCATAGCATCACAGCCATGAAATACATGCGCATAATGCAGCTGTTCTATGTATCAAATTAACAGGTTATTAAAGGTAACAGAGTGTACCTGCCTTGTTCTAATATTACTTACCAAGGTTGTCTACACCTCACCTAGTAATCCTGATAGCTGGTTTCCTGGAATAGCTTATAGCTCACCGACAGACGTGGACTAAAAATCTTATAACGCGATTTATCTTAAGAGAGCAGATACAACACGCCGTATAACCTAATAGATATTCCTGGTAGACAATTAAGAAGCTACTTCTTCCCCAGATGTGCATTGCGATGACGGCATTTCCTACCTGGGTCAGGGTATCTTGAGCTGCACGCCACGTTAAGGAACCACCTTATGCTAGAGGCCAGGTCAAGTGCTCCCAGTCGGGGTCACAGTCCCCACTACTTGTTGGCGCCTGATACGCATCTTAGTACGCCTCCAAACGCACAACTTCACGATTTTACAGATGGACCAGAGATATCCGTGGACCTACCGAAAGAGGAAGAGTATATTCTATGGAAGAATTGGCTTGAGGAGATTGCACCCTGGTTGGACAAATTCGACAACCAATGTCATTTCCAAAACACGCTTCCAATCATGGCACGATCCCAAGACCACCTCCGGTACGCCATTTTAGCATTATCCGCACGACAGCTTGAGCGGAAAGACCCGACATTGCCCACTGAACGCAGTCTAATGCTGTACCATCAAGCTATACACCTTCTCCTTCCGAAACTTCCCTCTCGGAGCACCCCCGTGATCGCTTCGTGCGTGGTGCTCTGCGTGCTGGAAATGCTAAGCTGCGCCCCGAAAGCCTGGAGTCGACATCTCGATGGTTGTGCAGGCCTGATGGAAGCAGTTGGGATCAACGGGATTGTCGGCGGTGTCGAGCAAGCGCTATTCTGGTGCTTTGCCCGTATGGACGTATGCGGGGGTTTGATCTCCTCCATCAAGACCCTCATACCAGTCCACCACTGGGTGCCTGGAATCGACCTCGACACAGATATTGGTCTTTTCCACTCTGCATCCGCATTTGATACCTACGCGAACCAAGCTGTCTACCTCTGCGCCCAAGCCCTGGATATCCTCGCTCCATCGTACCCCTTCGGCCGCATATCAAGTTTCCGAGGCAGAGGCAGCAGTCTGCCCGACAGAACCTTCACGGAGCGATGGTTGGCGCTCTCGAAATACGTGGAGAACTGGCATACCCAACGCCCCGACGAAATGAAACCCGTCATGCACATGCCTTCATCACCTACCAGTCCCTTTCCCACCATTCTCTTCGCCAACCCAGCCGCTATATCCGGTAACCAGCTGTACCATACCGCTTCAATGTTGATGTTACAGGCCCGGCCGCTTGGGATACGTCTGGATCCGAAGCCGCAGTCGATGCTGTGGCACGCGCGGCAAGTGTGTGGCATTTCCATGAGTAATGATCGCCATGGGGCGTGGACAAACTCAATACAGCCGTTGTGGATTGCGGGACAGTGGATGAGCCATGAAAGTGAACATCGGGTGATTCTGGAGTTATTGGAAAGGATTGAGAAGGAGAGTGGGTGGCCGACGCAGTGGCGGGCAGAGGATTTGAAGGAGTTTTGGGGGGATGATTAGGTTATTAACTTCTGTAGATTTATCGGCTTCTGTGATATTCACTGTTTTCATTTTCTTGGTTGTGATACAACAATTATAGGAGGCATCCTGTCGACATGGAACTCAGATTGATTGCACCCGATCTCTTTTCTTAACATTTTTCACGTTCTAGAATCCTGTCCTAGGAGAATAAACCTACCTTCGAACGAGATGCATAGATCATACCAATACTACGTACTTCAATCTCAATGTGGAGACATCTCCAGCGGGGCACGGACGTCCTCCGATGCGGGGTTATAATAGCCACCATTGAGAAACTACATCCCCATCATAACCAACAATATGGTCCTCTATCAACCCGAAAATAAACACGTCTTCAAAGCCTTCGACCTGACGGGAAAAGTCGCCGCCATCACAGGTACATCTGCGCTCACTCACTCTTGCAAAGCTCCGAGTTTGATGCCATGAGTGGCCCACCACCACTAGATTGCGACATACTCTACTGACATATATGTGCAGGAGGCGCCCGTGGAATCGGTCTCGAAGTCTCGACTGCTCTCGCAGAAGCAGGCGCAAATGTATATATTACAGGACACACCCACTATCTCATACAGAATCTCACATGAAACCGCTGACGAACAGGTCGCATTAATCTACAATTCATCCAAAACCGCCGACGCGATCGCTGCAGACATCGCGACCCGGAACAATGTACGAGCCACGGCGTATCAAGCCGATGTGACGAGCCAGACGGATATCGAGCGAGTAATCCAGCAGATCGCCATGGAGTTTGGCAAACTCGACATCGTCGTCGCGAACTCCGGAATCACGTCCTGTATCGCAGCGGAAGATTACACGATGGACCAGTGGCGTGAGATCATGAAGGTGAATCTCGACGGCGCGTTCTACACGGCGCAAGCGGCGGCCCGCATTTTCAAGAACCATGGCCGTGGGAATGTGATTTTCACGGCGTCGGTTAGCGCCACCTTGGTCAATGTACCGCAAAAACAGACGGCTGTAAGTTACTACTTCAGTATGCGATATGGAAGTTGGGGATACTGGACTAATTGAGGCAGTACAATGCTTCCAAAGCTGCGGTAGTGCAAATGGCGAAATGTCTGTCTGTAGAATGGGTAGACTTCTGTCGTGTTAATTGCATTTCTCCCGGGTTCATCGCCACAGATATCCTGGATATACATCCTGAGGAATGGCGGGAAAAGTGGTATAGTATGATTCCGGCGAAGCGCATGGCCAGTGCGTATGAGCTTAAGGGGGTAAGTGGTATGTTCTATATTCTGCAGATGAAGGAGCTCATCAATGATAGGCATATGTGTTCTGCGCCTCGGATGCGTCGAGCTATATGACCGGGGCGGATATTGTTATTGATGGGGGGTATACATTGCCTTGACTTGGTGGAAGTGGGATACACGCGGATAGTATTGTCAAATCTGTTAATATCATGGTACTTAGGCCTGAATCGGATAACTTGGACTGCCTTACCATGACGGCATGACCAAGTGCAAGTAATTGAGCACTTTCCACATTATCCATGTAGTGACAACGATAGAGGTGAGGAGCTTGCGTCGCATTCGACATCATCATCGACGATGACTGGATGGTGTTGCAAAACGTGCCTTAGCCATGGATGGTTTACCGTGGAACTCGCTTGGTCGATAGTAGCATTGGGTGTCGAAGGATGCCATGCAGGTTGTTGCTCCTCTGAATGCGATAGGTAGTGGTCTTGAGAGGATACCCTGCTGATATCTTCGAGACAAATACCCTCACTTGTGGATAGGTGCTTTACATTCTCCAACTCCCCAGGCAGTGGTTTCGGCCTATCCGTGGCTACTTCATGCTGGTTCACATACTCTCCAGCTCGCCTCTCTCCATGATTCGCTTGACTCGAACGACTCGTGCATTCCTGAGCAGAAAAAACTTCCCCACATGGATAAGACTGGCGATAATCCCGGACAACTTCAGAGGTGACATTCATTATCTCAAACTTCTTCGGCGGGCGTATCCTTGACCGTCGCTTCGTGTCATCCTGCGCTGTCTGTGTGTTCTCCTCCCGGACAGTTATTCGCATTCCCCATCGGCAGATCTCATTTTGCTTCTGGCATGCACGACATACTGGCTTGCCTTCGTCGCATTTTCGTTTCTTTCTCCTGCAGTTCCAGCATCCTGATCGGGTTCTCTTCCATTTTCCGCCTTCTTCTCTCCCTCTCTTGTCTAATAATGGGTTGGGATGCGTGGTTTCTGGTGTTGATGAGCTATCGGCTTGCATATTCACATCCATAATACCCAAGAGGTATGAATATGTTCGGTGTTAGTTTCTGAGCATCTAGTTCCAGGTTGGTCCATTGTGGGCTAGCAAAAAAGGCAACTTGAAGCGCAACCCCAGACCCACATCCCCAGAATCTGTTAGAGACCTACCGTATTCAGTATGGTCACGTGGCATCTCTTAGTCACCCATCTAGATAACTTTAGACAGCTTGCCCGAGCCCGTTGAATTGAAGAGGATCGTGCCTCGCAACAGAATCAGAGGGTCATGTGATGAAAAGAATATAATACAGGTATTTACAGTGTATCAGCATGCACAGTACAGTTTCTAGTCTCTGGAAATCGTTGGTGGTTATTTCTTGGAGTACATACAAGGGGAATGTAGTGCAAGGAATGAGGGATCTTGCATACATAGTTTCGATAAGACTGGGGGATTGACGTTTGGCAGAGTGGGATTGAAGGCGATTAGCCCATTATTTATAGCCAATCAATCCTCTCTTTTCTCCCGAAAGTGATAAGCAATCTAACTCTTTGTGTTTCTGGTATTTTTGTAATATTCCTGCGGTGAACAAGAAGTTGATTTGTGATGCTACCTCCCATGCCGATGCTTAAGAAATGTGCGGCGTTGGTCTTCTAGTTTGAAAGGAATGTAGGGTCACCCTGTCTTACCTGGAGGGTCGAAGAGCCAGATATCAAATGCACCTGTATTTTATGTATACGAGTTGGATGCCGGGAAAGGTCCAGAGATAACGAGATTTCTTGTGTAGCCGGACATTTTTGCAATTATGTCTAACATAATCGTTGGCCTCTTTGTCAAAGTGCAGGTTTTCGTCGGGAGCTTCTATTATCTTGCATACAATAAATCTATTTTCTTGAAGGCCCTGGGATGCTCTTTGCATCAGATCATCGGGGTAGACGAACTCAGGAGCCTGACGTCAACAATTAGTATTTAATATTCAATAAAGCGTACTCGCTGAGAGAATGGAGGTGAACAAATGATCCCCTCCCCATCTACTCTGGTCTTGCCCAAGATCTCCATCATGCGTCCAGCCCAAAGTAAATTAGGAAAATCTGCTTCTTCAAGGGCACGACTAATCTCCGTCGCGGCGCGGCAGATCCCGGACTGCTCAGCTAGGTGAAGTCCGAACAGAAATTGAACAGCCACAAAATAAAGGAGCCCCTTGTAAGATTCGTAACTATTGCTTGTATGTACAGGTACTAGAAATGTCCCATATTACAGTGGTATGATGTGATTTATAGTGTTAACTATATTTTGGACATCTCCTTTATCTGAAATGTTGTCATTTATTTTCGTCCTATAACCCTGCCACTTAATTCTGGATGTCATGCATCACATTACGAATTTCCTTGTGATCTACAAAGTACAGCATTTTAATTAAAGAAAGAGGCTAGCGTTTTTATGTCATGCTAGAAAAGAAATGAAAGTGCAGAAAATTTGTAGAGCTCCTTTTACCTGAATTGGGGAAGATTCTCTCTCCTGATGAACTATGATGCAAAATTGTTTCCCTCCGTCCGCGGTTAAGATAAAAGACCTTGAGTCAACCTTCTTGATCAACAGGAGATCGCCAGAAGTAATGAAAGAAATATTAAGGTTTGGCTCCTGTTTCTACTACGAAGATCTCTGCACAAACAGAGCAATATTCACTTCCAGTACTGCACCTATTATTCCAGAATAATTCCTCAGTTAGAGAAAAAACTAGACCAGGACTTTGAAAGTTCCCAGGCCTCATTGATATTATAGTTGCATTTATTGAAAAGCCACTGAGTGCAGTGAAGGCATAGCCAGTAATAATTGATTCAGTAAATTCCATGAACAAGCTATTATTATTACTATTGTTGTTCTTCAATATTATAGAGCATTTTTCAGTCTGAGACTATGCATGCCACCTATCACTCCTGGGTGGTGGAATTTAAACTAATAAACAGATATGTACATAATGGGTAAAATCAAACTTCGCTGGGCAATAAGTACAACAACATTCTAGTAGTGGATGGGTCCCTGGAGAAAGGGTTAAACATGTTAAATTTCAGTTTTTTTTTTTTTTTTTATATTTTTTTTCCCTCTCTGTCGGGATCCAGGAGCCACTATCTTGTAGCAATACCAGTTTCCTTTTAGGGATTTAATTAGTTGTTCATGCCCTACTTTCTTGGCAAAAATATAAGGCAATTTTCTATTTTTTTTTTTTTTTTTTTTGTTTAATGTCTCTATAGGCCCTTTTTATTGTCCCTGTATGCCGGATATTAAAAAAATAAGTGGTATGGAGTTTGGGGCTAGTAGTTTCAACATAAGTTGCATATATAATTATCATAGATGTTTTAACCAGATAGGATCTAAAGGAGCTATGCCTTAGTTTTAACTGAATAACAGTTGACCCCAATTCACAACAGTTATAAAAATGGATAGGATTCAGAAGGACCAGCTGGTCTCCACTTGGGGTAGTACCAGTCCAAGTAACTTATCCAAATTTCAGCGTTATCAGATACTGCCCGATACACGCAACATGGCATTATTCTTTTAAGATCAACTGACGCTGCTATCTGTGAAAGTTTTATTGAACAGCTCCTCCAACATTGTGGGAAATGGCCGGAGCCTAAGTACGTTCTTGTTATGGACAACATATCATTTCACCGCTCTGATCGGTTAGAGGAAATGACTCGAATGCAGGAGTCAGACTGGGATATTGCCATCGTAAACACTGAACTTCAATCTGATTGAAAGTTCTTTGCTGAGCTGAAGGGTTTTATCGAGCGAATCTTGTGGGTCTATGAGGAAGATCCTGACCAGAGTTTTAACAGGTGTGTCAGTATTTCAGGTGTACGAGAACTAGGCACTAAAGCTCTTTTGGCATACAGGCCTTACAATCGAGAGTATATAGCTTAGAATCTATCAATCTTGTTATTTTGAACCCTCCTGAAGACTATTTCATGTGGACCAACAGACTTGATCATCGGCCATTTATCTCTATAGTTCACTTATTCTCTAGACAGGTCGTTATTCTACATTTTCACGCATCGTATACTTGTCGAATAATAAGTATATGAAGAATAATGTCTTAGGAATTTCGGGCATAGAATATATGCTTAAATGCGCTCGACCTATAGAGCCGTACGATCTCTTGTCACTCCCAGGAGGGCTATTTGCCTATCATTCTAACCACACTAACCCACTAAAATGAATAGGACAGGTTATCTCTATTGCAAGCCCGAGCCTGCTTCCAGAAATTCTGCAAGCTTCTCCATACCATGACGAAAAGTCTCCGGGTGCATCACAATACCTAAACGAACATAGCCTTGAAGACATCCTTGGCCGTATTCCTCAAAGCAGAGACTGGCGGGGCAGAATAGTATGTTATTGGCCTTCACGAACTCTAGAGCAAAATCATGATCATTGAGAGGAGACCCATCCTTGCTGTGTAGCCTTATTAGGGTTGAAGTTGAAGCACGTGTAGGTGTCCAAGTGATCTGTGGATGCTTGGCAACGAATTCCGCAAGGAATGTAAGGTTGGCCTTTGCAAAATCGAGGCTCCTTTGGATCAAGGGTTGGCGACATCTTGAGGAGAGTGCTTCTGCAGCAATGATCTCGTCAATTAATCCAACGCTTATAGTGGTATAGTTACGGATCTGCGTGAAACGACTTAAGAAGTCGTTGGACAGTGTTGCGATCCAACCAACTCTAATACCAGGAACACCATATGACTTGCTACAAGAGCTTGTGACAATACATTTTTCATATCCACTTTCAAGGAAGGAGACCGGCTCCATCTCACCATTTGGCAGAGAGTGGAACATCGGTCTGAAGACCTCATCGGCCATTAGAATAATGTCGTGTGCTTTTGCCAATTCTAGAACTGAGTTCTGCACGGTGCTTGATAAATATGCTCCGGTTGGATTGTTTGGGCTGCACAGGACAATCATCTTAGTATCTTCACGAATCGCTTGGTGGAGATGATGCATGTTGGCGCTCCAACCGTTATCTTGATCAAGCTTCCAAAAAGTGACCTCAGCACCCAACGCTTGGCTAATTTTATACAGTTGCTCGTAGACCGGATACACGCAAATGATATGATCACCAGGACGTATTAGTGCAGAGAAAACGATGTGATTGGCAGCAACGGCCCCACTTGTCGTTATTATGCATTCACTTGTCACTTTTGAGTTAGTGTAAAGAGAAGCTATTGAATGTTGCAGGCTGTCGCTTCCGTTAGGCTCTCCGTAGGTCAAAGGTACAGAGTTTAGTGACAATGCTCTTCTAGTTGCTTCAGGATCTGTGGATAAGTCAACCAGTCCATCAATCGATAGCGGAGGCGACGAGACTGTTGTTGACATGTCCAGTGTCTCATGATTTTCGTGGGTGTCAATCCACTATATCAGCTCAGCGACTGTAAGGTACCAAGGAGTATGTGCAACTTTTTACCGTGTTGAGCTCAAACTGTTTGATACGGTACATGTTTATGGGTAGTTGACAGGATCTGCGTCTATAAAATCATAGTAAAATAATGTGAGAAGCAACGTATTAAGATATTTATGAAACTGGCGCGGTACAGCCACCTACCTGTTCAAAGAACTGCAAGGCCTGAGGAACACCGTTAAAGAAATTGTAAGAGAAAGGAATGGTAGAAAACAATACAGGCCTTGGTACACAGTCATATATATCTAACGTTAGAGCCAAGGAAAGGTTTCGTAAAGAACCTATCGTATACTCGTATTTTCTCTTGGTTAACACCATTCCCACGATGTAGGTTTGACAGATAAAAGTATGACGCATACTCCATACGGAGTAATTTGTTAGTTAACTGCAATTTTATGTTACGTAACAATAACAGCTGGACAGCTGCTGGCCAATCCTTATGCTGATAAGACTTTTATCGGTATTTATTGACATTCCCAACCCCACTCTGCTGCGAGACTACAGACGAGGTGAAAGGGGCTCGCCTAGCCACTGGGAAACTAAACCATTTTCAGATGGTCAGGTGACGACCCGCCTACACATGCCATGACTCAACCATGAACCTCACCAGTGGACGCTCATATGACCCCAGCCCTAAAAAAAAAAATATATCATATGCAATTCAGTTTGTCGGAGTGCCAGCCCGCCTAGTCATCATGGGTGGGTGAGCAGACTGTGTTCGGAGAAACGCCGATATTGATTGAAGGCTATGTGCAGTTGACTGTGGAATATCTACTCTGTACGCTCGTGAAGTAGGAAGGAATCACCTGTAAAAGTTCGGCATATGTCATCGAGACGGCATCTGCCAGTCTTGTGAGTTAGTGGGAAGTTGGAGCCTGTCAGCGAATGACAGAAGAGGTAAGTGAACAACTCCACCTGGATGATGTGGAGTATCTTGAGGGGTTATGGGTCCTCGGGTAACTGTCCTGAGATGCAAATACTCCCAAGCCGCGAAGGTGGTCCATTCAAAGCTCCCGAGTCAGCAGCTTTGGAAGACTGTAAAATAATTGAGCAGCTCCCGACAATCTTTTGAAAATCCTTTTTTGGCCGGGCCGATTAAAGGAGTAACTTACCTTAAAACGGAATGCGATACAATGCAACTAGATATTGAGACAAGAGTTTTAGAGTCGGTTCCCCGCTTTTCCAAGGGGTTGGGGATCCATTACCATTCAGTTATCAAAGGAAGCATTTAAGCGAGAAGAATGGGCCACCTTAGTTGCCATTTACAGCCGGGGAAGTTCCGTGGGAAGCCCCCGAATTGCTGCCTAAGCATACTACAGAGCCCAGGACAGAGCCACGGTATCTGTGCACGAGGAGTGCCCAGAAAGTAGTTGGGTTCGACGCACTAAAAGCTAACATCGACGTACAGGTGTGTGGAGGCCAGTCAAGCGGGTGGAATCTTTGCGAGTTGATGTCACCTACTCTCAGAATTGACAAGTCTGACATAGTAGCCTTTATTAAGCCAGGTAGACATATAATGTACTTTATCAAAAAGACAATACTGGAAATATAACAACCGAACAACTCCTTTACCCTTTTTTTCTTTAGTTTTTCACTTTTTCTTTTTTCCCTTTTCTTTTCCTTTGTCTTGTCAATTTTTTCCCAGCCCTTCCATTCAACTTCAAACAAACAACAGAAACCCTAGCAAACAGAACCATTCCATCCCCCTCAAATCCAATCTCAACCGAAGGTCCCTTCTCATCCATTGATACAAGGGTTAATAGACGTAACATTGAAATTAATCATCATCACATCAATCTTCTCCGTCTCCTCATTTATCAGGAAGGTGTCGATACCATCTTCCACCTGGAGGTTGTGTTCGGCGTCAAAATATCCCCATCGCTCAGTGACCCATCGATCCTTCTTATCCACATAGGTTCCTTTGATGATGTACTTGGTAGTAGGCAGTACTTTATACAAGAGTCTGGCCGCCTCCTTATAACCCGCATGACCGCTCAAGATGCGCTCAAATGTTCCCGAATGAGGGAGGATGAGATCCGTTGAGACATTCCGCTCGATATCCAGGGGTTGATCGCCGATGTACTGGAGCAGAATATGTTCCCAGTAGACATCCAAGATGGATCGCTTTTTAGGCCATGGACCTTTGGGGTAGCCGTTATTAAGGTAGTCGAGGACTGCTCGAGGGGGCTTGCTCTCTGGATCCTTGACGCCTTTGCACATGATCTCGTATTGCTCTGTCAACCAAGCTTTTCCCTCCTTGACCCGTGGATCAGTCACGACTACCCCGTGTTTAATCAGGCATTTGACGGCGTCCATCTGGTCGGCATCGATAGCCAGTCTGCTGATTTTGTAGCCGTCGTCGTCCCGGATATTAGGGTCGGCTCCGAGGTTGAGAAGCGTTTCGACAGCCGATACCTTACCTGCAACAGCCGCCACGATCAGGGGGGTGTAGCCATTGAGCTTCTTGCATTGCTGATTGACATTAGCCCCTTGTTGAATTAGCTGTTTAATAATGTTCGTATCACCGTCCTTGGCGGCTTGGAAGAGCTCGCCGCAAGGGCTGACATCCAGAAGGCTCACCCGTCCAACGGTGGACTTGGGAATGGCTGTTAGGTCAGACTGTAAGGTAGCGGTAGGCATTGTAAGCTGGGTTTTCAAAGACTCGTTAAACTTGAAGTGTTTTTCAAATTGCTTTAAAACGATTGATTTCTCCGTTGACCTTTTGATGTCCACGGAAAAGATGCTCTATTGAGGCGCGAATCTGCTCTCCTTAAATCTTTGATCGTCATCGCGAGAACTTACAAAAGTCATCTCGAAATCCAACTCGATGTAACCATCATTGAAATCAGATACTCCATCTCCTGTACTACGTACAACAGTGTCAATCCAACTCTAGCAAAGAATCCTGATGCAATCGTTCATGACACGACTCTCTTCTATTGACGTTCGCAGTAACGACTTTCCATATGATGCAAGCTAACCAGAGATTGGGACGTAACATTGGCTATCCACATGTATGTTTGCAGCAATCACACTTCTGGCTGGAACGAGCCATTTGCGCACTTGTCGAACGACCTATCTACATTCGGCAGATGATAATGTTGAGAAGGTGTTATATCGGCATGCATACGCCGGCTGAATGACATCTTCGTCCGCATTCGGAGTGTCTAGAACAGCTGCATCTGGAAGGACATGTAGCTTATCTGGTTTATGTTTGTGTGCTAGTGACGTCTGATCCATCATGGTAGTTTGTGGTAGTCTCATTGGCTGGTTGAACAGAGCTCAGTGACACCATGTCAATCCGTATCTTCCGCGTACCCACTCAGGAGGGTAGTTGTATACATCAGGTAGCTGATATAGACTATTCGAGATGTTACACAAGGTTACGACGAAGCCTAGAGGATCGTGTACAATTGCTACCCGTTGGCTTAGTCTAGGCAGATCCGGGTACGAATGGAAGCTCTATCTATGATGTGTGGTTTGAGAGATATCTAGACCTCCATGAATTGACTGCTCATCGTAATGTAACCTTCGATGGTTTTCCTTCAGTGTTACGTCAACTAGAGACAAATCAGTAGCCTCGGGAGGCTGCCGCTTAGAGAGGTCCTGCCCTAAAGCCACTTCCACTGCTCGTCACAACTGAGTAGTCATGATATGCTCATAAGACACCGAGACCCAATTCAGTAACTTCAATATCCACAGTAAGATAGGGCAAATTAGTTAGTAAATTATAAGGACTTGCATCAAATAGTTTGAAGCAATCAACAATGTCATATAATTCAAAACCGAATCTCTGAACCTGTCCGTGACTAACAATTTTTCTACAGAGGACCTTCTCAACACTTCCCTCCCTACTATGAACATGGTGGCGATACTTCTAGCCAAAAGTATACTGTCCACAGGCAACCTGTAGTAATGTATAATTAATGTATAGTGAGGTATGTGGACTATGTTACGTTGCATTAAGTTATGTTCCTCATGCCAGTACTATAAACTGTTGCCCCGGAATATTGCTATATTATGTTTCTGATATAATCGGATAGATAGGCTGCTCACGGAATACCACACACTACATCATGTGTATGAAGAGCTACTAAAGTATCCTGTGCCTTTGGTACGCGAATAATATTATGTTTGTTATTTAAGGGTTGTCTCTTTATAGACTCTATTTTACTATGGCAGCTGATAAGTTTTGATATGGGAAGCCCAGAGTCCAAAGTTCTTACTGGATACAAAGGCGAAAGGAACTTCATACACAGTTTCCCATGTATGTCACTCTATATGGAGGCGCGTTCTTTGGCAATATAGACTAATCCCTATTCGACAGGGTTGGTGCAGAGAGAAAAATTTAGATTCACATGCCGTTACAAATAAACCCCGCCGTTGATGCTACAAGAATGTGTTGTCCAGCAGGCAGACTCCTACTCTGCCTTGTCTATTCACTGTAGTGGGAGGTTAAACATCGATTATGACTTGCATTTGTCGAGTCGACTGGTTCGCATCTATATGTATTTCTATCCAAAGAGTCTAACAGCAGCATCTCAGAAGCAGGCAAACTTGGATCTTGGTAGTATTCTATCCTTTCTGTCAGAACTTTTTAAAAGGGCTTTAAATTTCCTCGAGAATGCGTGCTAGCGGCCTACGGTATATACAGGGGATATAATAGGGCCTGGTTATCCTACTCTTTCCCAGATGACACCAAAGTTCCAGAAAGTAGTCTTGTCTCATAACTCCGGAGAGACCATGTACATCAATCAGACAGGTTGCGGGAATGGGAACTGCTCGACCACTATTAAGGCAGCTGGGCTGTCAGTTGATTGCTCCCTCAAACAATACCTTATGACTTTGGAAGTCTGCTCATCGGAGATGTGAATGGAACAAGTATGTACGTTCCTTCAAATTTTTCAGGACCTGTGCTGGGGATGGGGGATGTTGAACGGGTAATGTTCTCCACCAATTTCACCTTCAATCCTGGGAATAAACCATCTAGCTTTAATTTCACGGCAACCTACAAAGATCAGAAGGGCTGTATAAGTCGACTGCAGGTGAATCAGTGCATATTCAATTTGGCCACGCTATTATATCCCATTCGAATTGTAGATGGTGCTGTTGAGTTTACCTCGTCCTTGGAGAATCTTGGTAGAGCTCCCTAGACCATAGCAGAAATCCACGACTTGAGAGAGCGAATGGAAAATATGGACACCAACAGCACGCTTGGAGGGGTATATCTGGCAGGAAATGACCTTCTCAAGTCTATGGCCGTTGGCCGTCAGAATAACCATGTCTGGACACTGGAAACGACTGGAATGCTCGCACAGGAGCACATAACTTCAGCAGATAGGGTGATCACCTGTAATGATACGTGGAGAGATCCCACTCCAGCAGTTATTTCCGAGCTTCAGAAACTTATGTTTCGTACCGCTCTCTCGGTGCCCTACAACTCTAGCCATCTACTGTATAGATCTTATGCATGGGATCAGATGATTGAGCAAATCCAGACAGCAAATGGTATCAAGGTTCAGGATATGTCGGTCTTTCAGGTGGATTATGGATACATGGCTGCAGGGGCTGCTGTCATGGGTGTCTGCCTAGTCGTTGTGGCATCTACCTTTTATGAGTGGTGGAAGATTGGTCGGCCGATAACTATGAGCCCAACTGAGATTGCAAAGGCATTCAATGCTCCCGTGTTAAAAGGTGATGGGTTGAATGGTGACCTGGATGGGCTTCTACCTATCGTGGGGGATCGCCGCGTACGGTACGGCGAGGTCAGATATAGTGATGCAAGATGATGTTTCCGAGTGAAGACGCTGAGCCGGATAATACTCTATCTCGGCTGGAGCTGTCGTATCTGCATTGGACAAGAGTCCCTCAGCGGGATAGTCACAATTAAGCACTATGAACGTCAGAGGTATCGATGGTAGATGGATGATAAATAATGTTGAATGGTTAGTTTGAGGAATTATTATTGTTGAGGTTCTAACGACTGGTATGAGTAATGGTGCTGCGAGTTGTCTTTCTCTTTGCTTTTCTAATACTATTCTCAACTTAATAAACACCGTGCAAGTATTTAAGTTGTATATTTAATTACAACAAACCCAACAATCTACAAGAATCGTAACCATTCTTCCATGTTCTCAAAGCTCAGAGTGGACAAATATCCGACTTCGGACCAGTAGGGACAATCAAATCCCCCGTGAAGCCTCGATATTGATGCCTAAGCTACGAAAGACATTAATGAATGTCCGTGGTAGAAAAGCGTTGGGTATAAAGTGGTAATTGAGACTGGTTTAATATATAATCCTGATTTCTTTGAGTTGAGACTATCTTTCTTCCAGAACCTTACGATCCTCCCTCGCTGCTTGAAGCACCTGTTTCATCCGAATATATAACGCCAGGTCTTCTTTTTCCTACCTTCCGCTGTTTGGAAATACAACCTTGTGCAGTCGATTCATCCAAGGCCCTATTGGTTAGTAGTATTTAGTGAAGTTTTTATTCACTATTTTAATAAAGTTGCGATTATGGCCTACCGTCCCCTTCTTTAGCTTAGCTAGCTCTTCCACTGCAACATAGTTCCACTTGTCAAACTGTGGAAGAACTTGGCTGTGACGGCAGGCAAATCAGATGGATAAGATCACATTAAGTCCTATATCGAGAATACTAAAGATGTGATGATCCTATACACCTTGGTAAAATGGATGGATTCTATCTAAGGGTGGCGATCTAACGAGACATCAAACGTAGAGAAGGAAGGAAGAAAGAATTCTATCGTACAGGAAATGTGGGAAATCTCTACATTGTGGTATCAACAGTGAATAAAGCAGACTTGGTGCCTCAGGCAGAGTTCGACCTGGACCCTGACAATCGCCGGGTAGCTGGGTCCTTTCGAGGTACCCCTTTCAGCAACATGGTTTTGCGTTGCTGGAGCGGCTCGGTAATTGAAGCATACCTGGAGACATAGTGACGAAACCACCCGGTAAGGCCGAGATAGTGTTCTAGCTTAGCAAGGGTCTTCAGGAATAAAAGGTTGCGTATAGCCTGGAGTTTTTCTTCCAGGGTTGATAGCCTGAACGTATCGACTCTTTGGCCAAGTGGTTTAACCGAAGGAAATCCTATAAAGGCTTTTTTATTTTCAAGCTTGAAGTTTAGCTGTTCGAATCGCCTAAAGACCTCGTTCAAGTGTTTGATATAGTCTTCGAGTGTCTTGGAGGTAATAACAATATTATCGATGTAAGCTCTGGCAAATAGGAAATCCTTAAGAATTTGGTCCATATATCTTTAAACAAATGGTACAGAGTTAATATATCCTATTATAGCTACTTGGAAAACCTCTTGGCCATAATAAGTAACCACGGCAAGACAATTTGCATGTTCAGGTTTAACCGGCTATTAGTAGAAGAACTTGGCGGTGTTAATTACCAAGATGTAAGGACAATCTTTACAGTAGCCATAGCAATAATTTCTTCCTGGGAAGGTAAAGGATAGAGATCAGGCTCAGTCTCCTTGTTTGCAGCTCGCAGGTCAACAACTATATACTCCTTAACCTTGAACTAACGAAGTTCATCGTTCCATACAGGTCTGATCACGACGAATACCGGATAACCGCTTGGGATATGTCTGATAGCTTAAATTAGCTTTTTTACCTTGCGCAAGGGTCTAAATATCTTGTTAATAGCAGTCTCCCCCCTGGGTCCTACACGGTAAATCTTTGCCTTAGGAATATGCTTCTCCCAGCCTGGTCGCAGCGGAATCTCTATTTATTTACTTCGAGATATTTTTATAATTCCTATGTTAGAACCATCAGGCAAAGCCTAAATGTTGTGATTTGATTTTCGACAATTTGTTAAAGCTTAAGGGCTTCGGGCCCATCTCCATGGATGGTAATACCATTAGCTAATACTAAATTGCAGCCGGTTGGTGGTTTAGTACTAACAGATAAGGTGTGGAATACTTTAAAAGCCTAAAGTGCTTTAGTAAACAAATATTTAATATACCGGCGATACACAAAACTAGGTTTACTGCAGTTCTTCTCGTGCCTTTAAAGTTGTTCGGCGAAACGACGCGTATCCCGATTTACTAAGGTAGGAAGATTAGGGAAGCTTACTCTCGCAGCGCCTTTAGCGACTGACGGTTTCTTCGGCTGGTAGGGATAACTAAAGGTTGGAACTACCAGATCCTCGCCACCAGGCAAAAAGGGATCGGATTCAGCCCTGTAAGCAGTGGCAAAATAGTTGTTAGTATTAAAGGTACCTAGGCAGCAGCACCTTGCGAGCGTTACTGGCTTATTTTGGCTGTTTAAGACTTCAACAAAAGAAAAGGAGTTGTTGACTAGATATGCTAAGATAGCTAGAAAAGTACTATTTAAAGGCTTAAAAGCATAGCTATAGTTTCCAAACAATCCTGTTTTTAACTTAATAGGAATTTTGCCTTGGGTCCTTGGCAGGATAACTATTCGGCAAACAGTATATACCGCTTGGGTTAATAACAGGGCTTTGCCTTGCAGATAATAGAAAAAACAAATCCCTTGCAGGATGTAATTAAACCCCTTTAACAGGTAAAGTTAAATAATATCCTTTCAGGGACAAGCACATCGGTGCCGATTAACAACCTTGCCTGAATAAAAGAAACTAGATAAGCTTAAATAGTAATCTTAGTAAAAGAAGCTTTATATCGTGTTTTTAAGCTTGGATTCGGAGCTCCTAGGTAAGGTCTTTGTAAAATAGACCGAGTGACACGGTCCTAACCTAGAAAGAATGAAACAAGATCTATTCAGAACATAGGGCGACTCATATTCGAAACAACTAACTTAAGGGAAGAACTACGTGTAGAGGTGGTGGTCGGGTTGAAGATGGTGTGTGATCACGTGTCAACGTAGGGTTGGGGCTGAAAAGTCTGGTGACTGGGCCATGACACCGAGAAGATAGCAGCGCTTGTTAAACAGTACCTAGCTATTTTTATTTTATTTACTGTAATTGGAGAAACTTTTTTAATTTTAATATTTAGAATATCCCTTGCAAAAGTCTTATTAATAATAGTTAAGGAACAACCAGAATCCAAATATATCTTGCTAAAGGTTAATATCTGGTTTAAACCAACTCGTGTGGTAGTGCAATACCATGTTTAAATATTTAGCAAGTTATAAAAGGTAAAATTAAGAATTTAATCTGATTTAACAATTTCAACCAAATTGGCTTTAATAGTTGGAATTTGGGTATCATAGCCTTTACTAGAACAAGAGAAAAGGTGTTGATGCAGCTAATTATTTAATAAAAAGGCTTTATTATAACAAGTATATAATGCAACTGCTTTATTAATACTAGTATTACTTTCCCTAGCGTCACTTAGTTTAACAAAAGGTAAATTATTAGACTCCCAACCAGCCTCTGTAATACATGTATTATAGGCATTAAAAGATTTGTTATACAGCTCTCTATAATAATAATTGTTAAATCCGTAGAAGGCGGTATTATCAGGGACAAAGGATTTGTTAAATAGCAGTCTATAAATATTTCCAGCTTTATTAACAGCATACGCAGTGTCTTGTTGGTCGGTAATCTCCGCAGGTGCCTGGTTCTCGGTTGTTTGGTTGTTTAATAATTCAGGATCTCCTAATGTTTCAACTCTATAAGCACGTCCATAGGGAGGTTTACCTTGCTAGGTATAATTCCTTGGTTAATAATTCAGGCTATTAAAACAGTTCGTCGATGTCCTTTGGCGATTCCACGAGCTTCGGTTGAAATTCGCAGGATTAGCTGGTTTGTCCGCAATTTGGAGCTGTGGTTTCTGTTAACCTTGCAGGGTTCGCTGTTGGCTATCGCGACTCGGCTGGTAAACAGACTGATGCTTAAAACCGCTATACCCATGCCCGTTACCTGGTGTCCAGACAGGGTATCCAAATCTCGGCACTAGAGACGGGGAGGTTTGGAACGGCGGTTGAGCGTAGTATGGATAACAAAAGGCCTGGGGAGGTCCGAAGGGCCCGAATGGTGCCTAAAGGCATTAGCTTGAGATCCCTGATAATTATTCCTTTCAAAGGGCTTCTGCGTCTGGGTCTGCGGAGTAGCTTTACCATAAAGAGGGCCTTTAGGGGTCTGACGTTGGGATGCCAGGTTCTGCCATAGAAACTGTTGACGCCCAAGTTCCTGCAGAAATTCCGTTTTCGAGGTTTCTGGGGCTGGTTGCCTTACGTGCTGTTGTAAAATGGGATCTAAGGTATTCTAGATCATAGCTATCTGCTGAAACAGCGAGGTAATCTCCGCAGCTCGGGCCAAACGAATAACTTCCTCTGCGAAGGCTTGTGGGAATTTACCTGCGGTAACGTCTCCATAAGTGTACCTGAGTATGTTGACCTTGTTTAGAGCTTCTAGAGGGTTTGGATTAAAGCGTTTACTAAGTTGGCTTAACCAACCTTCTGCAAGCGGCAAGGAGAGTTAAGAATAAATAAAGTTCTACTTCATTCTTTCGTATGGTCTTTGCAGACAGCTAACGCTTACCTGCAGAACACTGGGTACCACCTTCTTATCATAACAACCTTACTAGATTCCTTACTGAAAACCCACGCATGGGCTAGAGGAGGAGGCCCAGTCTGCTTCTGGGGGTGAGTTCAAGTCAAAAACCCAGTAACTTCAGGTCGTTGGAGAATTCGCTTCTGTTAAATTTCTTTCATTTCATTTTATCTTACTCCAACTCTGGCAAAATGTCTTCTCCAATCCTAGTCCAGCTTGCTCGGAGCCTCGTCCATAAACTGGCCTTAGAGCTGAAGTCAGAATACAATATTGCATGGGTTGCTATGATCGAGAAGAAGACAGAAAAGGGGCCCTAATAGCTTTTCCCAGAATGCTTTGAATACCTTCATCATCAAAACCAGGATGGCAGTTGGGAGCCTCTCGAACAACTTACCCGAGCAGCCAAATACTCGAACAACGTGTGGGTTCAGGGCGGCATTATTCATTCTTTGGCATCATTTCTTGCCTTATCTCGGCATTTCCGAAGAAATCTGCGCTGTGTGGCAAATGAGATTCCTGACGATGTTCTGTTCAGGTTGTTCCGCGCAAAGGTGTTTCTAGACTCCAAGCTGCGACGGTGGCAGCCTGACGAGAGTATACACTTTTCATGCGAGCTGAATGTTCCTGTTTTGTTAAGTCTTCTACAGCAGCATGCAAAACGTTGTCACCGGTTCCAGTAAGTTTCAACAATGCTGATATTTAAATAGTATTAGACACTAATATTTACTGAGCCCATACCTTTTCCCGGACGCTAATAACACCAGGCCAGCCCGGCTAAAATATTAAAAAAATTTGAAGTGGACGATAGTGTTCAAACGTTTGATGAACGACTTCCAACCAGGGTAACATCTGTTAGTGCAATGGAAACGTGCTCAACTCAATTCTGCAAACTCCGGACCCCAGCATGTTCACCCCTCAAATAACGAAAATTGCAAGCTTTATTAGTGGAAGGCCGAATCTAGAGGGGAATTTTGTCGATCATTGGGTGGGTTATTATCATGTGGGTTAGATTCAGAGAGTGCAGCTCTACTGACTGTGTATTTTAGAACATATCCAAGTAGTATGGCCTTATGCACACAGCGCAATCGCTAATTCCAATGACGGTTCTTTAGGATGAAGGCAGCTTGAAATCTTTGCCGGAAGACACCACTGAAAGCATGGTGACGACGTGTCTACACGGGGTATTGGAACGGATCCTAAGCATGCTGCCATTGTTAGTGACTTTAGCCGTGTTGAATTGGCTATTTTGCGGGGAAAGCACTTTTTGCTGGAGAATTGGCAGCTAGGCGACTACCCTGACAGATTCTGGACGGGAAAAGTGTTACACGAATTTCATAGATTGAGGATGCATACGTGCTTGCTGCTTTGAAAGTTAGCCAAGCGAACTTAGCTGGTAAGGGTGGTTTTAATTAGCTACCAATATGCTGGTTGTCCTTAGCTGTATGGCTTTGAGACTCGGCAGCCACCGGTTCACAGGTAATCTTATTGTCCAGCTTGTGCATGCGTTTCTTAGCTGGAGACCTCTGTTACGAATTGTGATTTATAGTGCAGAAGGAGATTGAATTATTTCCCGATTTGAAAACTGAGCTTTTATATATATTCATCGGATTGACTGTTTGTTAATAAAGTCCTAAAATATATTGCGTACATGGATCAAAGAATGCGCTTTACATCTCCCTAAATCACAAAAAGGGCCACTTTATATGCAATACAGAGGTGGCTCGCTCGCTTTCCGGTTACATTATACAATGCATGATTGTGATGGGTTGAACCCAGTATATGTTGCTCAGACTAAGGACTTCGCTACTCTATAGGACAAAAACACACATAGCTCTATTATTAAAATTAGCTAGCTCACAGGTGGAGTCTTCTCGTAACACAACTGCTGAGTTGGGAACAAGGCATGATCAAATAGTCGTCGTTGACTTAATAGGCAGTTTGTTCCATTGTGAATACAGGCAAGGAAATCCTTGTTTAATTTCACCCAACTCTACCCAGCGTCAGTGCAGACTGCGTATCATGGCGCTGCTGGGAGACTAGATTAAACGGTCATAAATCTAAAAGTTGATTCGCCTTTGTTGTTGAATAAGAGAAAGTCCTCATGAAATGGATATTTCCACTCTATCGCCTTGCGGCACCTACCTGAGCATCGTGGATCTGTGGCGTGGCCGAGTACGGCCGTCGAAGTGTCTAGTTTACTAAAGTGGAGGGGCCTAGATGGCCAAAGATAGGTCTTGCTAGGCATGGGACCAGATCCACAGAAGGGGCTGAGGCTAAAGTTCGCATTTTCCACCCAATCGGGAAAAGTGCCATGAACGGATAATATCCCTCCAGGGCAAGAACGGGACCCGACCAGCCTCAATCTTTTCAACATCGACATACCCAAGCCCTTAGATGATATATTTATTCATATCCTAATATAATCATCCAACGCACGAAATTAGCCGAGGCCTTTATTATTAATTATCGTAAGGGAAGATGCTATGATGCAAATACCTGAGAATTGGACAGCCAGTGGGTTGCAGTAGTACCTAATTGGCCCCAAAGAATAGGTCCACTATGAGTCTCCTAAAGCTTGATCAAACGAGAATGGCACTACACTATTAAACTCTATACCGGTACTCAGGTAACTAACATATAAAAGACATTCTCTGAATGGTGGTGCGGTATATAAGAGTCGTACTCCTGTGGTAGTCGTCTAATAATTGCTTGGCTTCTTTCTTTTCAGTCCCATGAACCAGAGAATTATCACTATTCTTGTTTATTAAACCGAAGTACACAGCCAGTGTAGTGTCAAAGTAAGAGAGTGTACACTCACCCAGATACCCTATGCCTTCCACCCTTTGCCTTCTCGGAACTTCAGCCAACGCAAACAACACATCATCATTGTTCCAGCCATGATAGTCGCCGCACTGAAACATTGTGGACCAATGTAACTGCCACCCTCATCGTCAAGTATGGCCCCCGCGATTGGGCTTCCGATCAGCAACCCAAGGCCCGCAAAGCTGAAGCTCATACCCATCCACGTGCCAACTTTGCCAAGATCGGGACTGATTCCAGCAACAATTGTAGGGGGCAAAGAGACACACGCGCCAGAGAAGAATCCATAGAATATAGAGAAGACGACCAGCCCACTAAATGTCCTTACCGCGGTCCAGGAAAACCCCAGGATAGATGTCAAGAGAAGGGAGGGTATTATGGTATTAATAGGGCCGATATGGTCAGCTATCAGACCAGGAATAATACGACCAAATGCTGATCCGGCGCTCAGGATGGAGAATAGATAGAAGGAAAGTGAAGGTGAGGTGCCCAAGATTTGTGTAGCCCACATACTGACGTAGAAGTATGGAATGTAGAGGCCGAGAAAATATAGGAAGAGTCCCAGACTAAAGATGATAAACATCGGGTTGCGGAAAGCGGCGGCATCAAAGAGAGTTCTGGCTTTGCCAGGGGCAGACACGCGAGGCCTTAAAACAGCGAAGCTGAAAATCAACGTCCCAAGAACAATGAATCCCATTACACGTGTCGCCCACCCAAATCCAATAGCCGGCTCCAGTCGATGAAACACGATAGGATATAAGACACCACCTGAATGATGGGGGTCAGCATAGACAGCTTCCACATAGCTTAAATTCGCTAAGGAATCATTCATACCAACACTTCCCCCTGAAGCGGTAATTCCTGTAGCCAAGGCACGATGTTTAGTGAAGTACTGGGCAACAATTGCAACACTAGGAATAAACAAGCATCCAGCACCCAAGCCAACTACGACTCCCTGGGCAAGAAATATTTGGTAGTACTCCGTAGCGATGGAGGTCATCATCATTCCAAATGTGGTGAGACAGGTACCAACAACCACAAGGGTTCGAAAGAATCCAAGATCATATACAGGACCAGTTAGGATACCGACTAGAAAGAGAAGAAAACCCTGAAATGTTCCAATCCATGAGATATCAGATGGTGAATGGAGGGAATTCAACTCATAATACGTCTGGAAGGCACCAAAGCTATTTACAAGTCCCCTGGTTCTCGATTGTTAGATTTTGGAACAGGCCAGATAGAGTGGGATGTTTACCATGGATTGAAGAACAAAAAGAACGCCCCAAGAACCTGAATCCAGGCAACAAAAGTGCAATCTGTGGTAGACTCATCAACCAGCAATTTCGTCGTTGTAACAGGCTCTTGGCCTCTGTCACGCACATTGTCGCTAGATGTAGATGATGGCATACCGAATTATGCGGTTCAAAACAAAATAGGAAGACTCGGTGGCTATTCTGTATTCTTAGTTGTAATGAAAATATAGGGAGAGGTATAGATACAAAAGTCAAGCAGAATCTGATAGAGCTGAGGCAATTGTAAGGACATAACTTTATGGTGAGATAGCTATAATGTCTTTTCTTAGAAGCAGGGGCTACATTATATATTCTGCAGCGCCATATCTGGAATATTCTCTTCGATTTATAATAATGTCGAATTCCTTTGAGCTGTTGATCGTGCGTTATTTAGCCGTTGTACGAAATCTAGGGCTATTAGTTCTTTTAGCATGCACCGTCATCACGTCATCAAGCGTATGTGGGCTGTTAACTGTATTTCCGCGGACAAAAACGAAGATGCCCAGTGGATCCGAGTGGAGTTTCTGCTGAGACTATCGAACAGTATGTATATATACTAGTTCATTAGGGATCTCGTAAATCCCCACAACGGCACTCCATATAATAGAAGACTTTTTAGCAATCATATCCATCTCTTGGAAACTGGCTATCATTTTTAACTTTTTTGTTTTGTAAATCCTTTCCGGTTGCTATTGCCGTGTCTTGATTTATAAGCACTGCCCCACGATAGTTAACGCGATTGGGACGTCTGAAGATATAATTGCAAGGGTTACATTAGCGTCCGATGCAACTAATATTTAGATGGGTCGGGAGAGTCATCAAGATGCTATGTACAACTGAACCGACATACTTGATGAGGCACTCATCTTCTGCTCCTTAACAAGAAGCTAGCGGCAACAGATACGTGATTTAGACCAGGCATTTAAAGCTACAATCCGTTAAGGTTTGACGCCATGTCGCAGGTAAAGACAGTGCGTGCAGTCGGTATGTTTGGTCAAGATCAAGGCTTTTGGGGTGAACAGGATGGATCTTCTTGAGCGTGAAAGGAATATATCCCTCCACAAACTCCGAAGAGAATGGGCGTCGAATTTTCCGGGACTATTGAGACATTTCGTGAAGACACAGACATCTGTCAACATAGGGGATGGGGTATTTGACCTTGTTTATGGCGGTGGGTTCAGCTGCCGTTCAAAGGGGTTGAATTTTGAGAAGGAGCTTATGCAGATTATGAGGCCGCGACAATTCATATGCTGATTCACATGCCAAAGGAGCTTTCGTGGGAAGTAGCAGCGGGAATTCCGGAACTAGATCCAGATTCACACCCTGCCACCGTGACCAGAGGAAAAGAGAAGATACCACCACTCACAGTCTCCGAATACGGTATGGACTACTGCCCCTCAACTCTCTATCAAATTGAGAAGTTTAAAGCAGGGATATATACTGCAATGGAAGTCTACACGGCGCAGAATACAGATTGGTGGTATATGGTCATAAAGTGTAAGGAAATACTAGCTGACTCAATATATGAGTTATTCATATGTTCATGAATATTGCGAATGTGAAAGGCCAGTATTCATTTCGCAAATTTCAGGAATATCAATATTCCTTTCGGAGCTTTACCTCTGGACATCAGCAAGGAGGCCACTCTCCCAGGCAATGTGAAAAACTTCCGCAAGACGATTTACATCTTCCATGTTTCACTCGCGGTTTGTTGGTATATGCGTTAGAATGGCGAACATTGCTACCTACACCTTCTAGTTCAATTGCAGAGTCACCTTCGTATTCATATCAGTGCAGCACCCCTCAACAAGGCTAGGCAGTACTCCATATCAGAATAATATACTCCGTCCTAGCGATGGACTCGGCTTTAGTAATATACTTCCTTATGCGGCTCTGATTAAATTGCTATAGACTTGTAATTAGCATAGAAATGAATCCATGTGCACCGCCCTGTGTATACATCTTATTGCAGACAACGATGTATCCTGAGTAGTTCAGCCGGGCTTACATATTGGAGTAGACGAAAATCGATAATTTTTCTTTCCTGTACCTGATTTTATCTTAACTCTATTCCGACTTAGGAATATTTAAGAAATAGCGTCAACTATTCCCACTGGCTGTACTCGGATGATGACGCTGGTGCCCCACTTTCGCCCCACTTTCCCAATGTGGTCGAAAATGCGAACTTTAGCGTCATCTCTACCAGAACACCCCATCGGTATACTTCAAAAGGCTTTTCCGACACAGCAGCGTTGTGTGGTTCAAGCGATCGCGTAGAAAATTTTATTTAGTTGGTACCTAAAGGCTCGGTAAGCAGGTTTAAATAAAGGAGTAAAAACAAATCATACTCACATCCATGTTTCAAGCTCACCGAATATCTTAACCACAATCTAGAGCCATGGAGACTCGTGAGTATGCATACAAGCAGGGCAGTGAGGGCGAGAGTCTGATGCTTGATGTCCACTGGTATCCGGGTTCCCCTCAGGGGAAAGCTCATGATGGCCATCCAATAGGTATGTGTTCTCCCCAGAAGACGCATAATGTATGCTGATATTCCAAAGTTGTTATATTCCATGGCGGCGGGTTTGTACTGGGTTCGAAATCGATAATTCCCCAAATCCAAATTAAAACCCTCTGCCGTCTTGGATTCATCGTCGTTGTGCCCAATTTTCGACTTTGTCCCCAGATATCGGTGTTTGATGGACCCGTTACTGATTCAAGGGACTGCTTGAAGTGGATCGTATCTTCGTTGGTGGCAGTTCTTGACAAGGAAAGCAGTGCTGTGAAAGTTGACGTGAATCGCATTGCAGTCACGGGTCATTCATCTGGCGCAGGGCTTGCGCTGTTGACGGTGAGTAATGTAGCCCAAGTTAAGAATTTGATATCTTATAGCGAATTGATACCAACCAGCTCCCACTCAGGCAAATACCCAAATCCATATATCCGCCGTTCTCGACTTCTACGGCGGGAAATATTACACCGATCCTAGCTGGCACTCTCCGACACCCTTCTTCGCCAATTCCCCTGATTACCCTGCCTCTCTGGCGGACCAGGTATTCTCAGGACCACAGGTGTCGGCCGCAACACCGTGGCTCGGCCAGGGCGACATACCGCCACGCGATGCTTGGCTATCAAACGGATTTAAATCCGGCAAACACCTTTCCCTGGTGACGAAAGATGGAGATTATACCCGCATTGATGGAGCTAGTGGTTTCTCTCCTGTATTCCCCCCGACGATGTTTATTCATGGGGACTCAGACACTGTTACTCCGGCACGGATCAGTCAGCGGGCTCATGAGGAACTGAAGTCTCTGGGAGTTAAGACGGAACTTCTCCTGGTGCCGGGTAAGGACCATATGTTCGACATGTTTTATGGGAATGAAGAAGACGATGAGTATAGAGAATATGTGTATCCGGGGTTTGAGTTTCTGGCAAATAGGGTTGGCTTATATGGATCTGATTAACATAAATAGTTTTCTAAGAAAGTACTCTAAAGTTAGTACGATAAAATCATAGACATGTACACGTTTCCATAGTTATTGTTTCATATCTTGACAGTCCCAATATAGATGCAAGTCCGCGACATAGAACTAATTCATAATATAGCAGAATCCTGTGAAGTAAGTATCAACGACGGGTCTACCCTTCTGACAAGAAACGAGGGCACTGCATTCCCAACCATAGCTCCTGCCAGCAGTTCCAGTTGATTCTTAGTCTCAAGCGGGCAATTCCACATTTTCAGAATGTGATTGGTTACCTCGAGGCACCAATTTTTCATACAGCAGGCAAACTCACGTTCTTCATTCCTAGCCTGTCTCTTTTCGAGTCGCTGCCAAGCTCCAAATGTGATTTTCAGAATTTTCACAATATGCAGAGCTGCGAAGGGAAGTGGTTTATCTGAGTTTAGTGCATACTCAACAGACATGGCCACGCCTTTTGCTACTTCCAAGTCTTCACTTTCCACGGAAGATATATCGAAGACGCTGGCGAGTGGAGTAATCGTACTGAGCGTTTGAATTATCCCACATAGCAGAATCCGACTAGCGAAGTAACGTGTCACAAGTTCAAACACATGTACTGACTTGAAATGGTAGCTTTCCTGTACAAAGGGTAGAACACGCACGCAGCTTGTCAGGATCACTTTAGTCTCTTCCTGCAATATATGATCCATCCATGGCTGGCAATTATTTTGATAAAGACGCTTCGCTAGTGAAACTGCTTCTGTGGCTTTGGCAGGGCGTGTATGACTTAGTCGGATGAAATCAACCAAGCGAGGTATTTGTATAAAATTCGCCATTACAGCCATCGATACAAGCTGGAAGGAAGGTGCATGAGGCTCCGACAATGGTACTAGCCAGGAAGCGTCGTCAAACTTGGAATATTCCCCCCTAAGTGTTGATATCACAACCTACATATTAGGGTTAAGTCTTCCCTTTCCATTTCGTTTTAGATTAAGACGTACCTCCTCATAGTATATGGATTCAAGGATCTTCCTCCCTGCTTCAGTGTCTGATCCTCCGAGTCGACTATGGGTCATCATCTTCGAAAGCTCCAGGACATGTAATACAAATGTGTAAGTGCCCAATCCACGGAATGTCTGCCTACCTGTCAGTCGACTGGTGACTGGACTTGAGTTGGGGGGGACCATATACCTCAGCAGACAGATGAAGTCTAACACTTAGGAGAAGGTCAGAAAAGGCTTCTGAGGACGGCCATTCGCAAGCTTTGACAGCACGCCGGAGACTGTGAAGAGCCCTCGTACTAGAGACGCAGGTCCTTTTCTCGTTGGTTACATTCGCGTAGAGGTGAGACTTGAAGCTGTCTAGGACATATATGACCCCAAGATCCAGGGCAGCGCTGGATCCGACACGGGATGGGATTAGATCCATCCAAGTCCCGAAGTTCTGTGGGTTATCCATTCCATATGTCATCGCCCCGATGGCCGCTATCCATCGAGCGGCCAGGGATGTCTCGCGTGAGGGGGGTACTGTTGGTGGTATTATTGAGTTATTTAGGTATCTTTCAGGTTTTCTGCATGAACCATGGAGTAAGCGACCGATGCCTGTATTTTCTACATCTTTAAAAGTGGTTGAAAAATCCTTTGTGGGAGCCTGATCGCAACCACCGATCCTCGGAGGGAGGAAACTAATGTTATGGTGTCTGTAAGTGCAGTGTCTATTTTTTGTTCTGCAGCTGCCACACTTTGGTTTGGCTTCGTCACACTGAAGAAATAGGTGTAAGCAATGGATGAATTCATATCGAAGGTGAAACGGGAGCGCACTTTGACTTTGCGTATTCTACACGTGCTGCATTTCCCCCATTGCGTCATTGCGCGGACATGTCTCTTCCGTTCTATTTAGAGTGGCTCGAAATCTGCGAGCTATTCCGAGTGCTATGACAGGCGGCGTCTGGTGCAGTTCTGAAAGGCAAGGGGTACCTGGAGGAGTGAGCCAATCCGAAGGCTCCAGGTGCTAATTTTGAATAATCACCTGCTGAGCGTAGCACACAGTGTAGGTGAATTCGTCTCGGCCAATAATGATGCGGGCCTAAGTGGAACTGAACTCTCTCGAGGCTCAACATAATTAGATCGAATCCCGAGGAACGAAAGACTAGATAAAAACATAAATAGGGAGGTTCTGCATAATATAATTAATAAAAAGTAAATTTATAGACTAGAGCAAAATACAGGTGAGAACTACAGGTACCTTTATGAGAGAATACCTCCCCTTTTTTTTCTTTTTGGTGCAAGTCCCAATACTTAATGTTCCCTCTGCAGGAAGCAGCATGGGCATTCAGATGAAGTTGATAAATCTGTATGGAAACAGGCGAATTATTTTTACATTTCACTTTCTCCATGGACATGTAGATACTGGCGGTTAGCTACCAGTATCATTATATCCATGGATAGCTGTCCACAGACTCTATCTAAACTCACTGCCAAGGGATTCACGCATCTACCTCATCTTTGACAAACGAGAGCTTCCCGACTATGTCTACTTGCCAAGCACACGACATATCGAAGCAATGCAGCAACATGCAGAAGAGAACAAGCTCAAATAGAATTCCATAACAGATCCCCCGCTGTCCAGTGGTTGGCCCGAAAAGGAGGGATGGGGAGGAATGCCAAAGGCGGACCGGAAGCGGAAGGAGGCGCCACGGTCGCAGCTGGTTGGCTGTATATGCTTATATCAGCCAGGCCCATTAGCGCTTTTTCGGTCACATGACCCACAATGGCAACCAGGCCCTTTAAAACCACTAGTATTCCCCATGAAATCAATGTTTCTTACTTTTTTATTCTGTGGTTGGCTACTAACAACAAAAGTACTTTTTAAGCACTTTGTAAACAAAGATCAACATGGCCTCTCCATATTTACCTGAGTCTGAAGTCTGTAACCGAAAGTAATAATGTTGCTAAAAGTCTTAGAGTGCTTAGTAACTGCCTATTAAATACTTTATATTAATTATATATTTTTCTAGGCTGTTGTTCCTACTCGGCTTACAGCATTTCACGAAGGAGCTCTAGCTGCAACAGAGTTCACCTATACTGAATGCTTACCAGATTACCCTCGTACAAGCCCTTCTGGTACTGTTATGTGATTGATTACCAAAATCAGACCAATCCACCAGAAAATGCTCGGGAAATTCTTGATGATGTAAGTATAGTACTATTAAAATACTTATTAAGCACTAACCAAGCACTTTAGATCCAATATTCAAAACACCAGATCTTTCGTAAAAAGATCCACTGCAGCTTTCTTAAAACCCAGGTTTTAAAGATTAAACTTCGTTGTACAGGAGTAAAAGTCTGCCAATATTTAAAGCCTGAGTTGCAGAGTCTTGTACATTCCTCATTTGATGATAGCATTCGTGATATAATGTTTCCAGCGCAACAGGTAGTAAATTAGTCATCCCTGGGATAACAGTAATTTCGGGCCTGGTCAAGTTTGTGGGTCATGTGATCAAAACTACACTAGTGGGCCCGGCAGCTTTTTCTGCCGGGCCTGGCCGAACTGGGTCCTGTGCTTATATAGTGACAAAACTATCGCAGCTTGGATGCGACGGATTATGTTAGTGTTACTGGCTACTCGAGTAACACTGGTAGTAGGCGAAGCCTTCAACGCAGACACTTTTCCTAGTTTGACATTTATAGTGGATTAGAGAAATACTGATAAATACATCGTACTCTGAACATTTCCCCAAAGTTCAGCCAAATTCACAGCGCTGTAGTAATGGTCTCTGCTGACTTGCAGAAATTTAAATTACTTTCGCAGTGGGTACGCCCGAAGTTATTATTAACCTATATGAATAAATATCGTGCTTTGTGGGGTTTAATACTAATTCTTATACTCACTTAGCTTTTGTTTCAATGATGTTTGCAGCAAGCACCAATACAACATTGAATCTCAATGTCACAAGCAATACCGCTTGTGACGAACTTAAACCCTGGAGGGCAATGATCGCAGTTGTTTTTTTTGTGTCCATAGTTCTCTATCTCGTAGCAACCGCTGGCCATAGCATTGCTAAACAGCATTGCACTGGCAAGGGAGAACACAAGATTTTTGAGTTGCATTGCTGTGTATATTCGGGGAAACGGTCAAGACTGATGATGGTTAGGGGATAATTAAGAAGTATTGGTGATAAGAGTTAAGTTCCGGGTACACTTCAAAGTGCTATAAGTAGTCGTCGGCCCAGCATTCTGAGTAAGTTGACGTTGCATAATTTTCGACGGCCAAATGCTGTTTGCGGAATGAGACAGACTTGAAAAATGTACGGGTCGACGTAGAGGTTGCAATCCACTAAGCCCACTAGAGACTGCTCCGACAGTTTACATATAATAATTATTGCATTTTATATAATTCTAGAGTATTGAATACTATTCAAACCTTCCTCCCATCTTCATTTAAGTTATTAATAATGTCCTAAGTAGTTTGCGGTCGACTATATGGCTCGTATGCCACGAAGATTGGGTACACCCCTGCGTCGTACTTGGGATGCTTAGTCCCCAGTAAGAGTAGAGTAAATTCTATGAAACGGTGACACAATAAAAGAATTTGCTTCCGCAACCTTTAGGTAAGTAGAAATATTAGAGCAGAGATATGTTCTCACTCTCTTCTTCGGGAATTTCCGGGTTTGTACTGCCGGGAGGCATTAAATGATTCCTGTAGCAAGGTACTGTTGTATTCAGAGGAAGATTGGTTTTTCTTGTTATTCTCATCTGTACATGGGATTCTATATGCATGATAAACATCACATTAGAATTGTTGGAAATAAATGTGATTCTATACGAAATAAATTGTGTAGACGAAGCACTACAATTTACTCGATCGAGTTCTCAATCCACAAAACCAAGAACGGTGCTGATAGTTTGACCGAGGTCCTCTTGCGGGTATCTGAACTTCGAGTACAAAAGTTATCTAACACTAAGAGCCACTCTCGTGGCAGCGATAAAGAAGTGATCTGCGCCTTGGGGGTTATGCTTACCTAAAACGCGCGGAGTTTAACCCTGGATGATCCAATTCCCTGTACTCTGCTCCGTTTTCTTACCTACGAAATGGGCATTATGGTCAACGATATAGCGTGTCTGGCGGGAATTTCGTGGTCAATCTGAGTTACCAATGTTGATCCCTATCCCTTTCCGGTGGTTAATACTGTCTCCACTGATACGTCTACGATATAATAGCCTTATTTCGACGACGTTGGCCGCCATTCATCAGTCCACATGAGCCTTATAGCCTTCCGTCTAGTAATTTTAGCGGCAACCAGGTCTCCAACTCGAGCCATAGACCAATAGAGACAGTTCTAATGTTAAGCTTGGGCATCTTGGGGCCTATGCGCAACTTATCAGCACCCTAGGAAGGCTGGAAAGTGTAGGACGGGCCAACCGGCTCTTGTTGCTGCGGCAACAGAACAGGATGTCCGTTAAGCAGTGTCTTGAGAGAAAGAAGCATAGGGTTGCAACGCTTAAGCAAAACGAAGAGGAGTTAGCTTGCAAAAACGAGGAACAGAAGACAGAGTTTAGCCATCTAGGCGAGAAGGTACTCTGGCTCAAGCAGGATGTCTGGGGAGTATCCATTGTGGAGATGCTGGTTCCTCTGCATCTGTGTTACGAAGGCCAGTCGAGTGGTGGCCAGAGCTTGACCAGCGTCGCCCATGTTAAATTGATGTAACAGACACATACACTGTCTGAGATTATGTGAAAATTGGCGATGAAGGTTATGTGTCAAATAGCCACTAGGTTTAGTCAGGCGTTAGCCTTCATAAAACACTATTATGGCATCATATTTCCCAACTTGAATGTTTCAATTGAATGAAACTCATCGCCATGCTTAAGTTATTTCTCTTCCATAGCGTAGTAGAGAACCTAAATTTAATTATTATATTGGTACTAATGTATATCCTTAATATACGATGCTTTTTAGCCCGAAAGGTCATAGGAAATCCATTTCTTTAGTTTGTCGGGAAACGCTCTTTTTTCCGAGGGGTGCTGCAAATTCCCCATCTGGGACACACGCAGCATTACACTTTTTGCTCAGTGAACGACCCAATTGCTCCAAAATCTCCAGTCCCACGCCACCACCAGAGCGGCCTACGTGGCGGCTTGTCCAGCAGATCCAGAAAGGTCTTCGAAGCGACAATGAAAGCAGGGCAAATTGAATCATCAATGGCCCAGCAACTGTAAGCACTTCGCATTGCGCCTGCCCGGGAAATTTTTAATTTTGCACCTGTTGTGGATGAATCCATGTCGTGCGCGTCTGATACCAGCACAAAATCATAATCTTGTTTTGAGGACGGCCGTCATTGGGTGCAACAGGAAAAGGATCTGGATGAATCTCAGATCCAAAACGAAAGCAAGAAAGAAATACGAACAACTTGAAACGCTGGGTTTAGGAGCTTTGAAATCGGTTCGAATCTATGACATTCCCCGCGTGTTCGATAGCAAAACCATACTGACCTAAGAGTAGGTTTACACGATCACCAGATGGTGACAGTGCATCGATGCGGCATCCATTTGCAGATATATTGGAATTATTGGGCCTTGGAGAGAGAGGAAAAAGTGCCGTGGGGCTCGGGAAGGCAGAGAAGAATAGGAGACTGGGGTGACTCCCTCCGGATAGGACTCGGCAGGGCTGCCTGTGCTGTTAGGCTTTGGGGGAAGGATGAATGGCAAGGAGTCACGGGACAGTGATACAGGGGCAGTTTGCCCGCTGTATGCGATTATGCGACTTGATATACAGTGTGGATATGGATGGAGTTATGCAACTGTGCCATACCTATCCACCCCTCTCGACAGAGGCGGGCGGCCGGCTCTGGATTGAGAGTCAGGCGTCAGGGCTACATGTGGAGTTCGGGAGTGGAGAGGAGCGTGGAGGATGGAACGCATATCAGAACTACGGCGCGTTTCGCTGTGGGGTGGACCTGTGGACCACCAAGGACATTGTTCCGTGGGAGAACCGGGTAGGGTTTGGAAGCCTGGTGCAGAACGGCGCGGCACCGCGACGACCACCGAAGTGGCAGGTCTTGCGCCGTAGCTCTGTCTGATTATAATAATGACTAGATCTGGACTCTTAAAACTATGGAGATTATATCTTATATAGTCTACAAATCTAAGCTATATATACTTAGTATACGTAGGAATATAGACACTGGCCCCCCACGTAACTGCCCGACTCTTGAGATGACGTGGAAAGACCTGTGAAACATAATCCGGCCTTAAAGCTACAGCTTAGGTGTATTGGATGTAGAACTGGGCACGACTAGTAGCTTTATGAATATTCTGTTGAGATAAGCCGGATACGAGAGAAGAGAAGCTATTGTGGAAAAAATATCTGACTATATTCAACTAAGCTGAACATTGAAGATTCAAAATTGATGATTAGAATTACAAGCTATCTAGAGGCTATTTTGACCCATATTTATAGACATCGCTTGAGCCATTCTGGACTACACGGAATCTTGTAGGGTTCCACCGCCACCTTCCTAATTAGGAAGCTAAGTAGCCATCAACACAACCAATTTCGTGGCTTGAAGCCCTTAGTTGATGTTTTCGGATAGCTGCGAAGTCGTGAAAATGACGCAGAGGTGCTCAGGGTTTTGGGGGCAAACCGATCGCCCACCTTCTGATCGATATTCTTGACATAAAGTACGTACATTCATGCAACTGCTTGGCTCAACCATTATCTAAGGAACATATCGGCAAGAGTCTCAGTGTAATTAGATAAGGCATTCGTATTGATAGATCAGCCATTGTTTCTAAGTAACGAAGAGCAGAAAATTAGAAGATCAACAACCAAAGGGCCAGAATATTAATAACCCTCCAACCTTTTGCGTCTCTTATATGATGATGCAACATGTTATGATCATTTGTCCAGGGGAAGGAATGGTGGGCAGAAGAACACTATACCAGCTGCACGCTAGTAGGCTACGTGTGTGTAGATGTTATAGTGTTCTTCTGTACCCTTTCCCCCTGAATGATACAGTGATCCTGCCGAGATCGCTTCAGTTCTCAATCACGATTCAGGGAGATGAAGTGAGCGTTCGAGTGCTAGGGGTTATCGGATCCTGAATGCTAGCTTGCAGTGACAAAAAATGCGGTGAGAAAACCACGTGACCGAGCGACTAAAGAGGCCCACCGGCCTTCCCTTTGTTTCCCTACTTGTTTCAATTCACCACATCACAGGTCAAAAGATTAAGCAATCTAGTTACCTACTTTGGTTCATCTTGAGATCAGGTGAGTTCGATTCTGCCACCGTAGTAATTGAAAATGATGTCTGATGCTGTGATCTTACCAAAGTGGTCCATCTGTCATCTGGAAAAATCATTATGGGGGAGATCGGGGAATTTTGGAGAGATGTGAAAGAGGCTCGGAAGAGAAGAGAGAAAGAAAACCCCCCACGCCGTCGCTGCTGGGACTGGATGATCGTGTCGGGCACCTGTCACTATGCTAAAAATCGCTCATCGTTTAAGGAATATCGTCGGGTGGGTCAAAAGGTTCCAAATGGATTATTTAAAGATGGGCCGGAAACCTATATCGCCGGTGTAGGGACTGTGGAGTTGAACGTGCGCACAAACCCGAAGAAAGGATCTCGTACCCGGACTCTCGTGTTGGAAAATGTTCTGCATGTTCCGGATGCTATCTGTAATGGTTTTTGCTTTGCGAAGTATCATGCCACTCATGGCGGGATGGCGAGCCTTGACTCAGTTTGGAAAGGAACTGATAAACAAGGTTCTCCTCTTTGGTATGGACAGCCCTTCCGTGGGCTCGAGAAGCTGGTTCTAGCTGGAAATCCGCAGGGAGAATCTTATCTCGACGACGGGCCGAAATTTCTCAGCATGTATGTTGATAAAACCAAACTTGAAAACATCCTGTCGTGAGGCTGGCCACCTTATCACACTCCCATTTCTACCTGGGTTAATTTGTTATGTTCACACAATGTTCAGCTGGTTTTAGTCTACCTTGAAGCTTCCCTCGAGGTCAGAGAGAATAGGCAATGTTATTCATGTTCGCCTCTAGAGCCTGCTTGCTGAACCTCTAGGACCTCTATATCTAGCGTTTCTGCTCTGTTGTTAACCTTACGATACCGTAAAGTCCTCTGCAACCACTGAATTGCCTCCTTGTCTGACACCAAATCACCAATACCCTTGAGCAATATTTCGACCACGCTTCCAGCTCGTGAGCGAAGATCTTCTAACAGTGTGGAAAATAGCATCTGTGCTACCCACCAATTTTTTTTCCGCCATCGATAGAGCCTTACGAGCTATTGTAAATAATTATTAAAAATACTAATAAAATTAAACCAATCAAATCTTTTTAGTAACTATTATAGTTATTCAAGTCCCGGAATTCATCCCTCAAGCACTCAATCCCATCTTGTCGAAGCTCCTCAACTAGCTTCGCCACTTTCTGTGCAATAATCTGCTCATCAAACCCAAAGTACTTGTACGCAGCTGGTCCAGGAAGAGAGTGTCCGAAAGTCGTCATGGAATATCCCGCATCGGCATATCGTTCCCACCCGTTCACCGTATAGGCCTCGATGACCACCTTTGGAATGCCAGATCTATACCGTAGCACTCCTCGTTTATATTCGATACTCTGTTGCTCGAAGATCCGCTGACAGGGAAAGCTCACGATACGGGTTTTGATGCCAAACTGGTCCCGAAGTACCTGACGGGTCTGGACAGCGAAGACCATCTCTGCGCCAACTCCGATCAAAGTCACGTCGGCGTGCTCTTCTTCTAGAAAGACGTACGCACCACGCTGTACGCCGTCTCGGGACGAGTACTGTGGGTATTGCTCCAAGTTCTGTCGTGATAGTGAGATAATCGTGGGTGTAGAGGTTGCCTGCAGTGCAGCGATGAATGCACCGGCTGTTTCTTCGCTGTCGCAGGGTCGAATGTATAGAAGATTTGGCATCGCACGATACAATGATGCGAGAGCAACTGGCTGGTGGGTAGGGCCGTCTTCTCCCGTGCCGATTGAGTCATGGGTAGCTATGTGAATCTGCTGGTGTTGGAGTGCGCCCATCCGGATACCTGGAGCGGCATACTATTTGATTATTAGCAGTGGGATGGCGGGGGAATACGAGGTTGATTCTTACAATGTAGAACATAAAGAAAGTAGATGTGATAGGGAGAATTGTGCCTTTGTTGAATGCAGCCAATCCGTTCGATATGGATGCCATGGCATGTTCTCTGATACCCCAGTGGATATAACGTCCAGTATAATCTCCATTAATCCCACAAGTTGTTTTTAGATCCGGCTATAAAAAGGATGTTGGTTAATGTGCAATGAATTTTGCCAGAATATGACTCACATGCTGAAAATCTACCTTGTCTTTCCAGGCCATGTTCACAGAAGGCGTGAGATCCGCCGTTCCAACCAGAATATTCTGCAGTTTCGATGCCAACGGGTTGCAACAGAGTCCGGCTGATTTTCTGGACGGTGTAGGAGTAGTTGGGAATTGGTCCTTGGATGGAATGAGTTTTGTCCAGTCTTCGGTCATTTTGCCTGCCATTCTCAACTGAAACTCCTTGTGAAGCTCAGGATACTCCTTCGAGTAATCTTCCAGTAGTTGACCCCAGCTCTCTTCTAACTCCTGACCTTTTTCTTTTGTGTCAGAAAAGAAATCGTACACCTCGCCCGGTACTGCGAAGTGCTCATCGGGGTTCATCCCGAATTTCTTCTTGATGTTTGCCACGTCTTCCGGTCCGAATGCCGCTCCGTGAGCTGTCGCATTCCCAGCTGCTTTGCTACCAATACCAATTACGGTATGTATATTAATGAATGTAGGCTTGTCGGTGCTCGATCGAGCATGTTCAAGGGCTGTCGTGATTCCTTCGACATCGTAACAGTCGTTTTCGACTTCAAGGACGTCCCAACCACAGGCTCTCATTTTGGCATTGATATCTTCCGAATTGCACAAGTCGACACTGCCATCACAGGTGACCTAGACCTGTTAGCTGTCTGTGGTAGTCCCTGGATTAATTAGGTGCATACCCGATTATTATCATAGATGACGACCAGGTTATTCAGCCTCCAATGTCCAGCAAGTTGTATCGCCTCCATGGCAACACCCTCTTGAAGACAGGCGTCTCCAATCATACACCAAGTCATATTATTCACGATAGGAAATCCAGGCTTATTGTACTGAGCTCCGAGATGTTTCGTCGCCATCGCCAGCCCAACCGCATTGGCGACGCCTTGTCCAAGCGGCCCGGTTGTCACTTCGATTCCCTCATTCTCAATCTCCGGGTGCCCAGGACAGATCGAGTCCGCCCGATTCGAATGGTATGACATTAACTGGTCCATTGTCATCGCAGCGTATCCTGTTAGATGTAAGAAAGTATACTGAAAGAGACAGGTGTGGCCGTTTGAAAGCACGAAGCGATCTCGATTGAAGTATTCAGGATTGGTAGGGGAGAATTTCATGGTGTAGTTCCAGAGTGCGATGCCTATTGCGGTCATTCCCATTGCACCGCTGGTAGTAAGTTAGCTCAAGTTTTAGTGCTTTCATTGGGTTGTTTACCCTGGATGTCCGCCTTTGAATTGTTCGCACAGGTCTGCTATCAGGCATCGGATCGTCCCCAGAGCTAGATCAACTTTCTTCTCTTTCGACAGTTCGCGGCCAGGAGTACACTGATGATCTGAGGAAGACATGTAAAAGCCTATTTAGGTTGTATTGCTATACAAGTGAAATTGGATCTAGTAATCGTGTAGAGGAAACTGAAGACTTCTTTGACTTCTCCCTGAATTCACTCCCCTTATATTTTGATCAGCGATTATACCGTCTTCTCATAGCTTGTCTTAGGGGAAGCCCACGGGGCAATGCATCTATACGCGGAAAATTGCCTATTAGGGCTGAAAGTCGTGGAGCGGCTCGGAATTCCTTTTTTGGAAACAGGAAAGTTGAGGCGCACCGAGTTTCACATCTCCAACTTTCTCGCCTCCGTATCCCATTTTTGTTTTTGGGGCATTTGGAAGAGTAGCAGTCGAGTCTCAAGGTATAACCGCTATATCGAGTCCATAATGAAGCGAGTCTACCTTGTACTGAAAATTACCATCTATCCCGATTTTGGAAAGTGAAATAAGTTGACTGCATGTTCAGCGCCCATCTCTGATTCTCAATGAATTTAAGATTATTTCTTCGGGCTGTATTATCTACTGTCGCTCTTGAACCTCACTATCGTTTTCTGCTATCCATTTTGCTCCCTGCTTAAAAACAACAACAATAGTAAAAAATCATACGGCATGACTCCCTCCACTATCGAAGAGACGCTGGAATCGAAGCCTCGTCTCAACGTAGCAGAACAATCTGATCACCTTCCCCCCTCAGTCCCGGATCTTCTTCTCCTACGGGGAAAAACAATAGCGATCACTGGAGGCGGCCGAGGCCTGGGAATGGCTTTTGCATTTGCGGTCGTCGAGTCAGGCGGCCACGTAGCCTGTCTCGATATTCTACTCTCTCCATCGGAACCAGAATGGTCTAACCTCCTCGATATGTGTAAGAAATCCGGTGTAACAGTCACATATAATAGATGCGACATCACCAACGAGACTGAACTTACCAAGATCCTTGAAAACATCGCGCAAGTCGCCGATGATAAGGACGCTCCATTTTCCGGAATCGTGGCATGCGCGGGGATTCAGCAGAAGGTTCCAGCCCTGGAATATGATCCCCAGGATTTCGAGCGGATTTTACGTGTCAATGTGACGGGGGCTTTTCTTACTGCGAAGCGAGCGGCGAGGATTTTGGTTGAAAGGAAGAGAGGTGGTAGTATTGTGTTGATTGCGAGTATGTCTGGTCAGATTGCAAATAGAGTATGTTTGATTCCCTTTCTCTCTGAATGGCATGGTTTATGATCATTGGTCGTCGGTTGCTGATGATTACTAGGGACTTACATGCACGGCGTATAATACTAGGAAGTCGGCAGTTCATCAGATGTGTCGGTCTCTCGCACAAGAATGGGGTCAATATGGGATTCGCATCAACACTCTCTCGCCGGGTGTAAGATGAACCCACTGTCTTTCCTTTGTAGCAAAATGCTGACCTCTGCTAGTATATTAGAACCGAGATGACGAAGGAACTCATCGCCGCAGAGCCAGAGGTAGAGAAGACCTGGATGGCGGGTGCGCTCTTGGAAAGACTTGCGACTCCGGATGAATTCAAGGCACCGGCTGTTTTCCTCCTTTCAGAAGGGAGCTCTTTCATGACGGGGGCGGATTTGAGGGTTGATGGAGGTCATTGTGCCTCTGCATAGTTAGGAACATATAGGACGCGTATCTGAAGGGATTTATATAGAATTGACCTAATTTACTCGTCGATTATTTATTATTCTATCAATCCCCAACATGGAATTAATTTTGCGAGGCACTCGTGAATAAATTCTAATAACTAACACTTGTTCAACGAACCGACCTAAAGAGTAGAAATACATAGACTTTACGACGGTCAGTGGCAAGGGCATTTTGTATCGAAGACCAAGAACTGTAAAACATAGTAGTCGCCATTATATGAAGGCATATTCATATCTGAGAATGAACGAGTCTGCCTACGACTATCTCACGCTATCGCTTAGACATTTCTCTATGGTAAATTGAAACCGCAAGACAATATTGAGTCAGAGTATGCTGTCTGGTGGGACGTCCGATCTTTTTGCGCTTAGGGATGCCGTTTCAGGCAATTCACCACGGCTTGTTTAGCTCCAGGGTGGGGCGCCGGAGGTATGGGCAATTGTATCGCACGATGGGTCCGGGGAAATTCGTGGAGAGATAAAGTCCATTGAAATATATAATGACTAGCACCTACGGTAGCATCGTTAAAAATTGACTAGTTAGCGCTCTAGGAAGAACACCTTGCGATTATCGTTCGTACCTATCCTGGCTGCTCATGATGACCTTGGTTGGAAGACCCTTGAATTGGGCCATTACGGCTACTGCCGGTTCCGGTTTTCTTCTCTTTGTATATGATCAAGGTGTCATATCTGGTCTCTTGACAGGTGCTGCGTTTACTCGCATCTTCCAGAAATTGATACCACCAGCATCGCTAGGGGTAGTTCTTCCCTCCAGGGAACAGTTGTCGCCATTTACGAGATCGGCTGTTTCTTCGGTGCCATAATTTGCATGCTCGTTGGAGAACGGCTTGGTCGTCGACATTGTATCATGGTTGGATGCGTTGTTCTGAGTATTGGCGCTGCTCTTCAGGCTGCTGCTTTCGGTATCCCCCAGCTCATCCTTGGTCGTATCGTTGCTGGTTTAGGCAACGGAATAAACACGAGTACCATTCGTTAGTAGCTAACTGCCTAATGATTATGGATACTAACATCTGGAAGCGGTTTGGCATTCCGAATTAATGAAGCCCACGAGCCGTGGAAAAGGTCTATGTATTGAACTCGCCATCAATATCTTTGGGGTTGCGCTTTCCTACTGGGTCGATTATGGCATGAGCTACGTCCAAAACGAGGCTCAGTTTCGCTTCCCCCTTGCTCTTCAGATCCTGTTTGCCATCGCTACCTTTGGTGGCGTGTACCGTCTTCCAGAATCCCCTAGATGGCTTGTTGCCCATGATCGGAACGAGGAGGCAAGACAAATCCTGTGGTCTACTCAGAACAATGCTAAGACCATTGATATGAACGATCCCAGTATATCTCGCAACTTGGATGAGATCCAGTCGGCAGTAACACAGGAACGCGAGGCTGCTACCGGAGGGAGCTTTAAAACGATTTTGAAAAACGGAGAGCAGAGATTACTCTACCGAACGCTGCTGGGTGTTGGCGGACAATTAATGCAACAGCTTTCGGGTATTAATCTGATCACATATGTATCTCTCATTGCTTCCTTTGAATGACTCGTAAATTGATATCATGCAGTATGCTCCGGTTATTTTCCAGAAATCCGTCGGAATGTCTCACAACCTCTCCCTTCTCCTTGCTGGGTTTAACGGAATCGCGTTCTTCTTTTCATCATTGGTTCCGATCTGGATTATTGATCGACCGGGACGTAGGAAACTGATGCTCTTCGCCGCGGCTGGCCAATGTGCTTGTATGGCCGTTCTTGCGGGGACGGTGTCGGAGGGAAGCAAAATCGCGGGCATCTTTGTCATAGTCAAGCTATTCTTGTTTAACTTCTTCTTTGCAGTTGGACTATTAGCGATCCCATGGCTGTGTAAGTCTATCCCCTTGTTTTTTATTATTGCTGTCCTCCATGCTGATTGAATGTACTCAGTGCCCGCGGAATACGCCCCTCTGACTAAACGAACCCGTGCTGCGGCGCTCGCTACGGCATCGAATTGGATCTTTACCTTCCTCGTTGTAGAGATCACCCCAGTGAGCATCAATAGCATCGGATGGCGCACATATATCTATTTCAGCGTCTTTAACTTTTTCTTTCTGCCTCTGATTTACTTCTTCTATCCAGAGACACAGCATCTGTCTCTGGAGGATATCGATGGACTATTCACTGGTAAGAAGGTTCAACTTCATTTGAAACCTGTCCATGATGTTGAAGGGAGAGATGAGGGTGAAAAGTTGGAGGGGCACAGATGATTGAAATGCCTTGATCCTTCTGGATTTTCTGGATATATGATTATGTTTCGTTATTGCCTTACTGATAACTGTATGATAATCTTGTAATATGAGGGATTGCATTAAGAATAGTCTAATGTAGTATTCGCTGGTATCACTAATTGAAGTGGCTTATTTGCATCTTCACTACGCATGGTTGACACTACAGAAGTGTTTATCACTATAACTAGGTTGTAATCTCAAATGGCTTTGGAATATAGCAGACTAGTCTCTTTCGAGCAGAATCAGTAAATTCAGATATCTCCGTGATTACCAGAAGTAAAACAAATTAATACTAATTGGCGGTTAATATATATAAAATTACTTATTAACTTTTATCATATGTAAGATAAACTCCCACTATCTCAGAATAAACCATATAAATCTAGGAGATGAATTGCTCTTACGATACAACCTTTATATCTTTACTTTTTATATTCCTTTAGGTGAAGATTTATAAATTGAATGGGAACTGATATCTATTAGCTTTTGACTAGTATCTTTGCTTCTTTCTCCTCTTCTTTCTTCTCTGCCACATCTCTCCCTCCCATCTCTCTTTCCATCTATTCAATGAAGTTCCACCGGACTAAAAAGAGTAACAGCCCTGCCTAGCCTAGATAAATCTTCTGATGTATTGACATATCGACACCTCTCTCTCCCCTCAAGTTTTTCATCTCAATACCTCCAATCATTCCCCATCACGTCGCCTGAGTCAGCGGCAATATGAACCTCTTGTTCTTCTACTTTGATATCTCCTCTTGATTGCTTCTGAATTCTATCGACCTACCTCTTTTGTACGAGTCTACTCCATGGACAATCACATTATGATTGTTGGGTCAGGCGAGAGGTTGAGCTGTGTTATGTTTTTTCACTCACGACCAAACCAGTAGATGAATGACATCCAGTCGTTCTTGGGATCTCCCTACAGGCTTGTCTCCTTGTTGTACAGTTGTTCACGTAGAAAGTATACACTGCTCCAGCAGACTGTGGGGTATTCATGAACTGTCATAGTAGTCGAGCCAATGAACAGGAGGAAAGCCAAGATAATTCTATGTTGGAATTGCCCGACTCGATTGGAGTTAGAAGTCCTCTAACCGACGGCTGCTCCAAAACCGAGTAAAAGACAAGAATCCTCCGGAGTAGTTTATCTCCTTAAGATGACACTTTCGGCACCCAGTCTCAGCAATTTATCACAGAAGCGCACGTAATCATCTAAGGACTCGATGCTTTCACTACTATTTCATTCACACTCCATTCATGGGTTCGTGGTTGTCGAATTCGCCTCATTGAACTTACTGAAACCCTCCTCACAGCGGTGGATAATGTCCTTGAGATCGACAACAAGGGGCTCTTGTAGATGGTACGCACCTGGCAAAGTCAACGTGATGAATTTGTTGAGATGAAAATGATATAGTAGAAAGATAACTGTATTGAAGTTCGGTTTCTCGGTTCGTCCACGATGAATGGGGTAGGTAGGTGATCTACTGTTTCGAAAATGTTCGGGACTTAACTATAGCCAATCCTTAATATCTACCATGTTACAGTAGTCTTAGTTTCTATCCACTGTATGTTGGTGTATGGTATAGTCAATATTATGACGTTTCGCTTGACAGCTAAGAGATGTTAGAATCAGCGGATGTTGTATCTAGGAGTCATGTGGGGAAAGTTTTGCGTGGATGTATTTGCAACATCGATCCATGAAAGAGCCACGATTTTCCCAACTTTCTGGTACAGAGAACGGAACTTCAGTTGAACTGTTCCTGTTAATGATGGGACCCAAATAACATGTCCCGTGGTTTGTCTACAAACTGTACAGGCAAGTCCTGAACGCCTTCTATGGAGAACAGCGATCTAAAACGCAGAAAGTATCTGAATTTATTGTAGTGACGTTAAGACAAGAGGATACCACAACTTGCTCCGCTCATACGAGGTGAAGGCAAATTGGGGGCATTCTTGGCAGGACATCCGATTTACTATGTAACATGCCAATTAGCACATTATCACTTGTGGATGCTACAGGCACAGTAGAATGAGCGCACAACACAGAGTTAGAGCATATAGAGTCCAAAACATAATGGACTCTCTGCGCTATAACCAACCAAATTCTCCTTTTCGTAGACACCGAGAGACAGAAGGATGCATAAGACGAGAAAACTCTCTTATTGCAAAGATATTACAAGACTCGAATGGAGCTCCATTCGATCCCTCTAGTAATTATGCAGTTGCATCTCGGGAAAGGACAATTTTAGGGCTCTTTTGTGTGTACAATTGAGTGCATGTATATAACTACCAATTGGCTGTTTTATCATTTATCTTGGTACTAGTAGCTATTCTCCATATTTAACATAGCACCATAACACTATTAATCAAAGGTGAGTCAATCAGAGCAATATTCCTACCAACCAGTTAAAATGGACTCTGCTTTGTTTAATGAGCCTTCCTATTTCTATATTGATATCCCTGCCCTTGATGACGGCTGCATTACGTTAGGCATGATTCATTACTCTATATGCATTAGGATGTGGAGTAATCCGGAATGGATTTGTGTCTGAAACCGGAGATGTCTTAGCCACAGTGTCCTGTCGATGGAAACGGCGATGATTCATTGAATAGTTGCATGTAGAAGATAGAAAATAGTGGAATACGTAACATTATACTATTAATGATGTCACCGGCCATGGAATAAATGTAAAGAAAGGTTTTCTTGCTGCAAACAGCTTCGTCGATTCTCTGTGGACGTACAGAAAATGGCTATATGAACCTGACACCTGATATCATCTGCAAGTCATTCGGTCCTGTTCCACGACTCACTTCTCTGCTATACATATACGTTGTTAGTGCTTAGACGCCTTCGCTAATTTGCTTCAAGAGACTACAAGCAATATTTAACTCTACAATGTGTGCCCAAATGGAAAAATTCTTTGATCAGTATGTGAACTGTTTAACAACGCTAACTATCAACTAACTGCTTTCTAATACACGCTATAGGGTCGACAAACTAGGTCCGGACTTTAAAACCCGTATGCTACCAACCTGCTGTTGAAATTACAGTGCATCAAGCTGATAGCTATCCACATTTGTAGGGCTGTCAGACGCTATCCAACTAGAATCAGTCGTCACCAAAGTTGAAGAGAAAAAGGAAGTGAGCTTACTATTTATGATCCGATTTACATTTCGTTTTGATCTCTAAAATCTTGTTACCCTTCACGATAGATGGCCGAGTCTCTTAAGAAACAGCTCTCCGAGTTCGGAGCGAATGCGCAGTTATATGATCCCAAAGACGGTCTACCTCCTATAGTATATGCTCACTATAACACAGATCAGCATGATACAAAGAAGACAATCCTCGTTTATGGACATTACGATGTTCAGCCTGCTGGGGATGGTTGGTCTCCTGACATTCCACCGTTCCAACTGACGGAAGGCGAACGGAAAGACAAAAAGCCATGTTATTTTGGACGGGGCAGCACTGACGACAAGAGCCCAGTTCTAGCCTGGCTGAATATGCTTCAGGCACATAAAGCAGCCAGGGTGGCAGTTCCTGTTAACATCCGCTTCTTATTTGAGGGGATGGAAGAGTCCGGTTCCAAGGGGCTACCGAATTTCATAAAGAATACCGACGAAGGCAAAGCGCTTTTTGCAAATGTCGATGCTGCGTGTATTTCGGACAACTACTGGCTGGGGGCGGGAAAGCCATGTCTGACTTACGGACTTCGAGGCATTGCCTATTTCAAAGCGACTGTAACTGCTCGTCAGAATCCGCTTCATAGCGGAATCTACGGTGGAACAGTTTATGAGCCTTTAACGGACCTGATAACTCTGCTTTCGAAGCTAGTGGACAATAAAGGGAACATAAAAGTTCCTGGAATGCTAGATGACGTTCCGCCTGTGACGGAGGAGGAGAAAAAGGGGTATGAATGTATCGACTTCCAAATGAGCGATCTTGAAGCCGCGATTGGGAACAAGAGCTATATATACGATGATCGTATAGAGACTCTGCAGCACAGGTGGAGATGGCCATCTCTCTCTATTCACGGAATTTTTGGAGCCGATTCAAGCGCTGAGTCAACAACTGCAATCGCCCCGGAAGTGACAGCAAAATTTTCTATTCGAACAGTGCCAAATATGAAAACTGATAAGATAAAGAACCAGGTAACTAAGTACCTGACAGAGGAATTCAAAAAATTGAACAGCAAAAGTCAACTTACGATTGATATGACGGAAAATGGTGAATACTGGGTTACTGACTCAAAGCATAAAAATTTTGAAGCGGGCAAGCAGGCCACGCAGACGATTTGGGGGGTCAGACCGGACTTAACTCGGGAGGGTGGAAGGTGAGCAAAGTCTTATATCCATGAATTCTTATTTGATGCACCCACTCCACATCCTGTTCTAATTATATTTCTACTTACAATTCATGCCTTCCACTTGACAATCTTCTAACCAAGCAATAGTATCCCTGTAGCATTGGATATCCAGGAAGGTTTGGGAAAGGACAGCCAGGGCAACCAGAAGAGCCTCATGTTGCTCCCCATCGGAACAGCCCTTGATGGAGCCCATGGTCCCGACGAAAACATTCCTATTAAAAACTATACCAAGGGAACCAAGCTCCTGGGTGCGTATCTTCATCATTTTGCAAATGCAAACTGATGTAGAAATGATACTTTTCTCCATTATCCTCTGAAATAAGAATAATATCATCGTTCAATACCTTCTTTGAGGAAGTTGACCACAGAATGTATTTTCAAGTACAAAGTTTCTTCCAGTCAATTCGTACACGTTCGGAATAACGCTCTTATACAAAAGATACTTAATATTAATCCAACTTTTAATCACTATTTTTAACCAATCCAAGCGTGCCAAAATAACATATATGAACAAGCCAGATCTAGTTATCAATCATCAACAAAAACTTTCGAACTAAAGACAGCTAAACATGTCTAATTGTCACAGAAAAGATGCACCTCATCCATCAAGTAAGAAAGGCGTTCTGATATTTTCTCATATAACTCTGGGGCCTAACTTCAGATTTACTTACATAATCTCCTATTTCATCAGCTCCATACAGGGCATTGTAATAAATTTACGTGAGTAAGAATTGTAACCTGATACACAGGACAGAGAACAAGGCACTTCGAAGTCGACTGATAAAACACCTGCAGTATTTCTTCAATTAATGGAAAAGGATGCATATATTAAGAATCAGATATTTCACGATCTCATATCTCGCAGTGTGGGTTGAGTAGAATTCAGACGTGATCCCACAGGAATAAAAGGCAACTAGACCTCCTAAATTCAGACAACAAGAACAGTACTTGCATTCGGCTAAAATTTCTATGGGCCACCAGCAGTATATATCTCACATAGGCAGTTCATATCTTTGGCAGATCTCCAAGTCAGTTAACAAGCTAATGTATAAAACTGACTTCAAGTCAATTTGTATTTTACAGGAGACGACAAGATTCTGAATCCTGATTCAACTACGCTTTGTCCACATTCAATAACGGGTCTCTTAACTCAAGATCTATTTCCTGAACAGGCTCTCAGTCATTCACATACCGTGCCCAGATCTAGTTTGTCTATTTTAATGGTTCTCTATCACATCAAGCTAAGTGCACAAACGCAAACAGATAAGAGATGGAAATTGAAAAAAGCCAAATCAACCCGACCTTATCATTTTACGAGATGAGAACGATAAATCAATACATGAAAGTCATAAATACCTTGGAAAACTTTCTTAGTGTCTGCTCCTCCACGATTATTCTATCTTCAACTTTTCCTTCACACTGACATATCCTGGATTCCGCTTTGCCACCAATGTTTTTCAAGGACGTGTGCAACTAATATATCCAATAGATTAAGCACCACCAGCAGCCACCTCCATGAAGAGCTTCTCGCGCTAAATTACAGTCAGCGCTGATTATCATAATATGTCGCACTGCCGAACAAACCTTCAAGAACACCGAGAGAAGAACACCTATGCCACCGGCAACAATAAGCAGGATATAACTGTGGTAAAAGTTAGCGATAGACTTTCAAGGTTAACAAACCACAAATAAAACTTACACATAGTCAATAGCATCGACAATAACATCTAACGCCGCGGACTGCTCTGACTTAGTCAACGTGCTGAAGAATCCACTTGCAGTTCCGCCAATTGTGTTCTTGATGTCTGTGGTATCGGCGTTCGGAAGCAAGTTGATTAGGCCCGTCGTTGCTTTGTTCACGAAGATAGCGCCGGCCATACCCAGTGCTAAGACGATGCCTCCCAGTTGAGCTGTCCTTGTCAGTCTTGTTTACTGAATAGAGAATGTGGACTACTTACAAACCATCATGAAGCCAAGGGCCCATGGGATCTCGGTCTTCTTGACTTTAGCCTGGACAACGCTGTATCCTGCTTGGTTAAATGCGCCAACACCGAGGGCCATAAGAGAGGTGTATCCGTAGATCGCGCTGGCAGAGGTATCTTTTTTGACGGTGTCTGAAGGGGTCAGCGTTGGGATAAGTATTGCGATGATTAAGCATCTCAGCTTACACATTAAAGCAGCGGCGACGAGTTCGAAAATGGAACCAAGGAGGTACCATGGAAGGTAATAACCGAATTTGGACATCATGTGGCCGTTTGCGATGATGGCGAAGATGAGCACCATTACGAAGGGTAGAATACGCAGCGAGGAGTGGACTGCAGTATCACCCTGCACGATATGAGTATAATGTCTTGGGAACCAGGGTTGCAATCTTACCTGAGTAAATTGGAAGAACAGGGGAATGTAGTACACTGAAATAAACAACCCGCTGCTGGCACAGGCTACACCTTCATTAGCATCACCAAGAGGTTGGAGTATTTTATAAGTTTATACTCACTGTTAAGGATAAACAGAAGTAGCAGTGAACGCCTCTTGAGGAAATGGATCGGGAACAGTCTGTTCTCCTCGTTGCAGAGAATGTAGAAAGTCTGCTGAACACTAAAGACGACGAACAGAACGCCGGACACCACGAACAGTGCAATGGACGAACCGCTGCCCCAACTCCATTCCACTCCGCCAAAGTCGATAGCCATGATCAACGTAGCCAGCGCACCGACAAACAAGACAATGCCGACCCAGTCGATATTCCTAGCTTTCTCTTTCGGGGTTGCATTGGGCATGGGCTCGAAGGAGGGCAAGAGAAATGCGTAGACTGGGGAAAAAACTGCTCCGACGACCAGGTTGATGTAGAAGGCCTAACAGTATCAGCATGGACGGACTTCTTGAAGCGGGAGATTTGCAGACATACCCAACGCCAGGTCGCGGCGCTTTCGGCGAACGCTCCTCCAATGGCTGGGCCGGTGACAGTTCCGATACCCCACGAAACGGCACTAGACGAGAAACATTACAGTGAGCGTCAATATAGAGCTCGAGATTTCGCAGTGTTACTTACGTCAAACCAATGTAGAATGGACGTTCAGATACGGTTGTATTCACGGACAGCTGGGTCAAGACGCCGAAGTACATACCACTTCCCTAGATTGAGTTAATATCCAGAGGCCTATGCATTTATACAGGCATTCAAGCTTACTCCAGCGCCAGCCATAGCTCGTCCGACAATCATCCCGTTCATGTTTGGGGCAGCACCACAAAGAGCCGAGCCTGCCATGAAAAGAATAACGCACTAGTGCTCGAGTTAGCAATACTTAAACTTTGATACTGCTTCACAATCAGGCGTTCTTTAGCCTACCCCAATATAGAGCCATTTGGCATTGTAGGTTGCGTAGGCCTTAGACCAAGGCAGCACCAGTGCGGAGGAGGTAAGGGAGAATCTGCGAAGGCTTAGCTAAACTATCTTGTGGATCATCTCGTAGGACAGCCAAAATCATACCCCACAGAAAGCCAGGAAATCTGGTCAGCTTCTTGGAATTGGTTGAGAATAGCCTGTAGTTCATGATGGTTAGATGTACTCGAGATAAATACACTGAACAGGAATAAATACAGGTTGGATATTAGCCACAATGGTGTTGTCAAGCGCAAAAAGCATATGGCTGGACAGGATAGCAGTCACAACTAGGATCCACTATTGTTGCTAGGTTAGAATCTACCGTCCCCATGGTAGAATGGGTAGATCAGCTGGAGTTGGGTACATACCTTAAAGCCAGTGATCATCCTCACTTCCTTCTGCGGCTCTTCATCTGATGATTCGCGACCCTTACTAATTTGTGAGTTCGAGCTTGGGGTTTGTGAATCCGTCAAGGCGTCGGCAGCCCCGAGTTTCTCGACATCTTTCAGACTGTCTGCCATTGTGCTGGCGGTGCTGTGCTGTGCTAGTTGATTGAGGGTATTGACGCACAGACTCTTAGTTTTTTGGTAAATGAAAGTTAAGTTGATGTTGACTTACCGAAACATTCTGGCCTGACCGGTTATTTATTCTAATCCTAAAGAAACATTGGAACAGCAAATCCAGTCAGATCACGCCAACTGAACGGAGTAAGAGATCTGAAATCATTCTGGGTCGTGACTAATGAAGGCTCCATGGGATGAAAAAGGATGACAGAAGATCAACCAGCCACCATTTCTCCTCAAGCCCGCTTATTCCAGGAGAAAATTATGATCATATCCCCCTGTTTGCCGGTGCAACCCCGACCCAGAATGTGGATCTAGAGATTTACAATCTGGGATGCTATGGGATACCGACTGGGATACCGAATGGGATACCGACTGGGATACCGAATGGATTGTGGGATCGAGGTAGTTGCGAATAAGTGTAATCCTGAAGTGGAATCCTTCAGAGTCGCCCAGACCAACGCCCGGGTCACCTCATCCCAGCGGGAAAAAGCGGATCAGCTATTTCGCTATCCCATCGGGGCAGGATATTAGGCTGTCATCCTATCCTTGGCGTTCTGGACGGTGATAAGCACTGATTTAGCATCTCCACCTCATACTTACGCTACCGGGAAGGCTTGGCGCAAAGGTTACCAACCTCCGAATCAAGACAGTGTCGAATCCAGTGTTAGAGAGGGAATCTCTTGGGCACTATTTTAGCAGAATGAGCTGTGGAAATCTAAGGAAGCCGTATCAATCACAATGCCTCTTTTGGAAGGGGATGAAAAGGTGTCGCCATAAGTTCTGTTTCAGTCTATCTAGCGAAGGAGACGATAGACAGGGCTCGTGAATATCCTAACTCCGTTTTGGATACCGTGTCTAGTTCTCCCCGTGATGGTATCCCCCCTAATGCTTATGTCAGGTCCATGCATTTATAAAATCACACTCTGTTTTCCCCATTTACTACCATCCACGAGACACTTATCGTACACTTTTAAATCCAAGTAACAACATATTCGAGCCCATTCGTCCTCGTCTACTTCCCCTTCCAAAATCATATATTTCATTCATCATGACCATCCACCGCATCACACTCTTCAACATTCCCAAACCGGAGGACGTTGACATTCTCCTCGACGAATATCGCACTCTTGCTCAAGAAGCAAAAAAGGTACACCTTACTCATCTTCTCCTCTCCGCCGCTCCTATAAGTCAAATATTAACCTTTATACTGCTGATAGAACTCAGAGCCTTACATTGTGTCAGTCCAAGCGGGTCGCACACTGCCTGACGCGCGAACGAAAGGCTACACGCTGGCCGTCAAGACGACCTTTCGCGATATGGACGATATGAACTTCTATGATCATGACTGCGAAGCACATAAACGGTTAAAGTCTGTTGCTGCACCGAAGAGGCATGGGGATGTACTTACAGCGTACTTTGAGGATGTGGTTGGGGTTGCAATTTAGATGATTGGTGGTGGACATCTGTAGTCATGTACAGAACAGTTAAGATGAGAAATGGAGAGAAATACGAACAGAAAGAGGGTACTAAAGAAGAAAATGACAATGGCCTGACGAATATCCCCAACCCGCAATATTATTGGAATGGGACAAAAGGAACAAGATTGAGCCTTCAGAAATAGAAAACATACATCTAATAAATAATGAGAAGATCATGGGTAGTTGCTGAAATTCTAGCCACCTAGATATTCTGCCCATATGACAGCTCGCCCACTAGACTACCTGTATCTAGTCAAGAATCATTAATCTTCTTGATTAAGAAGTTCTGTTTTGACGTCTCTGTCTATCCCTACAGTCAGTATTTCTACAGTTTCTGAGCACAGAGGCTTTTAAAGGCTTCGGAACATTGCTTTATTTATTGTTGCTAAACTAGAAACTATTTCTATCTCCTAAGCGGTTTATAACCTGCTACCATAATACTGAATCCGATGTATTACCACTTCTATATATATTCTAGTTAGCCTTGAGCTGGTGCTTATAGAGTCTTTATATTAAAGCCAAACTATATATTTATAGTGCCTACGAGATCTTCATATATGATACTGCTAAAGATGAGGTTAAATACACTTATTAAAAGTATAAGTTTACTATTACAATTGTCTTAAGTGCACTGTTGGATGATACACTATACAAGAAGATCTATAAATTTAGGAGTTTCTACGCAAAGGAGGGGGGCATAGATAGACCAGATCTTTGTAAGGACTAAAATTAATACCTGCTACTTAATATTTTGCATGCGACGGTATTAAAGCTTATATTGTAAGATAGAACAAGAATCTCGAGAGTTAAATATATTGTAATGCGGTTGCTATGTGCGCAATCCACTACTCAGGTAGCGAGGCAAGCAGGCAAGGTAGGAAAGTAACGTAATGTATCATATGTTGGGATTCAAGCAATGATCTTGTTGGGGTGATCCTGGAGCCAGTATGTTCATAAATAGGAGGCTTCGCCTAGGAGTTTCGAATATGATCCAGCGACAGTCGTTCCTTCCATTCTATTACTTTCCACTGGTGCAAGACAGGGGTTGGGCGTACCTGGGCGTACCCCCCCCTTTACCATATGCTTAAAATAATAAGCTATTTCTGGAGTATTCTTTATTATTCTACTGCTTACAACCTCGACAGTCCACAGTTTGACACCTTTACTACTGTAGCACTAAGCGAGGAGAACGATATCCTTTTGAAAAGCCTGTTCTTTGTCTGATTAAGCAAGAAAAGCATGCTAAATACACTGGATATCGATATCTAACCGATACTTCTGTTTCTCACTCTACGGTAGAATCAGCTTTAAAAGAAGTGCTAACGGATTTGTATTGTAGTAAGAAAGGTTATATAGAGGAGACCTATTGCACCCAGGGAAGCTGTCGGAGAGATTTAAAAAGTTAGAGAAGAATGAAAGTATATTACATAAGAAGCTTTTATCCCATATATCGCCTTAAGATACGTCGACAAACACAGAGAGATACGCCTGCTAGAAGCAAAAGAAAATACTTCTAGAGTTGTAAGAAATTGCTTGTTTTAGAGGTTTAGATAGCTTCACGGTGGCCAAATGGGGGGGGAATGGGGGTTGGAGATACTCTAGCTGCCTAGTTAGTCTGCCCACATATGTAACAGCTTGCCTACTAGAGGCCTTTCCATCGCCTCGACACCTCCAGTAGTTTTGGTCGTATAGTAAAAATCGATTAATTGTTGTGTTGGAACTACATATGAAAAGCCACTAACTACTTGAATTAGTTACATTATCAATTAACTAGTGACTTTCAGGTCCCAGTAATGATATTTACTGATGGCGGTCTCTTGATCTTGCTGACCGCGCAGCTATTGCTGTATATTCAATTACTCTACTAAGATAATCTGCCTTCTACCACCATCCTATCTTTGAACAGTAAGCTAAAATACAGCCATCTGCCTACTCTCGGAGTAACACATATGCTTCATCCACTGTCCAATCAATAGTTGCTTATTGCATTGATGTATTTCATGGCCTGTCGAAGCGTTATTCATCTCGGTGATCTCAGAATAAAAATCATGTTCAATACATATACTGTATAATGACGGACTGGATACTACCATACCCCGTTCTCTGTCATAGCCCTCATTAAAAGCTTTCGTCGGCTGAATTGATAGACGAATCTGGTCAAATAATCTCTCAATCAGGTGATACGACTCTAAGCAGACCCCCCAAGTAAACTATCCTGAAACAGCCCCCAGAATAGTAGACAGGTTATTAAGCTACTTAAATATCTGGTAGGGGGACTTTTTAGGGGGATGGCATGAGCAGAGTAGGCGTGGTGGGATCCAATCCCTATTTCACAGGATTCAACATGCAACTCGCTAACTTCATCTGATGCTAATGCATCATATATATCACTTCAAAAAGAACGGAACCAAGAAATCAGAACCAACAAAACCCCCCATGAGGCTGTAGCACTCTCGCCGTCTGACTAATCCACCTCTCCTCTGAATTCCTCTCGCGATACGCGCTCCGGTCCTCCGCCAGCCGCGAGGCCAAGTCTGAGCTCGCATGCCAGAGTTCATCGCTATCCGGAAGCGCGAATTGCAAATCCGCTAGAGAGAGCAAACTCCGGCCCTGCGAAGATGCATCGGTGTCAGGGACCCGGCAGGACCGACAGACTTTGTACAGGGAAAGGGCGAAGCGCTTGACTTCCTCAACACCCACCCAAATGTAAACGTCGGGCAGGGTGTTTTTGAACTGGGCGACAATCGAGGGGTAGAAGAACATTTTGCGCTTGAGGCAGGTGCGGACGAGGGCTTTTAGGAGCTGCAAGGGGAGGGTGGGGAGTTCGTGAGTTAGCTGCAGGTTTAGACCTTGATTACCTTTAAGGAGGGCGAAAATGATTTGGAGCAGGATTCCTTGATATGTTGCCATGGGCCAGGAGGAGGGGGGTTCTGCGTTGTGCTGGCTTGGTGCTTCCCATTTATCCTGCCAACGGTTAGTGAGTGGCTGAATATGGAAGCAGGGAAGAAGATAAGAGGACTTGACACCGCGACACTCCCCTCCTGCCACGCCCCAACCCAGACCCTTAAACAGGCCGTTAAACATCTGCACACTAGATCTCTAAGGCTAATTTAGAGTCTGGTTCGTAGTTGCAGAAGGCCTGCTTGTACATGTTCGTGAGGCACGATTCTCTTCCATCGTTGCCTCGCGAACAGTACATCCGTATCACGTGTTCATAATCTGAGCGGTGTGGCGGGAGTGAATTGGGGACGCGGCGGTATCAAGTCCCAAGGCAAACTCACTCGCTGTTGATGGATAGACACAAGGAGTTTCGAGTGCAGATCCGTCGCTGCAATCCGGGCATCCTCTTTACCGGTCAACCATAATCCCATCATCATGACGGATTGAAAGAGAAGGGCGGGCTCATGGTCCGGATCGAAGGTTGCGCGGTGCAGAAATGGCCATGTGGGGTGAAACTTCTCGAAGAACACCTGGATATAAATTAACGCTCTAGAGGGGCTTTTTTCAATCGCGTCCGAGTTGTGTATGGGGGCCAAATGGGTGGAATCAACTGAAAGTCTGGCGGTTGGACTAACGGCGAGACTAGGTTGTTGATCTTGGCGGCCCCGAATCGAGCTCCCAAAGGAGCAATCAATTCCTCGCCGCACACAGGCTCCGCACGGAGCCTTTCCGTCACATTTGGACTTTCGCGAGCAGCAGTAATTGCACGCTCGAATTGTGCGACCTGGTTGAAGCTCTTTATCCTCGTGATGGGTGCGGACGTGTTGACGGAGCGTATCACTATTGTGTTCTTAGCACCATTCATGATCCAGGTCATCATCTGCCTAGATTCCATCAAAGTCCATCCTTTCAGTATACATGAGATCCATGTGACAATGGCCAGATTCAAGCCTCCAATTCCAATTCCGTGTTTGGTGAACTGAACAGACTTACTTCCGGGCAAAACGTCGATCGCAAAACGGGCATTCAAATGAGTCTGACTGAAAGTGTCGTCGCGCATGTCGGGTGAGATGCTCCTTCCGTCGATAGCTTAATCCACAACCTGGGAAGTGACATTGAAACGACGCGCGGTTACTCATGGCAGGGAAAAAAAAAAAAAAAAAAATTCAGATTTTCTTAGTTTTGTCCTGAGAAAATGGAAAGGCTGTATAGCGCCAAAATCTAGTCTCCCACGAGTTGATAGTTAACGGCGAGATGTCAGTCAGGATGGGAACGAGTGGGGAACGTCGTGATGATTGGGGCAGATGGGATAGCGGGTGGGATGCCGATGGGATGGCAATATGGGATAATGGGATGCCCCAGAGAAGGTAACGGAGAAGGTCTTAGTTATGCCTTTGGGATTGACTAACCACAGACATTAGTGGGAATGATGCAGTGGATGGGATGACCGAAGAGTTAGCTTAGCTAGCCTGGCCCCATCAGGGTAATGTAAACCACGTCATGGAAGGGAAACAGTGGTATGGGATGGGATGGGATGGGTTGGTGGGATACCGCAATCAGTGGGGGCTAGTGGGGGAAATGGAGACACCTACTGACATTAAAATAAACAATTAGCAAATCTATCTAATTCTTCATCAAATCGAGGCCTCAAGGTGAATAATCCTTATTTCATGGCCAAGAGCAGTTAAGTTCGGTCTTATGAAAGAATCCCTCTCGTCAAATCAACCAATGGGATGATGGGATGGTGGGATGTTGGGATGGTGGGATGATGGGATGGCGTGAACAATAAAAGAGGCAATCATAGGCGAAGCTTTGCCCTAAGAAAACTGTTAACTTGTGTTCTCACTTAATTCCTGTCATGCAGCTAATTTCTCAGCGTTCGCGAGCTATACATAGTTGATCACTGGATGCCTGGTCCCACGTGCCGCGGATTTTGCCCAACGGACACATCAAAAATGAAGCTTTCGAGTCTCAGGCAATTTAGATTATACAGAGATATTTTGGAGGAACAAGACTAAGGTTGTAAAGAAGTTATATATGTTTTTAAATTGTCCCGAAAGTTACAGATCTACCACTTATGGTTTTTAGGAGGCGCTTCCATCCACTGCAATCGTCAAACCCAGATTCTGTGCTCAGCTTTCGATTTTGCTATACAGACGAACGATAAATTAGCACATAAAAATATTAGTCGGTTGTTTCCGACTGACCAATTGGAACTCGGCTTGATGAGATATTTACACTGGCGACACTAGTCTGAATCCCCGGCCCCAGCTAGGCTAGCCTTCAGCTATGTCTGAGAAATTCCGTACAACAAAAAAAATACTGAGACATTGTACACGCTATGTTCTTTCGACAATTTCTGCAATCCCAGAGCAAAATTAGAAAAAGCCATACATGCAGTTACATAAGATAAAAAGATACATGTGATTGTCAGTATTCGGACAAAAGTCGCTGAGCTCTTATATGTTTGGAGTGCGGCCGCATCTTATCTTGCATTACAGGAGGAATTATTGCCTATTATTTGGGAGCCACGCCTTATTTTATTCTTGATAGGACTCCTATTTATTCCTCCAAAAGTCACCAAATAGTTGAAAGGTACTGCTATGGAGTGACACCATAGCCGCCTGATTGTAACCCCACTGAACATATGTGGTTTCCACATACAGGTGTCCATAACGTGAATGCAGATATTGAAAGCTGCAAGGGATTGAATGAAACTAAGGAAGAGCAATTATGGGCCTCGATTAGTCAAGGTATTCATGTTGCTTTAATAAAGGGTATGAAACATTGCGTTGCAGCAGTTTTTGAGGTAAACGTAGAATACAAAATATGGAGCCATTTTTGGGCTTGTTTGCGTATTGTTATGAATTTTAATTGTTCATTTTGTCTAGAGTCCATTCAAATCTATATTGCCCTTGTGTGTTGAGATAATATATATATTTTGTATGGAGACTGTAATTTTTCGTCATGAAGAGGTCCATGCGCCACAGCGCGGTGAGCATAAAGATTTAGAAGCTACGACCTTGTTATGAACCGGAAAGATAAAATATCTTAATTAGTATGAGTGGTAATGTAAACACGTGGATTGCCCCCGTCTGGCCTCGCTGGCACAGTTGGTGTTGTCCCAAAATCAATTCGAGCCTCTACAGGCGCACAGACAATCTCGTATTACTCAGCTATAATATCGAGTTTATAGGCAATAAGCTTGATAGAGATCTCTGCCGGGATGGTCTACTCCGGAGTAGAACTTATGCGGCGGTGCGTGCATTAGCCGCAGGATAGTCCGTCTTTCTGGCTGTCTCATCCACAACGGCTCAATTCTACATCCTAACCCTCGAGCCAGTAACTTGACGATTAAACCCCTGTAGATGCTAATTTGGAAAAGGACCGCTCTTTAAGATTCAACAAATCAAATACCACGAAACTAACTACCAATATCTACTCGACATAAATGCCAACACAAACACACTATTCTCCCCGATCCTTCTGCCCGGTCAAGTTGTTCAACGAGTCCATGAGCCCCGGGATCTCAGGGTCCTCGTCGATCCGGCTGACGTTCGCCACCCGTCCAAAGATGGTATACAGTCCCACAATGACAATCACCTCCATGATTTCCCGAATGCTGAAGTGGGCCTTGAGCGCCTCGAGGGTTCCGTCGCTGGCGGTGTTGTTGCGGACCAGTTCTTCGACAAAGCGGAGGAGAATGCGATCGCGTTCACTGAAGTACTCGGTGTCGTCGACCTTGCCGAAGGCAATCAGGAGGCGCTTGGCGTTGGGCATGCCGTTGACGAGGGCGACGGGGGTGTTGATCTCGAACACGTAGTGCGCCCCGATCAGCGCTGCGGTGCGCAGGACCACCAGCTGCCATTCGAGGGTAGGGAGCTCGCGAGTGGAGCGGAAGACAGTACCCAGGAGGCTGGATATGGAAGGGAAGAATCCTTCGGCGTGGGCGAGCAGCTTGAGCACGTTGCGCTCAAAGGGGAGGACCTTAAAGGCCTGCGCCAGGCCCGAGTTGACCTGTGTAGGATCCACGTAGGGGAAGACGGCGCGCTGGTTGGCGTAGGTGGTGGTGGGGAGAGAAGCGTAGACCGTGGTGGCCTGCTTCCCGTTGGTAGTGGCAGGGGAGGAATCGGTTGTAGAAGACATTGCGATGAGTTTGATTTGATCAAGATACCTCGGGAGGCAGAAAGCTGGGAAGAGGAGGCTGAGGAAGGGACACTTGGGACTGTTGTTGCTGCTATGTTGGAGACAACTGGGGAGGTGAGAAAGGGCGTTTATATAACTCGATTCTCGCAGACGTGACAAATCCACAAATTGTCTTTATTTTGCATTAGAAATCAAAATCAAAATCAAAATCATGCATCTCTATCAGTTCCCTCATCTCATAGACTTGTTCGTATACGTCAAATAGACCGCGCCAAACCAGGAGCTTAGTCGAGCTCCGTCGGGCCCACATAACTCATACTATGTACTAGGTTGCTGGCGTTAAACGAGTCCACTCATCCTGCCACCTGCCATAGCCTCCTTTGGCCAGTGTAACAATGGGCGTCACCATGGGGGCGCCCGGGGCCTAAAACGCGCCAAGGAAGCTAAGTTCGCAGAATTTATCCAGTATTACAAGGATATTCGCAGTAAATTCATTATCCCTCTGGAAATAGATGTGCTTGGGAAATCTTGGCGGGTAGTGGGTACGCCCACGTGTGAACTTCCCTGAGAGCGCAGCAACAGGGTGGTTCTGATCTAATCTCTCCTGTGCAGAATTGAGCCCTAAATTCTCACCTGCGGCTTAAACTAGTGGTCTCACTCGTCATCATAACGAGAATCGCGTTTTTTCAGCCGACATCTATACAAAAAACATGCGCACCAGCTTTCTTCAGGCTTACGCTCCATCCTTAGCACTCAGTAATACACTCTACAGGATTGGATTCCTTGAAAACGAGTGCTCCATCCTGATTTCTAATATACTTGTGCCATTGCAGAAGTGGGTGTGTCATCATCGGTATGGAGCTCTGTCGAGATGCCGGACGTATACGGGTTTGTTCGATGCACAGGAGAGGGGCTATGGTAGAGCTGATGTCGGCATTGACCAAAAACGTGGGAGACGTGGAGATGTGTTGGAGAACCCGCTGGAGAGAGAGATCCTCCCTGGAAGAGAAGGTGGCAGGTGTATAGAGTTCCAGCTGGCCCAAGAACTCTATAAAGGGGAGTAGTCTCGCACTACGGAAAGAGGCAGAGCAATCGAGAGCAGGCGATGAGCTTGAAGACCAGACTGACATATTCATTGTTCTGAAGTATAGACGTCCTGGGGCTTTATCCTCTACATCTATCTTTGACACCTTCTTTTACACTTCGTTGAGTTCATATATAGACGTATAGACTTCATATTTTACTGTTCTTTTATCAACCATGGCGTTGCATCAGCCACTTCCTTCCCTCTATCAACCCCCGTTGACTGTGCCGGAAATTTTTCAGCAGGTCTTCCCGCGAGTGGATTCACGGCCAAGCCCTAGGGGGGGTTCAAGCACGCCCGAGGCTGATGGCGAACTGTTTGACTTGACGCCGGTCCAGCAGGAGATCCTCTCGTCACTGGGGCAGCAATCTGGATGGACGTCCTTCTCTTTCCAAGTCCCCGAGCAGATGGCCTTCAGCATTGACCGGCTCCGTATGACCTGGCAAGCCGTGGCCGCTCATCATCCCATCCTTCGCACAGTCATTGTTTCCAGCGGGGATGGTGGTTCCTGGCGGCAGAAAGTGGTCTATCTCGTTTTACCCATGGGTCTTGGAAGCTGGGAGCCACTCGAAAAGACGGTGCCATACTTGACTTTTTACGAAGCGAGCGCGAACCGACCGGTATTGACTCTCCACTACCATCGTGCTCTGATTGACGTGAAGTCTATCCTGCTGCTCTGGCATGACTTCGAACTCTTCTTCCACGGGTTTCCCTTTCCAGCCCGTATCCCCTTCCGCAACTATGCCAAAGCAATCGCGACCCGCGACCGTGATGAGGCCATCAGCTTCTGGAATGGGTACTTGGATGGATACCATGGCAGGGGCTTATTGGGCTCCTCGGATCCGGACAGAAAAGTCATCGAGACCAGAGTCTCGGGCGACATGGGCCTCCTCTCTGGACTGGAGAACTTCGGACAGGAGCACCAGGTCAGTGTGAAGACCATGCTTCGCGCTGGGTGGGCCGCGACGCTATCCCGCCACCTCGAGACCCAGGATGTCGCCTTTTACACCAATCTCAGAGACTGCAGCTTCGACCCAACGGAGTACATCGTCGGTCCAATGGATGTGGCCGCTCCTCTTCGGGTTCGCCTGTCGGAGGAAGAGCTGACCCTGGAAGCGCTCCGCAGATTGGAGAACGAAAAGAAGACAGCCTCTCGGTACTCATTCCTCGGTGGCCGAGCGATCGAGGAGCACAGCGGCAGCATTACCGCCGTGCAATCCACGTTCATCGTGCTGGAATCAGAAATTCCCGTGGACCCTCTGCCGCAACTGGATGTTTCCATGCAAGTCACGTTGGACTTTGCCACCGCTCAGGTGTCCATGATGCACGATTCGAACTATCCCTCGGCTCGAGCTAAGATCATCCTCCAGCACTTTTGGGAGGTAATGCGACAGATTATCGCGAACCCCTACGGCCCGCTCATGGACTTGAGCCTGGCTTCAGAGGACGAGAGAGCCGTATTGCTGAGCTTTCGATCTTCGCATGAACAGGTCCCTCCCCAGCTGGTCCATACCTTGATTGAAGAGCAGGCTTGTAATCATGCCACCGAGCCGGCTCTGCAGTTTGAGCTCAGCGAGGCCGTGAGTTTCGCGCAATTGAACGCTGCCGCCAATCGCGTCTCTCATCAGCTGGCGGGGTTGATGGCTCCCGGATCAATCATTCCCGTTCATATGGATGTCTCGGTCAACTTTGTGATTGCTTTACTGGCGATTCTGAAAGCCGGAGGCGCATATGTGATTCTGGATCCCGCCCAGCCGCCAGCCCGCAAGGCGTATATCATGGAAGATGTGCAGGCACCGTGCTACCTTACACAAGGGGACCTCATCAACGAACTCCCAAATACGAAAGCCTACCTGGTGGAAGATCTCCTCCAGTCCTCGTCCAATGAATCCGACCTGTGTCTGGATCTGGACCCCGAGCAACCCGCCTATATTATCTACACCTCTGGCTCCACCGGCGTGCCCAAGGGTGTTGTTCTAAGCCACCGTGCTGCCTCCACCGGGATTCAATGTGCACCTGCCATTGAAAACAACCGCAACTTACTCTTCTACAATCCCGTCTTTTCTGCTGCACAGAGGACCATCCTTTCCACCCTGGCGAATGGCGGCTGTCTTTGTCTCGCGGGCCGGTCAAAATTGCAAGTCTCCCTGACAAATCTCGTCAATGCAATGATGGTCAACACGCTCGGTATCACCTCGTCGACTATCGCTCTGCTGGACCCCGAGCAGGTGCCAACCTTGCAGAGAGTCAACCTCACCGGCGAACTGGCCGACCCCGCGGTCGTCGCGCGCTGGGCTAGTTATGTGGAGCTGAAAAACAACTACGGGCTCAGCGAATGTACCCAGCTAAACTGGGGAAGACAAATCGGCCCAACAGATCAGCTGTCCAGTCGCAATGTGGGCCGTCCATCTGATACCACGTCTGCCTACATCTTGGATCCGGACACGCGGCAGCTCACCCCGTTCTTGATTCCTGGTGAATTGTGTCTCGAAGGGCCGCAGATCGCCAGTGGCTATCTCAACAAGAAGGCGCTGACCGAGAAGGCTTTTGTCGATAGCCCATTTACGAAGGGATGCAAGCTCTACCGGACAGGTGACATGGCGGTCCGATTGGAAGATGGCACGATTGAGATCATCGGTCGTATTGACTTCCAGACTAAAATCCACGGCCAGCGGGTCGAGCCGGGCGAGATTTCGGCCCTGCTGAGTAGGGAGAAGGCTGTACGTGCCGCGGTGGTTATCGCTGCTACGATCGAGGGAGAGAAGGCACTTGTCGCCTGTATCTCGCCGGAAAATGCATTGCCGTGGGCCCAGCTGGTCCACAACCTCCGGCAGGCGACATTGACCAGGCTTCCTTCCTATATGACACCTGCGTACTGGTTATCTTTTGACACGCTGCCTCTGAACAGCAACGGGAAGACCGACGTGCTTCTCCTGCGGAAACAGATCGAGGCGATGCACCGGTCTGATCTCATCGGCGCGTCGCTGGTTACCGACCAAGCAGGGAGGCCGCTCTCCGAGGTGGAAACGGTCCTCCAGACGGTCTGGGCCAAGGTCCTTCGTCTTCCCGCAGATGTGATCACGGCCAACCAGTCTTTCCTGGCCCTCGGGGGAGATTCACTCAAGGCGCTGCTTGTCGTCTCCGAGCTATTGCCGTTTAATTATGTTGCCGAACTGGGAGACCTTCTTCGAGCAGATTCCCTGGCCACTGCAGCCGCCTCTCTCAAGTATGAGGTGATAGCGCAAACTGATCAAGAGCCGCCAGCCCCGTACAGCCTCATCAAGGGCGGACCAGACGTTGACCCAACAATCTACGAGGACGCATACCACGCTACGCCCTTCCAGGAGGGGATCATTTCCGCGCACCGAAGTAACGGCGGATACGTGTATCACCGAGTCTTCAACATTAAGGGATACGAGATACCCAGGCTGCAGCAGTCTTTCCAAAAAGCCATCAACGCGAACCCCATCTATAGAACGAGCTTCCTCGAGAACGGCGCAACCTTCCTGCAGACCGTGAACCGGCAATTCCAGCTCCCCTGGCAGATGATCTGCGACATCTCGATCGAAGACTACGTATCGCACAATACATCCCAGGAGATGGATCTCGGGCAGCCTCCGATCCGAGCCGCCATTGTCAACGGCGAGATCCTCATTGTCACCATGCACCACGCCCTCTTTGACTTCTGGTCCTCCAAATTCCTCTTCCAAGACGCAGCAGCTGTCTACCACAATCAGCCCCTAGTGGTCAGACCCCCCTTCAACATCTTCGTCCGTCATTCCCAGAGATTGGATGAGAACGTTGCCGCAGACTTCTGGTCCGGGTACCTTCAGAACGCTGCTGCAACGCTGCTTACAACGGAAGCTGCGCCGTTCAACGCTCTCAAGCGAACCATCCAGTATGACCTTCGCACTTT